AAGAACTCATCAAAATTGATCCATTGAATATTAGTGAACTAAATTGAATCTCATTTAACTGACATCACTGTTGCTGTACTTCTGGCCCGAGCGTTTGCATTGCGCCCAACCCGGCCACTGCATTTACAACCTGGTCTATAATCAATACATCTTCTGGTCTGAGATTGGGCTGTTACCCCAGGACTAGAGTAGGGATACATAATACAGACAGTACTCATATCAGTGACATCCCAATGTTCATCCATTACACACAATAAAGTGATCTGAATTGCACTTGCAGTGATTTAGTGGTGGTGTTCCCAGTCAGGAATGCACAAAGGTTAAGATGTTTGAAGACATGGGGAAATTAGTGCTATGGTATGCAAGTATGTGGTATGTATGAAGACTGAGTGAGTTTTGTGCATGCTCAATACTTGATGTGCTGTGGAGGTGTTTGGATGTTGTAGATTGAGCCATGTGTGTAGTGTTGGATGTTTGGAGCATCTGGTCAGCCACATGAACGTGTCCACAGACCAATTTACCAAAATGCTTGGGGGAGGCCCCTGTAAGCTATGAAAACTGTACAAACAGCATTGTTAGTCATGAACAATGTTGTTTGGCACCTCAGCATATAGTTTGAATGTCTCTAACATGATATATGTCTATACACTCTGGCCGGACCATCACCAAAGCATAGGTTAGGGTATGGGTAAACACATATGTACAGATGGCAATGATCTAATGTCAATATGGATATGCACTCTCAGGCTCACTTTGTGCAGTATATGTCATATATGTGGTTGTGTTGTGTTCTGACTTTGTATTGACCTATGTAGTAGCATGAACAAAAGAATCATGTGTAGCAAATGAACTAGCCAGAATCCTTGAAGTAACATTAGAAGAATTACTTGTCAACCTAGTGTTCTCTACCAGATGAGCAAATAAAAATATTCTTGGGTAACAAAGTATTACAAAAGTTTTGTAGTCCCATTAGAGTGCATACTTACTGAATATTGAAGTGCAATGATAGACACTGATAATGGAACCACATTATTCAGTGAAGGTTTCCCCAAATGACCAAACACAATATATGTTAATAGTGGCCAGGCCAAAAGCATAACAGTTCTGATTGTACCAGGCCTAGGATGCATCCCAAATGCTCAGGCCGGAAGTACAGTGTTTGTGCCAGGCCGAGTGTGCTGGGCTGGTGTGCACCTATTTTTGCTGGCCCAGGATTGCAGCCTGGTGCTCGGGCCAATGGGTGCTTAATGGGCGCTTAATGGATTGGACCAGCTGGGAACCCAGATTTTTGGCCTGGGTTGTGCGTTATATGGCCCAGGTGGACCATTATAGATGTCAGTTTACTTTCTGGCCGGACCATTGCGAGTGTGTGTTTATTTTGGCAGCCTGAGCATTGGAAATGTGGACCCTGCTACCGGGACATTCCTAATGTGCAGCCTTGGGCCAGTCCATTTACCACGGGCCATTGTATTACTGCCCAGGCCATTTACAGTGTGGGTTTTTATTGGCCAGCCGGACCATATTGACATTGTGACACTCCAGCTGCCTTGTTTGCAATGGGCACACCTCATGCCTATTGATACTGCAGCTGGCCCATTGGATACTCCAGCCGGGACGTTAGGAGCCTTCTCTGGTTCCACTGTTGCAAATGTGGGATCCCACTGGCGGCCGCCCTCCAGGCCAACATTGCAAATGGTCAAATATCACCCTGGGTCTACCATTTGTAACGGTAAATTCCCCCTCAAGAATGTGCCATAACTATGTACCGCCATCTGGCTCTGTCCCTGTCATGCCAGCCCCTACTGCACCATCCCCTTCTAGTATTGCTGTCCAGGAAGCTGTAGCTTCCCCTTTGGCTTCGGGCTTGGACTTGGAGGCCCAAGTGCCTTCAATGAGTGCTGAACCTGCTCCACAGGGAAGGGTGAGCTCTCATGCCAACCCAGCCCCTAGCCTTTGGCAGCGAACACTGCTGGGTGCAATCATCATCAACCTCCATTGTGATGGCCAGGCAGCCACTGCTGCCCAGTGCTGTGCAGGCTAAGAGCATTGATAAGAAGCTCTCAGTCTGTTTACTGCTGTGGACGAAGGTGAGTCTGTTGGAGTTGGTGTGTTTGTGAGTATTTCTCATACCGATGTCTCAGGCTGGCGATGAGTTGATGTTAGGGATAGAGGCTTGATAGCCTCAGAGCACACAGAAACTCGTTAGAAGTGTTTACTTACCGAGTGGCTGCATCAGTGAAGGTTTGTTATGTGCTGATCTTGCTCTCCTTATCTTTCCTTTATTCCACTGAATGGACATCAATGTAGTGCTTTCATTGTTTTATTACCGAGGTATTGATTACTGACATATTGATGCTTTAGCAGCACTTGTTACTGTATCTACTAAACGGACTATTACCGAGTTTCTAGTGTGTTCTTACTCATTATGATCAGATGCTTTTAGTACTGATACAAGAGCTATTGTATGCTCGGTAAATGATGGTTATTACTGATCAATTACCGAGTTATAATGGTTTTGTATCGGCATAGAAAGGAATGGCTGTGCAACAATTACTGAGCCACTCCCGAAGCCATGTTGAATGGATGTGCTATCCTTAGGCTGTACACCGAAAATGTGGACTCTTGCATGCCTCGGTAATGCCTCGGGAATCACAGTCCTGAAACAATGGCTGTACTGTGGCTGTACTAGGATGACTCGGTAACATAGCTTGCCTCGTTGGAAACAATGAAGTGTAAGGCTATGATCCTATTGTTCTCCTAGAATGGCCTCTGAATGAGTCAAGAACATGTACTATACACTTCTACGACACTCCTTGATTTTCTATATACTTCCATGTAGCTCCATTGGCTGTGTCCTCAGTAATGGCATAAAAGGCCACTCCCAAGCATGGTCAAGGACATCTATCATCCAATCTACCATCTACTCTTCACCAAAACACACTGTAATGGGATTGCCCGTTATGGCTTATCTTATCACCACCGTTTGGATATGTTTGTACATGGACTCATATGGCTCGCCAGCACGCCTACTGTAGCTTAGCCTTTACCTCGTCACCACCCCATGTATGCTACTTCTGTAGACAGTCCCTCTGAATAGAGACTGGGTACAGCGCATACCGGGCACAATGAGTGAGAGGCCCTACACACACCCTGTGTGCCACTCAAAGTATTACTTTGCCCTGAGTGCTAAGTTAGCCATACTAGCCACTCAACCACTCTCACCGAGTTCTTACCGACGCGCTCTAAGACCTGCGACAGTGAAACCTTACTTAGTACAGTCCTTGTGCTACTAGTAAGGTTTAAGTAACTCATTGACTGACTTCACAAGTTGGGTTCAGTAAGAGAAGGTGCTTAGTCATCATCTCATCCTGTAAACTTGTTACCAACATCAATAGATCTCTGTATCAACTAGTTCCATACTAGCATGTCTCAGTGGCATTACTATAATTAAAGTGGTTAGCCTAACCAGCAACTCACTTGACACTAAAGCAAGCCTTATAGCCATTAGCTGGCTGAGGATTAATTGCCTTAGTGAGCCCCTCTTGAAGCACGGCCTTGCGCTGCTACATTAGGGTTTTGTAACTTGCCATTGTCACTGTGCAGTCAAAGCTAGCTGTCCAGACTTCCATTCAACTTCTGTTGTGTGACTTCAAAACCAAAAAAGCCCATTCCTTCGGAATCAACCTCTGGATACTAATACTCTGTATTCAGACTTCATCCTCTATTCTAAAAAGCTCTAAACCTCGGCAATAATCCCCATTCATTGCCAACTTAAATCCATTCTTACCTTACTTGTGACGGATAGGCATCACTATGCCTGTCCAGTACTATAGATTATGAACCATCTAGTGTAGATAAGATTAGATCGTGCATGTACTTAGCCATCTGCCTTCCCTTTTGGGAAGTAACGAATCTTAACCTTCTACTGCCACCTCGTACGCGTGCGAATCACCGCACCGTCCGAGTGTGGAGTCCTGTCTCTAGTCGAGAGTGCTCCTCGCACTCTGACAAACAGTGCGAGCTCCTCGCTGCGCTGAGGAGCACGGCTCCTCGCTGTCTCCTAAACCGGGCGGCTCCTCGCCAGCTCGTTGCCCTGGGCTCCTCGCCGTGGGCTCTCCTCGCAGGCTCCTCGCCAGCGTACGACTACAGCCGGCTCCTCGCCTTGCTGATGACAACAGCCGGCTCCTCGCTACGCTGACGACCCTCGACTAGGCTCCTTGCCCGTCTAGGAACTACCCTCGACTGGCTCCTCGCCCCGTCTAGGACTCACCCAACAGCACTGGCAGCAGTGCACCAAGGTCGCCACTGGCCTATAGAGCCGTGAAGCCCGTTCACACCCCTGAACAAGGCCTCCCAGATAGGCCGAGGTCTTACATTACTCTTCCCAGTTGAAGAGCAGTACTGCACACTTGTATAGCAGCACTGACTAAAGTCCCACCCTCTTTTGTATTCATTGTGGATCTGGTATCCTCCTTACAGCTCAACTTTGCGCTGTCTCGGTAATTGCAGTGCCGAAGATTACCGAAGATTTTACCGTTTGTTACCACTTTGTATAGGCAATACAAATCTCTATTACCGAGGTTACTATTCCTATTGACTCGGCAATAAACTCGGTAACTAGCTGTCATTAAATCAAAAACAGAACCATAACAGGGGCCAATAAGCGGGCACCTGAAGGTAGATGGTGTTGGTACGAGGTCAAGGAGGAGGACCCCATCCGGGGTGTTAGGTTTGCTACAGTATTGGAATGAGATTACCTATGAATTAGCTAGTTCACACACGGTGTGTGCTGTGCTGAGATTTCTTGCTACTATTCTCAGAATAACGGAGGATTACCGACTCTATGAGTATTACTGAGAATATCTAGCATGCTCGGGAATCCTCAGGGGAGGATTTTCCCGATGCGTATAGGACATCGCGGTAAGCGCCGGCCGATGGAGGGAAGACCACGTGGACGGGCGCGCTGGAGGGCGAGGTCATGGACGGAACGCGAGGCACAGCTTGAACATCGCCTTTGTCACGCCCTGCTGCCCACATTGATTCACGGCCACATCAGCTCACTTCCCTTTGCCATGAAGAAGCTATTTGGCCGCGATAAGGCAAAAACCAAGCTTGCACCTTCGGACATCGGCTCAGGCATACCAGATGTAGGTACGCCCACTTCGGTCGACAGACTCATCGGTCTCATATGCCGTCCTCAGAGCTATTACTCCGTTGCTAATGTTGGGCAGGGCAACGAGAAGTCTCGGTCGGGCACTCCCCAACCCTCTGACGAGCACTGGCACGTCGTCGACAGCGATGCTCAATCGTATTCCGTTCGTTCCACAGTCTCCGCGTCCTACTCTCCTCCACTAGCTTCATCTATACCCTCGCATGCTTCGGCCCCGCGTCCTCTTGCGTCGCTCGCTCCAGCATCGTCCCCAGCGACTCAGATGAAGCAAAGTCATAAGGACCGCGATCGGGAGCAACAGCTGCTGCGCAAGAAAGTACCCAACGGTCATGGTCATGGTGCGCTGGCTGCTGTCGGCATCCTCAAAGCTCTTGATCCACATCTCGAAGTTCACAATCCTCCTGAGCCGTCTGAGGACAGCATGACAGAGGTATCGTTTCGCGAGGACAAGAAAGAGCGGAGAGGGTTTTGGGAACGAAAAGATAAGGAACGAGAGCGAGAGAAAGACAGGGACCGCGAGAGGGATCATGACAGAGACGGGGTTCGAGAGCGAGAGCGTAGAGATGAGGAGCCGCCTGCTGAACTTACGCGTATCATTGGTACGACATTGCATCCGTATCTGTTTGTCCCCTCACCGAACGTCATTAGGCTACCTGACGGCAACAGCTTCGGAAGATTGGTCGCTCGTTCTGGAGGTATGCGAGCGGGCATCATCTAGCGAGGCTAACGCCAAGGAAGCGGTCAAGGCGCTCCGCCGTGAGTTCAAGTAAGGCTCAACTTGTCTATGGATCGTTCCGTTACTGACGGATACTGTAGGTATGCCGAGCCGTCTGCTCAGTTATCCGCCGCACGACTCTGGGCGATCATGCTACGCAACTCCTCTGCCGTCTTCACGCATCAGTGTGCTTCCCGCAAATTCCTCGATACCCTGGAGGATGTCATCACGTCGTCGCGAACGTCGCCTGTGGTTCGCGAGCGTTTGCTAGAAGTTCTAGCTGCTGCTGCGTATGCGAGCTCATCTGGTGGGGGCGTTGCTTCGCACGACTAAGAGTCAATGCTAATGCAATTGGTACTTAGGCAGCAAGGAGGCTGCCTTCCGTTCACTGTGGAAAAAGGTCAAGCCCGCGGACAAGCCTGACGAAGGTATTCCGATCGACACAGGCGACGCGATGTTCAATCCCCCTACCCCGCAACATCCACCCCCGAAAACGCCGACTCCGCCTGATCCATCATCGCTTGCTGGGTCAAGACCTCCAGCAACGGTACGATCGAACTCATATCGCTGGCATACACTTACCTGAGCTTTCCGCAGGTGACGCCACACAAAACCAGAACCTCCTCTCGTAACCAGGTCATTCCTCCAGAGGAAGACATGCGTCGCCTTTTCCAGGAGTGCAAGGTTGGCCGTGGTAACGCCTCTCTGCTGTCGGAGGCGCTTGCATTCGCCAGACCAGAGGATCTGAAGCTCAAAGAGATCATACGAGTGCGTGTCCGGCCCGTAGGTATACAGAATAATCGCTCATGGTAGCTCAGGAGTTCTACGCACGATGCCGTGCGTCGCAAGAACTCATCTCCGCACAGATTCCATGGGCCTTCGCTCAAGCAGAGCGGTCACGCCAAGCAGCAGGACGCAAGAGTCAGCCAAATGGCTTGACACGACCCTCGTTGGATTCGCGTGGTCCGCGGCGTACAGACTCACAAGTCTCTTTGTCCACAATATCATCTACGGGCGAATTGACCCAGGAAGAGCAACTGCTTGCTGCGTTGTTGGCTGCTAACGAAGACTTGATGGAGGCTCTGCGCTTATACGACGACCTTGAACGTGTCGGTATGGAGCGTGAGGCAGAGGAGCGAAGCCGGAAAGAAACTAGAATGGACAGAACCGTGAGATCGCTTTTCCCGTGTCGAGATCTTGGGCGCTGAGACCCTTGTACACAGCGACTGCGTTATGAGGATGTCGACCATTCGTACCTAGAACCTGGAGAAACTCACGCTGGGGCATCATCATCACGTAGTCCATCCCCGTCATCTCCTTCGCTGTCCTCTGCACCATCATTCGTCATTACAACGGCGTCGCCCGCTCATGCACATCCCCTGCCTCCTATCCCTTCTTCGAATAACGCGACGCCAACGGCGAAACACCATCAAGCGCCCCCCATCACTACCCAAGGTTCTGTTCAATCCCTTGCTCCGCCTCCTCATGCGCCTCTAGGACCGCGTTCGCCTGCCCATAGCGCCGGTGGACAATCGCGGACACCTTCGCCGGAGCGTGCTTCTTTGCGGCAATCCATCCCCCGCAGCTCACTCGACTCCACTGCTGGTTCCCTTGCCCGCGACATGAACAAACTCGGTGTTCAAAGCAGGGACAGTCATGGAGATGACGTACCGGGGACGCTTATCAGGCCTAGTACGAAAGCCCTTGGCAAACGACGGCAGATCGATCCGCCAGAGTCAGAACGTGCGTATCAGTTGTGCTTCGATCCGCAGTCTTTGTGCCGAACGCCCCTTTATACAGGAGGTTTCGATCCTGACGATATCTTCTACGACAACGCGGACGATCAGTCCCGTCAGAACGACGAGTCCCTTGAGTCTGATTCGGACGACGGACAACACCATCGATGGCACCAGCCTGTACACTATGTTTACGACGCCGCTGCAGAGCGCACGCAGGAGCGGATCCGACAAGGGCGAATCGCAGAGTCCGCTCTAGTGGGCGGTGTACATTAACCCTGTCAGTTTCTGGGAAGGTTGGAGAGATATCTCGTTACGCCCTTGGGCCACTGTTGCCTGCGACCCGCCATGTTGTTGTTTAACTTACCAAAACCACCGCTATCGTGGATTGCGGTCATGTTGTAGTCGTGCATCTGTTGTCGATTCATGCAATAACTTATTATTCGGACGGTGGATTCTGTGTACTTACATGTTCAGGGGAGGTGTCGAAGATAGGGCTTAGCGTGTACGGTAGAACTATATATACCTCTAACTTACTTACGTTCATTTCGCATGTTGGATCATTCCGTGATGGCGATGAGTCCGTTGGCTGGTGGTATCAGTCGGCGTCACCATGGAATAGCAGGCGTTCAGTAGCGATGGGATCTGGCTGATGCCGTCACGCCGAGGTGCTGGACAGTGGAAGTCAACCGGTACGGATCATAATGGGCGGCTAGAGAGGTCGCCTGAGACGCTTCCCGCCGCTCGTTGCGGTCGCTCGTACGTCGCAGACCGTGATATCGCTCGCTGACGTCCAAGACGATGATCCCTAGGAGAGCCCTGATTGTGGGCCGCCAGCATTATGCTCATGCGCTGTCTACTCGCGCGTCGACAATACTCTCCGCTGTTGGGATCCCTGCCGAGAGCGAGCTGCCCGGGGTATACCACGGAGAGTGGGTGGGTTCTGGAGACGTCCTCGAGAGCGTATGTCCGACGACTGGTGAGGTTCTCGCGCGCGTTCGTTCTGTGAGTGTAGTATCCTTGCCGAGCGTAAGCAGAATTGCGTAGCTCAACCTTCTCGCATATACCGTGTAGGCGTCCCCTCAGGAACTTCAGACGGCCCTAGGAAAGTCTAGAGAGGCGTATACATGGTTCCGGATGCTGCCAGCGCCCAAAAGGGGTGAAATACTCCGCCAAATTCGAGAGGCTTTGGCGGCGAAGGTTCGTCATGGCATCCGTTCTGATTCTCTGGGTCAAAGTACTGAGCAGTCAATCTCATGCAGCGCGATGAGCTGGGTGCGCTTGTATCCCTCGAGATGGGGAAAATCAAGACCGAAGGCACAGGCGAGGTGCAAGAGTTCATTGACATAGTGCGCGACAATCCGTCTTGCAGCTTCACTGTGTGTTAAAGCAGGAGTGCAGGCCGACTATGCTGTGGGCCTGTCACGAATGATGAATGGCCGAGTCGTTGCCTCAGAAAGACCAGGCCACAGTATCCTGGAGGGTATGCCTCCACGTCATGCTTCAAAATTGCTGACAATAATGTACTCACACCTGCTGCAGTCCCCAACCCTCTGGGTGTCATCGCGGTCCTCTCAGCGTTCAACTTCCCAGTCGCGGTCTATGGATGGTAACGTAATTGCATCCGGCCAATGACTTCACATCTCTCACCCAGTGCAGGAATCTTGCTCTCTCATTCGCTGCCGGAAACGCCACGCTCTGGAAGCCATCTCCGAGTACCCCGCTCTGTTCGATCGCCGTCACGAAGATTATCTCCGGAGTACTGGAGAACAACGGCGTCCCAGGCGCTGTGGCAGGTCTGGTCACTGGAGGGAAGGATGTTGGCGAAGCTGTCATTGAAAGCAAAGACGTTGACATGGGTAAGTCTAGAGACAAGCAGGATAACTGAGACTAATGCGCCACGTCAGTGTCCTTCACAGGTAGTGAAGCTGTCGGCCGACAAGTAGGCAAGGTTGTCCAAAGTCGCTTCGGGAAAGTATTGCTCGAGCTCGGAGGAAACAACGGCAAGTCACTTTCACGAGCCGCTTTCTTGCGAACTTACACCGCAGACTCTAGCGGCGATCATCATGCCGGATGCCGACCTCGACCTCGCCGTGCCCGCCGTCTTCTTCGGCGCTGTCGGGACCGCCGGGCAGCGCTGCACCACCACGAGAAGGCTCTACCTGCACCGGCACATCGCCCCTGCGTTCATCGAACGTCTGCAGAAGCTCTACTCGTCCATCCGTCCGGGGGATCCGCTCGAACAGGGCACCCTTCTCGGGCCTCTGCACACACGTGCCGCGGTAGGTATCTACTCTGGCGCCGTCGACCGTCTGCGCAAGGAGGGCGCCCAGATCCTATCAGGTGGTTCCTCGTACCAAGGCCTCGCGAAGCCACTCGACGGCGGCAACTTCGTGATGCCGACAATTGCGGTGCCAAAGTCGGTCAACATCAAGGACGCTGTGTGGAGCCAGGAGACTTTTGCGCCTGTGTTATGCGTCGGTGTGTTCGACGAACTCGAGCAGGCGATTGCTTGGAACAACGGCGTTCCCCAGGTAATTCCCTGCCAAAATGTAGTTATGGACTGTTCCAGACTGACTCACATTGCACAGGGCTTGAGCAGCAGCCTGTGGACCAGGGACCTCCGCAATGTTGGCAAGTGGATTGGGCCAGCAGGCTCTGACGCAGGTATCGTCAATGTAAGTTTGACAGACTGCTGTGTTAGCACATCTTGAATCAGCGAATGATCAGGTCAATGTCGGTACGAGCGGTGCTGAAATCGGAGCCGCGTTCGGAGGAAACAAGGTAAGACTAGTGCATCTCAGTCTGCCCTTTCGCTGAAGACAATTCTATGTTGGACACGACAGAGCACCGGATGGTCAGTGCTGTTACTAATTGTATGCGCACTCTGATACTGAGCACGATGTACAGGGGTCGTGAGTCGGGCGGCGATGCTTGGAAAGAATACGTCCGGTGGGGCGCTTGCACCATCAATTTCTCAGACGAGGCGCCGTTGGCTCAAGGCGTGCAGTTCTCTTCCACCGCATGAGGCTCTGCCAATACCCATTCCACCCTGGCCAGGACGCCTTCAGGTTCTGAGATTGAATGAGGATGCGCACACGGCGCTCCGTGCAGTCGAGCGACCACGACTCTTCGGCCTGCATGCAATGTGACATACGTGCATTCGGTGGCATGACATACAGTACATGTTGTCTGAGCCGTCGGCAATACCTTGGTCGTCGGTTTGACGGACTCGTACTTACCAGGGGCGAGGTGGAACTTCATTGTTACCATAATTGTACATTAGCAGCTCTTGGAATGGATCTCGATGGGACACGTGATGAGAGGCCAAGCGAGGCACCCGGCAGCCGGGCAGGACTCCTCAACGAGTCGTCGTCCTCTCCTCTTCATTCAACCCTCAATCCTCTGGACATGCCCGCTGCACTCGAAGACGATATCTACGACGGTAAGTCAACAAAATTACAAACTCGACGACCGAAGCCAACTGAGCAAGTGCAGACCTGTACGGCGACAGCGCGGACGTGAAGGATCCCGCTCCCCAAGTCCCCTCACCGACGGAATATGCTCCTCACGAGACCCAGCGATCACATTCACCCGAGGACACCAAGCCGCCAGCAGGGGTCGGTTCGCTGCCAGCGAAGCCATCTCAATCATCCGAGCTGTCCTACTCGGCACAAATTGCGCAACAATTCTCCACATACAAGCAGACACCTGCTCAGGAGAGGCAGAGCAGGTCCACGACGTCGCACTCGGCAGGCGGCAACGATAGCTCAAGTGCCTCTCTCCAAGACGCGTCGGGTAAGAGAGCTGTGCGGCCGTCGGAGATGAAGGACGAAGGGTGAGTGCCGTTTTCGTTGTTCTATCGAGCTCGTAGGGGCATCCTGGATCGGACGACGCACGCATACGTGGATATCTGGTAGTTGACGAGTCAGACACGATACCTGACACCTACAGTCCTGGCCTCGTATCGTCTAACACCATACGGTTGTTGTCGCTACTGTTACGCACCGTACGACTGTGGCGTGTCTCTGCCTCTCTATCTCGCGCGTCTGTGTTCCTAGCCTATCTGCAATGCCTCGCCGCCTGCTCTCCTTACGACACCGACTAATTGCCTTCGTCACGATCCATGGTACTCCTCAACATGTCACCGTACTTGTCTTCACTACGATAACCGGTCAATGCTATTTTCAACAAACTCTGCTCGGTACCTGCGCATGTTCAGCAAACTGTTCGTCGGTGGCCTGAGCTGGGATACAACTGATGGTATTCGTTGATCCAATCGTCCCTGAACTTGTCGTACTGACTGTCGCTATCGCACGCGTTGATCAGAGGGTCTGAGGAAGTACTTCTCAGAGTTCGGCGAAGTCGAAGACTGCACGATCCTACGCGACCAGGAAGGACGCTCACGAGGATTTGCATTCCTCACCTTCAAAGAACCGAGCTCCGTGAACGCTGTCATGGTGCGGGAACACGTTCTTGACGGGAAGGCGGTGAGTGGCTACTTCAAAACATGTTGCTCGCGTCCTCACTGGTGCATCGTGGTACCCTCGCAGATCGATCCAAAGCGAGCAATTCCTCGAGAGGAGCATCTCCGCAACACCCGCTACTTCGTTGGCGGGTTGTCCCATACGACAACGTCCGACACTATGCGCGTGTTCTTCTCGACATTCGGCAAGGTCGTCGACTGCACTGTGATGGTCGACCGAGAGACAGGCCGCTCAAAGGGCTTCGGCTTTGTCACATTCGAGGACGCAAGCAACACTGACCAGCTCGTTGGTCGGGGCGATCTAATCCTCGACGAGAAAGCGGTACGGTGTTCATTGTTTATATATCACTCCGTAGCTCACACTCCATATCAGATTGAAGTAAAGGTCGCGCAACCGCGCAACCAGCGCGACCAGTCTCGCATGGGCCGCACGACACGCGAGTCGACGTACGAGGCCGGCGCGAACAGCATGGGTTTCCAGGCGGCTCAGCGGCCCGCCGTCAACCCGCAGCAGATGTCCATGCTCATGATGGGCCAGCTGCCCATGATGAGTGGCAACATGCCCATGGGCATGAACCCGATGGGCGTCGGTATGAACATGGGCATGGGCATGAACAACGCCAGTGCTGGCGCCGGTGCTGGCGGGGGCATGGGCATGATGCCGATGAGCCCGCAGATGAACAACTTCGGCGGGATGAGCGGCGGTGGGATGGGCTCGCCGATGGGGGCGGGCATGGGCGGCGGGATGAACGCTGGCCGGGGCATGGGCATGGGCAACATGGGCGGAGGCATGGGCGGAAACATGCGGATGGGTATGGGACCGATGGGGATGAACACGCAGAACATGGGCATGATGCGGTCGTTCATGAACAACGCGGGCCCCATGATGAGGCAGGGTATGGGTATGATGGGAGGCATGGGAGGGGGCATGAGCCCCATGGCGCGCGGGCGGGGGAGTCCGATGATGAATGCGGGTGTGGGTCCGCAAAGGAATGCCGTCCGGGGACAACATGGTTACCACCCTTATGCGCGGTAGCAAGTTTTGATGTTCGGCGCTGTGGTCTTTATTGTATGTTGCTCTCAGGTTGCCTTTACGCTTCCTCGTCTTTATTGTCATCCATATTTTAAACCGTATGTTAGTCGAATAAACATATGCTCCCTACGCTGATAGATCATACACATTTCTTGTGGACGGTGTCTGTGTGATTATCGCTTGCTTTAATGGTCGATTGGACTTGCAACTGTATACATCTTCAATATAGTCACCTTGGTCACTTGAACCACGATGGTATCACATACGTGCCCTTGCTTCTCGCAACGATTGAACGACTTCGAGATGTCAGTTGTTCTGCATGACCATTGGTGGCAACTCTTGCACGTAGGGATCATGGTAATGAAACAATGTGATATTCCAAGCATAATAAATTACGCAATTACACCAGAGCAACAGTCGAATACAGTCCTCTCAGAACGATCGCAAAGAGATCTGGGGTTTGGGAGCATCTGCTGCTTGTCCGCGATTTCCGACGGCCTGCCTGACGGAAGTCTCCAACGTATCGCGCGTCTCCTGATCGAGCTTGCTTGTCGCGTCCTTGAACGCAGCTGGTGAAATAGCAGCGATCGCAAGTAATTGCCTGACGCTCTGAGTATGCATCTTGGTCGGAATGACTCGGGCGGGATCGAGTAGCAGAATCATAGCTGGCATCAGGATGCCCAGCGCTCGCGAACCTAGACGAAAGGCATGAAGAACATCCACGGGACAATGATGCATGGACTTACGGAGCTCCTCCGGTAATGATGAAATCAACGCAGTGAGCGCTTTGAATATCTCGTCCGCCATGGCTAGCTGCGAATCGGTAGCATCATCTGCTATAGATGCAGCGATCTTGGCCAGACATTCCACCATGCCAGGCAAAAGGTGTTTCGCACAATGACGAAGCGCGGCATTCCCGGATGTGGACGCGAGAATGAGCGTTTTGGCGCAGTGAGCGGCCGTCAACGAGACCTGCGAGGCGTCAGACACCGCGATTGATGCGAATGAAGAAACACCGACCTCGTCCGCGTCCGATAGCTTCTGAGAGAGCAAGAAACAACAGTGGTCGAGGACAGCACGTCCGACCTTGACGCTCGGAGGGATTACAGTCAATACGAGCACAGCAGCCAAAAGGTTGGTCTTGATCTTCCTCGTAGAGATCGCTCCTTGCCGTCCCCTGTGAGGGTGCATGCTTAGCAACTATTCTGGGACACCATACAGAAGACCAACCTCATCTCATCGACATTCACCAAGCAAGCAGAAAGGATACCGTGGATAACCTTCTCATATTTCTCATCCGTGTCAACGAGATCAGCAGGTTTCTCGAGGAGACTCTTCAGTGATTGTAGTGTAGGCCCGACCAAGTCGACCTCTGAGCTTTCGTCCTTCAAGAGTTCTGAAACATGGAACAACATCAAGCCACTTTACTGCAAAGCGAGTAGGACGAGAGTTACCACTATACAACGTGATACCCATAGCTCTGAACTCCTCTCGTTGAGAGATGCCGAATGACGATGATATCTTGATGAACGCCTCAAATGTCGCGTTGATGAGCTTCACTTTGTCCAGAGGGGTCGAACCATCGACTGATAGGATGGAGTCAGAGTGGTTACTTGTTGTGCAAGTCGGTCAGCACCCACCCACTGCACTGGTCCGTGGACCAGTAATAGCTCTCCGCAACACATAAGCACATATCCGCACGGAATGTACTTGCGGAAGGCTCATCAGCTCCTGTATTGAAGTGCCACCCCTGTATCATAGGGGAGTGAGCTGCGTTGAGAGAGAGAAGGCATAAACGGATACTACATTGCTGGACCGCCATTCTGCACCAAGGCCAGGCCTTCAGCCAAACTTGCGACTGCCTCCACCATATACATTTGCACAGCTGCCGGCTCCGTAAGCGCCATACGATAAAAGAGGTTGACGAGTTCTTCGAACAAAACGGGGTCGGTGAAGGCCTTTCCGCAATATTTCGGACAGATGAGAGATTTCAGCGCCTGCAGTGCAATCCTGCAAACCCGTCTTGCCGCCATGTCTGCATCGGGTACTGCGGTGCAAAGGGCCTCATATACTAAGCCAAACACGGCAAAAAAGAATGCAGTCGGTTCTTCTCGAACGGGGTCGCCAGACCCCTGTCTTGGAGTGGTACTAACACCTTCCTGGCCGTCCATGGCGGCCACAATATAGGATTCGTCCTCCTCCATCGCAGTTGCCATGGCCTGAAGGATGACCGGCCATGATTCGACGTAATACTACAGTATATTGTGAGACCAGCGCAGACGATAGTGATAGGACAACGCACTGGTAAAAGCACTTCCTTCCCAAGACTAGTATACGACGAATCTATTGTGCCAGCAGAAGCTTCTTCGACAACCTCTGTGTCTGCACGCACACTGGCGTAGTCACGCAAACAAGCCACCCAGAGGGGGGCCAGCGCCGGCCTGTACGGTTTCACAACGTTGACCAGGTAGCTCTGGCTCTGACTTGCCACCTGCAACTCAGCCCAGGCCGACAAAGTTGCAATCCGCAGCATGACAGAAGCATTGGGACTGAGCTCAGCGGCCTCACCGAGCGACAGCATTCCAGACTCTGGTATTATAAATCAGAAGTGACCACAGCATATAGAGAGTGAGTCTTACCTTTCGACTGCTCCAGAGCAGAGGTGAGAAGCTTGAGTATGCGGCCCATTCTGCTGACATCCTTCACTACACCGCAACCTACAAACACAGCGCAGGCTCCAATGGCTGTTGCGAGGATCTCTGGGGTCGAATCAGATGAGAAAGCAGGTGTCAAGGCGGCAGTGATCGGCGCTTGGTGCTGTTCCAATAAGAGGGCATCCTCATATTCCGGATCCGGTGTCTTGGCAAAGATCTACTTGACGATGAGTAAAGCGAATTCAACCAATTATCAACGGCTCACCTCTATAACATCGCGTAGGACCGTCAGCCCCTCCAGGCGAATCTCCGTGACTTGAGCAGCTGAAGCAGTGAACGCGATCTTGATCAAGTCCGGTACACGCGACACTAGCAGTCCACGAACTGGGATGCCTTGGCTGCGAGCGAGTGTGATGTCCAGATGTTCCCTGCGTCCCGAGCTACCAACGATCGCGCAGATGCTATGTAAGCATTGCAGGGCAAAAAGCTGGGTTCTCCATCGCGACGTTTGGCGACCACCAGCGGTTCCCGAGTCCTGGTTCGTGCCCACACTGAGCGCCTGCCCTTCGTCATCCAATAAGTCACCCTTCTTGGCGGCCGCGTCAGTTATCTGCTGCGAAGCGGTCGTACGAGACATGATGCGTTGACACAGATCGATCCAAGCGGATGGATTGTGAACGACGGTCTGCTGAAGCCAGCTTGTGATGACGTTGCGTACACCGTCCACGGATGAGTCGTCGTCGAGCATAGCGAACAACTCCTCGACAAGCTGATCACCCCCAAGCCTTGACATGGCGAAGGCGTCCTTTTGCACGAGCTGATAGAGTGCGTTGATCGAGGCAAGCTTGAGAGGCCGACGCGATGAAGACAGGTACCCTCTGAAGCGGTCCACCAGGTCCGGTACATTGACAGAGTCGGGCGCAAACATGAGGAAGTGCTGGATACAACTGATAGCTTCCACGCAAATGCCATCGTCATCTTCGCTTATGAATTGATGAACAAGATCAAGGACCAGAGTGCGAGAGCGAGCCGAGTCCTGGATATCAGGCCCAAGCACAGTGATCACTGCGTCGATATTCTGGCAAACGACCTGATATGCAGGAAGGTCACCGCTGAGGTTAGCTTGGTTGAGCGCGCCGCCCTCCGGTTCATGCGTTTCCATCATGTACACCTTAAAGAGTAGACCCAGCGTACTCGGGACGAAAGGTGCATAGGCCAGACTAGCAGCATCGATGACGCGCGCGAGTGCTGTGAGCGCCCAGAAGTGGACGACGGGATGAGGATCGTTGATTAAGGACATGAGGACGTGAACGGTGGTCTTCAGGAGGGGACCGGCCGCCATCCCACCCACATGCGCATGGATCTCTCCGAAAGCGAGTGCACATCCGGCACGCCCATGAGGATCTCGGTTGCTGACGACTTGATCCACCAGAGTCTTCGCCTGATTCGTCAGGAAGTTGGTGCCTGCGATATTGGCCAGGCGGCCGATAGCTTCAGCACTCCCTTTGCGCAGCAACAAGTCACCGTCCACGAGGACGTCCTGGGTGCGAAAATCTTATGAGGACTCTCATAGGAACAAACACTGGTGCCTACCTTCAATAGAGGAGCAAGAAGAGATGTAACCTGCGGACTACCCAGTACCTGGCGCGATCGTGCACTATTGACTTGTCTGAGTGCGAGGACCAGTGCTAGTATGGCGTTGACGGATACGGCCGCTTTACGTCCGGAGTTCTTCTCGAGCTTCGGTGACCCAGTAGATTCGACCAGTTGTGTCAAGGAGCGAACTGCAACGGAAAGGTCCTGCAGAGGCAGCAGCTGGGCGAACAGCTGTACGGCGGCATTCACGGCTGCGGTCGCGGGAGGTGGCGGCTCGGGCCACTGATTCGCGACGTCGGGCGATATTCGCTGGCAAAGGAACAAGGGGTCATGGGAGCAAGATCTGAGGATCGGTTTTTGGGTCTTGGGGACAGTGAGCGAGACGCCTTGCGAGGGAGTAATCCAAACTTACCAGCTCCTCGATAGACACTTCGACACTATCCCGGTTCATCCACGGCCTGGGTCTCTCCTCAATCTCGACATCAGACACGCCGTACGCGTACCCATCCGTGCTCTGCCAGATAGAAGTGAACGACCCAGTCGAGGAGGCGATCGCCGCCTGCAACGGGGATCCCGCATATCCCTCCGGGCTCGCGAACAACGATATCGCCGACTGGAGCAAACTCGACTGTATTGACTCCGTCGCGCCTGAATGGCCAATCAGCGAGAAACACAGGAAGATCCGCGTACGGAGGAGGGCCTCGCGGCTCTCGAGCGAGAGCTCCTTCGACTCGGGCGGGGGCGCCTCAGGGTTGTCATCGATGCGACGCGAGGTGAACGTGTTCGCGAACGAAAGCGAGTTGCTGAGCATCGACGCGACGCGCCGCGTCACGTCCGGGGTGACAAGCGCAGGCGAATTGTACTTCAGGAAGCAGTAGACGGCGCCCAGCGCACTCTCGCGGAGGTGCAGGAGGAACATCCACTCTGCGGGGCTCCGCCCGGTCTGCGCGTCCTTGCTGGTTGGCTTCGGGAGGGCGTTTCGCCAGAGGACGAGGAGCTGCGGGAGGTGCGCGCGCACGAAGTTCGGACCCAGCGCCATCAGTGCCGCGATGCACGTCCAGGCAACCTCGACCTCCGTCCTCGCCACCCTCACCTCGTGCTCGCCCGCGCGCTTGAGGAGCTGGACCGCCATGTCGAAGACCTTCGCGCTGATGTCGTAGCTGACGTAGAGCGGACGCTCGGGGATGACAGCTAGGAGCGCTGCAAGCCCGTATGCGTGTCCGAGTGTTCGGTTAGTGATGTCCGCTGGTGCAGCAGGCGTGGTGAGGGTGGTGAGGTCCCGCTGCAACATTTCGACTACGCTGAGCAGAACCTTCGGTAGGCGGAGAGGAGTGGAGTAGCAGAAGCATCGGAGGGCCCATGACGCGTTGACACGGATGGTATGGTTCGGGTGTCCTAGAAGCGTCTGCAATGGCTCTACGAGAGCATCCTGTGCCAAGTCACGTCACTATCGTTTCAAGCAGCCTCAGAACGAGAACGTACCTGTACAGGTGGCGGCGCATTGCCCAGTTGCTGCAGGAGCCCCGCGACCTCTCTAAGCGCAACGACGAGGCAAAGCGGATTCGGCGCGGTCTGGCCTGGCATCAACGCAGGCCACCGCTTCAAGTATACCGTCGACAGCTCCTGGATCGCGCTGATCTGTGCCTGCTCCCCGAGCATCCTCACACCCACAAGGTCTCTCAACAGCACCTCCACGAGCGCCCTGACCAGCAGAGTCTCGTATCTCGTAGTCGAGTTCCTCGGGTTTGCCACGATCTCGGTCATCAAATGGCCCACGAACAGTCCATAGTTCGCCTCCAGCCACGCGCTCTCCAGGTGTGCGAACAGCGCTGCATAGAAGTCGAATATCCCCACGCGCGTCTTCTTGCTCGCCTGCGGCTTGTTGAACTGACTCGAGAGCTGAGCAAGCATCTCCTGCGGGGTCATGACCGGCTTCGCCTCCTCCGCCTGCACGTGCATGCCCGGCATCGCGTCCTCCTCGTCCTCGTTCGGGTTCTGCCCCTTCTTGGCCTTCTTTGGCGGCTCCGCGGCGGGGACCACCCGCTGCACTTGGGTGGCTGCGAGGATGTGCGCGACGAGCTTGGCGAGCGAGCACCGTGTGAGTTGGTCGGCGCCCTCCAGGCTCTTCGTACATGACACGACGAGCGAGTCGACGTCCGTTACTAGGCGTGTGCTGTCATCTGCTGGGTACATGAGAACCAAAACCTAAGGCACTATGAGACTTCAAATCGAGTATGTAGAAAGCGTTGTGTAGTCACGTTGCATGCAGCACGCTGGATGGGCAGCGCCTTGTCACTGAGCGCGTACTTCATTTGCTTGATGATGTCCTTCACGAGCGCGTCGGTGACGGCTCGCTTCGCTGTTGACAAGGTCTTCTCAAGAGCAACAAGTGAATGGTACCTGAGTATAATCGGCTTGCACTACGCGTCAGACCGAGGCTGTCGTCACTGAGATGTCCGTAGTGCTTACCGTAGAGGATGTGCGGTAGAGCTTCAAACACGTGGTGACGATTTCCACCACAAGGGACATGACCTACCCGGACTGACCGTCAGAGATGCAGGATTAGCACAATTCAGTGCAAGCCCACCTGGCTGCCAAACATGCCCATTAATTCTGCGACGCAATACATTGCTGCGCTGAAATCAGCCGGTCAGTAGGACATGCCAAGAGTAGTGCTCCGAGTGCTCCCGTCGATGCATGAGGGCTCTAATCGAAGCCTACCTATATGCAACGTTTGTGGCAGCAGCGCGCACACCTGCAGGAGTCACCCGGTGCACTACCCAAGAAAGCTCACGTACATCTTGCTCGAGTCCTTCCCCACGCCCTTCGGCTCTCCGATGATCTTCAGAAATGATTGGATCGTGTCATACAAGGTCTTCGTTTCTCCCCTCATGTACAAGGCAACGAGGCATTTCGCGACAATGCTTCGGACAGGACGACCTGGAGGCGGGTACGGTTCCGGCGCGGAAACAATCTTGACAAGGGTCTCTTCAAGGTCGGTCTGAGTTGCCTTCAAGTCCTCCTGGAATGAGATGTCAACGAACCGGTCAATCACTAGTGTCATGGCGAGAAACTCACCGTGCTAGCCTGCCGGACCGCTTTCTCGGTAGACGCAAGCCATTGGAAGAGGTAGATCTCCCCGGTGTCACTGGAGAGGTTCGACTGCGCCAAGCAGTTATTCGGATGGGTTGCATTGTATGCACCGGGGGACTTACTTCGTCAACAGGCTCATAGATTGGAGGGGCTTCTGCAGACATGGAGGTCGCAGCAGACCCGGGGCAGCGGAGACGACCATCCACCTCCGAGATTGAGATCGGTGCGCGTCGGTGGCGGCAGCGCTCTCAGCCACGCCCTGCTCGCTGTCGCCGACACCCACGGCAGCCCACGCTGTCTTCCTCGCCGCTCGTGATGGCGAGCTCAAGCTCTGCAGTGGCGAACACCCTGTCTCCCACCGCCAGCAGGAAACCATCCCTCCCGCCCATTGAGATACCCACACCACTGCACTCGGACAACATCGACGTAGCCTCAGATACCAGCGAGACGGTAACCCCAGTCTCGCAACACTCATTGTCTTCAGTACCAGGATCCTCGATACCCGACAGCCGCGAAGAGGTCGCGTCCTCCGAATCGCGCGAGAGCAAACCGCAGTCATTTATCGCAGGTGCCTCAACAACGCCGCCCTCCGTCTACCCCTCGCATCATGCCGACGACCAGGCTCTCGTTTTCAACAAGTTCATCCTGTATGAGAATCGCCTCCGCTTCTACATCGTCGCGTCCAACACCTCCGACTCCCGGCACAAGATCATCAAGATCGACCGGACGTCGCAGGACGAACTCGAGGTCGTCGAGGATGAGGCCGTCTACAGCGGCAAGCAGATGAGCGCCATGCTCAAGATGCTCGAGGACGGCAACCGGGGCAGCGGCGGTTTGGGGCGGGCAAGGGTGTTCTTCGGCATCGCTGGTGCGCCCCGTCTCGGCCAGTATGTTACATATCTCTGTACCGACGAATATACTAGGTTTCGTGCAGTTCACCGCGGGGTGGTATATGATTGTCATCTCGAAGCGCTCCGTGGTTGCGCTCCTGGGTGGACACTACGTCTATCACTGTGAGAGCACGGACATCTTGCCGGTGTGCTTCAGCCACAAGATTGACAAACCCGCGGAGGAGCAACGCCTCATGAATATTTTCAAGCACGTTGACATGTCCAAGAACTTCTACTTCAGGTGCGTACGGCGGCAACCCGTCTGATGACAGGCACCAACGAACGAGGTTCAGTTACACTTATGACCTCACGTCCACTCTACAACACAACCTCACCCGCACGGGCCTGCCTCCACACCGACGGTGGATGCTCAACGACCGCTTTGCATGGAACAACCACTTGCTAACATCTCCTTTCAATGATGGGAAGTCGCCGGCCTCCAAGAACCACTGGCTCTTGCCACTGATTCACGGGCATGTTGATCAGGCTAGTTAGTATAGCTCGTCACTTTCACTCACCAATTCGTTCTGAAACGGCGCCACAGAACTCACTGTGCTTGGACGTGTCATCTTCATTACCCTCATCGCGCGGCGATCCCGGCATCATGCAGGCGCACGATACCTCAAGCGCGGTGTGAACGACGAAGTACGTCCACAGTGTTCTTGACTCGTGTGTTAATTATGACTGTGTAACAGGGCAATGTAGCCAACGAGGTCGAGACAGAGCAGATTGTCTCTGAGACACTCACCACGCCCTTCTACTATCCTGCGCAGCGCACACCTGACGGCGAGCACCAAGGCCGACGACCGAGCCCCAACTTCACTAGCTACGTACAGGTAAGCACCGCACCGCTCCCTCAAATCATGTGCTCAACGGGCGCAGTACCGAGGTAGCATCCCCGTCTACTGGGCACAAGAAACCAACAGCATGAGCCCCAAGCCGCCCATCGAGAGTACGTTCCCTCTCCACATCCATGCCCACCCCGCCAACCCCCTAACACGCACTCGCAGTCAGCGTGATGGACCCGTTCTACACCGCCGCGTCGCGGCACTTTGCCGACCTGTTCGCGCGGTACGGCGCACCGCTGATGCTGCTGAACCTCATCAAGAAGCGCGAGCCCGTCCCACGCGAGAACAAGCTCGGCATTGAGTACCAGCAGTGCGTCGAGTACCTCAACCAGTTCCTCCCGCCTCAGAAACACATGATCTATCGTGCGTGGGACATGTCGCGCGCGTACAAGGAGTGAGTCGCACTGTGGGGCGTGTGGATGAGCGGTTGCTGAGATAGTCGTGACAGGAAGACGCAAGACGTTATTGGAGTACTTGAGGATATCGCGGAAGAGTCCATACAGACGACGGGGTTTTTTCACTCTGGGCCCGAGCCGTTCTCGCATGCACTCGACATTGAAGCCCAGTAAGCCTCATCAGTCTCATGAAATCCCATTCTGACTGCATGGATGGCAGAGAGTCGGACGCCCCGGGAAGGTCATGGCGAAGTACAATGCTGCTGCAGAACGGCATCTGTCGTACGAACTGCGTGGACTGCCTTGACCGGACGAACGCCGCGCAGTTTGTGTTCGGGAAGCGGGCATTAGGCCACCAACTGTACGCACTTGGCGTCGTGGACTCGCCAAACCTCGCGTTCGACTCCGACGCGGTGAACATGCTGACTGAAATGTACCATGATCACGGAGACAGTGCGTCTACGTCCTTTCCTACCAATCACCTGGTACTGAGATTTCGGCCGTTGCGCACTAGGCCTCGCACTCCAATACACCGGCAGCGCCCTCGTCAATCGCGTCGAGACCTACCGCCGGATGCCACACTGGAACAGCCACTCCCGCGACATCATCGAGAACCTCCGCCGGTTTTACGCCAACTCCCTGCTTGACGCCGACAAGCAGGCCGCAATCAACCTCTTCCTCGGGATCAACCCCGAGCGCGCGGTCGCACGGCCGCCGCAGCGGGGCAAGTACCAGAAGTGGTTCAAGGAGGAGCACCTCGAGACCGCGTATGTGCTGGAGGATTGTGAGCGCGGAATCAACCAGTTCATCAACACGCGTGGAGATTTCTGGATCGAGTATTATAAGCCGTTGTTGTTCACTTCTCTGGGGAAGCATTTTGCGTTCTCAATGAATAGCACGCTGAAGCTGCCCGGGTAAGCCCAGTCCTCCGCAGACTTGCGAGGTATGAATTGACGGTAGCTTGTGCAGTAAGACTGCACGAGACATAAACCATAGCCCATTCCTACCACATCACAACACGTCTTCGCATCACCACCACCACCCGAAGTAAATCCTATGTTCCTCCAGCCAAGAATGTCGCTGACCGTTCTTTATCGCAGGTTGATGGACGGGGTTCGACGGTGGATGCGCTCAAGCCCCAAGGGCTCGCGCATGTCACCTGTGGACGGAGTAGCACGCCCTCGCTCTCGCTTCGTCGGCAATGCGGTGGAGTTAGACCCAACTTGTACTGAGGCAATTGCGACTCAGCTCATGGACCCAGCGGTGGCACCGAAGGAGGAGGACGAGTACCAGGAGTATGTGAACCACTCGAACCAGAATGAACTGCTTGTTGACAACGACTGCAGATACGTCAATCAGTATGAAGAGCTACTCGTGATGACCGACGACGGCGTCGCCCGCGATGACCGCGAGAAGTACCAGAGCGGCGTCTTCATCGCACACGGCGATCTCAGCTGGTTACAGGAAACGAAGGAGGACGTGTTTGCCACTTACGTGGAGAGCGTGAACCCACAGAGGCTGGACGGTCCCCGAGATTCGTTGCCGACCAAGTTCGACTACGAGAAGTGGATTACAGGCACAGCAATGCACTGAGCGTTTCACGACATACAATAATGTACAATGACAAGAGAGCGTGCGCAAGAAAAGCGAAGTACCAGCAATCAAAACGAAGAGGTATAAGTATTAAACCTGAAGCAGAATCAGTCGGTCCGCCTTGACAGTGTCGTACAATATATGCGCACTATATGCGATCCAAGAAAGAACAAACGTAGCCATCCAAATATGCACCCGAGACTCATACTTCACACTGCCCCCAATGCTAACGATACATACAGTATGTGCACATTATGATACCTCTGCGCTCAGAGCCTGCTCTCTACGAGAACATCGCTCCGCCTCCATCCAACGACGCCCTTCCCGAAGGCGGCCTCGAGGACCTCCTCGACAGTGCGCACGTAAACAATCTGCATTTGGGCGCGGACCTCCTTGGGCACGTCGTGCTCGACGTCCTTGCGGTTGGACCAAGGAAGGATGACCTTGGTGATCTGCGCACGGTGTGCCCCCAGGACCTTCTCCTTGATGCCACCGACCGGACCGACGCGTCCGCGGAGGGTGACTTCGCCGGTCATGGCAATGTTGCTGGGCACGCACACTCCTGTGAGCAGCGATACAAATGCACATGTCTGTCATAGGCCCCGTCAGTCCACTGCATTCGCGCGAGTAGAACCAAAGATGGCACTCACCATCGCAATCCCCGCCGACGGCCCATCCTTCTTCACCGCCCCACTCGGGAGATGCAAATGCACATCCACAGGGTCCGGGTTCTTTAACGGGTCCTGCGCGCGGGTCTTCGTGATATACAGGTCATACGCATGCCTCTTCACCCAGCTCAGCGCGAGCTCCGCGCTCTCCTTGATGACCTCGCCGAGGCTGCCGGTGAGCTTCAGCTTGCCCACGCCAGGCACCATGATCGTCTCGACGGGAAGCACGCCGCCCTCGCCCATGCCGGTGACGACGAGCCCATACACGAGCCCGCGCCGCTCCTCGCGCTCGCGCTCGTCCTCGTCCCAGCGCGCAATTCCAAGGATCGTCTCAAGCTCGTCTTCTGAGACGGCTTTCCTGTACTCCTTGTCGCTGGGTGCTTGCCGGGCGAGTACGTCGGATAGGTCAGCGTTCGGATCGGCGCCGATGCCGTCGCAGTACTCTGCCCACTCGACGGCCTTATACCGGACGACGGCACCGATGGCCCGTTCCAACGAGCGCACACCTGCTTCGCGGGTATAGTGGGTCGCTATATGCATGAGCACGGAGTCATCGATGCTGAGGTGATCTGCAGTCAGGCCGTTCGCCTGCAATTGTTTTGGAAGAAGGAAGCGGCGCGCGATATGCATCTTCTCATCATATGTATATCCTGGAACACTTCATGAGACGAGCATCTTCGAATTTTCGTAAGCAAACGTACCAGACAGATGTACAACCTCGCAGCGGTCCAGCAAAGGTGCTGCGATCGTCTCAAGGGTATTCGAAGTACAGATGAAGAGCACCTGGCTCAAGTCGACAGGTACATTGATGTAATGATCCTGTACATGCTCGCATGAGCGCGCATACACTGCTGTGCACACCGAGACTACTCACATGGAACGAGTGGTTTTGTTCTGGGTCCAAGACTTCAAGCAGCGCGGCTGCCGGGTCCCCATGGAAGTTACTGTGTGAGATCTTGTCGATCTCATCCCTGTCCACCCACAATCACCCTGAGTCCACCAACCCAACCCGAACTCGGAATGCGTCACTCACAAAAGAATCACAGGATCAGGCCGGCCAGCCTTCCTCAGAGCCTGCACGATGTTCCCGGGGCCACTGGCGACATACGTCCGCCTGTGCCCGCGGATCTCGCCCTCGTCACGCACACCGCCCAGCGAGATGCGCTGGAACGGTCGATCGAGCGCGCGGGCGATGGACTGCCCGAGCGAGGTTTTACCCGTACCCGGAGGTCCGACAAACCTGCATGACACAAGCATGAGCATCACAGATACTGTACTGAAACATGAGACAAGGCATAATTGCTTACAGAAGAATGGGTCCCTTCACGCTCTTCCTCGTAGATGGCTTTGGGACAGGCGAAGGCATAGGCAGGCCCTTCGGTACCGGGACAAGTGCCTTACTATCATCCCGTCCATCCACCTGTTGTTCCTTTGAGGTCTGTATATCCTGTTGCTGCGCCTGCGCAGCATTCTTCTCGCCTTCAAGCACCACCGATTGACCCTCCTTCTCCGCCTGAAGCTCTTTGAGCCTCACGACGGCCAGGTATTCAATCAGGCGCTTCTTGATTTTCTCGAGGCCGTAGTGATCTGCATCGAGCTGCGCGCGGGCTTTGCTCAAGAAGTTGCGGTCGCGCAGAGCTTCGAGGGAGGCGGTGGTCTGAGCAGAGCCGGGCCAGGGCACGGCAGTGAGCCATTCAAGCTGAGAGCAATGGCACAAATTAAGAAAGTGAGTGGACTGGGAAGAAAGACACACGTACGTAATTGCGAATGACGCCGTGCTCAACGCTGGTAGCCGGAGTCCGTCGGAGTCTCCTCCACTCCCTCACGGCGATCTTGCGCTCCTCGCTATTCTTGGCCATGGCCTCGATCTTCGCGCGGATGTCCGACATCTCGTTCGCCTCCGCCTGTTCCTCATCGTCCAGCTCAGACACGGGCGCGCCAGGCCCCCTGCTCTCTGCGGCGTCCGGCGTACCCGGCCGCGAAGGGACCGGTGCGGACCTGAGGTTGCGAAGCTCGCGCTGAATGGCGGCGAGCTGCTGGCGAAGGAAAAACTCCTTCTGCTGCTTGGACAGGCTCTCGTCAATTGACTGTGCGATCTTCTTGCTGACTTCCGAGATAGATGTCTGCTTGACAAATATCGCAGTAGCGCGCTTCAAGCGGTCGTCCGCGCGAACAACAGATAGGAAGTCTGCGGCGGGACTCTGCGTTAGCGCGCCCCGAACGTACGGAAGGCAGGGTCGGACGGGACGCACCGAGTTTGTCAGCGTACTCTACGTTGAGGCTCGCGGCGAGCATATCAGCGAGCCAGGGGGAGCGCTGGGTGGTCACCTCGTCGACCATATTGGAGAGCTTGACGTAGAAGTCGCGCTTGGAATCGTTGGGCGCATCGCGAGAGAGGCGGTCGAGCAGCTTGATCGCTGCGGCTTTGAACGTAGCGGCGGCCTCGGCGGAGGGCGCGCCCTCGGAGATTGGATACTCTACGATGCGCTCTGCAGGCCCCTCGATCTTCTCGCGCGGGTTCACCGGTTCCGGGAGGTGTATGCGTGCCAGACCAAGGAGGGTGAGCAGGTACGGCCGCTGGGTGTCGCGCGCGAGAGATCGCGGTGGTCGAACAACGCGCACGATGCGCGCCGCGGTTCCCCAGTTATGAAGCGTCGAAGAGTCCGCTGAGGGTATGGGGACGGCCGCTACGACGGGTGGAGTGTCGGCTTCCTGGACGAGTTCGAGGAGTAGTTCGCCGGCAGCGTTACTGACGGGGATGGTGATGCGGGCAGTTGGAAGAAGAATAAGAGGGTATGTAAGGGGTATAACAGGCAGAGCTTGGGACGACATGGCTGTGAAGAGAGAAGGGGAAGGAGAAGGATGGGAACCAGTCCCAGCCACCGTCCGCCGACCTGACCCCCGCTAGGCGCCCGCCCGCCATACTCGCACGTCACGCGACCCGTGCCTTGCAATCACAAGCCTCTGCCGTGGCCCGTCTCATGTCTATCGCGAAAACAAACGCAGCACTTCCTTCCCCAGTCGTTCGCTCCAAGTTCTGTTCACCAGACTACACATTGCGTGTGCAGAGAACTCGGTCATGCAAAGTTCCAGGCTCGTTATGGTTGCGTGCCAGCTGCGGACACCTCGAAGCTTTCCAATCTGAATCCGAATCTGCTTATTGTCTCGCCTGCCAGCGGACTCTACTTAGCAGACTCTAGCCTATCTAAGCATGCTACGCGCGGAGTTGACGCGTGTGCGCAACCGTTTCATGCAATGCAGTGATTCGTCGGTCAGTTACGCCGCCGGACGGGCGCGCCGTCAGAGTGTCAAAGAAACCGCGACAGGTGGCGACGGCCCGACGGCGGGAGTCGCCCAAAGCGGACATCGCGTCGCTTCAGCCAATCAGGAGCTCGGATCCTAGATTCGCTACGTACGGCGCGTACATTGGTTACCATGTCACTCGAATCCCATTAATATTCGCCTCACACAGCGGATAAACCGGCTTTGGGAATTGGATCATAGCAAGGGTCAGTAGGTACCAGTTCGTGAGACGTGACGACTCAAACCCAACGCCGTTGAACGTTGACCGGGACCAGCGGATCCTGCATGGAGGTCCACGTTCAGAGAGTAGAGTTCGATTTGATCTTGACATGAATACATGATGTAACAGGTTTAACAGACCAGCATATGCAACAAAGCATAACCATACTAGTACGCGAGTGATATTTTTCCCTTCAGGAAACCACAGCATTATGACGGACACGGAGCTAACCCGGTCCAGAGACTCAGCGACATTATTGAAAACATAATAGGATGCAGCACCGGACGGGACGATCGCAAGTGAGCGTGGCGAGGCGAGGCAGATGGGATTGGAACATTGGGATGGAACCAGGGATACAATGGTGGAAAACAGGTGGTGTGCGTCGACGGTGAAAGCCAATTGTCCTATAGACATGAGTGGCGGGGCCCACACCGGGGAGCCCGCTCTACTGTGCGTGCATGCGGATGACGTGCCTCCTTCAGAGGCGATATGCTGAGTGCGAGACATGAGACGTAGGAGATGGATCGAGATTTATGAACGAAGAGAGAACAGGAAACGAGAAACACAATTGTCGAGCCCGTCGACGCAGCTCATGAGGATATCTATGCAGTGGCCCGCTTGACCATCTGTGGCGAACACGTCAGAAAGAATACAGCCAGGCAGATCGCGATGACTGACCTCGCGTGCCCAGCGCAGGGTCTTCTTCACGTCCTGTGGGTAACGGTTCTTTTGACGTAGCTCGTTCATCAACCAGTCCGAGAGCAAGAGCTGCTTGACCTGGCCATCAGGGAAGGTGTCCGCCAGATCGCCGATGAGGCCGAAGCACAGCTTGGCAGCCGTGTCTGTCCGCTCGCTGTCCGCCAGACACTTTTGCACGAGCTCCAAGATGTGCGGGATGTGTGGAAGGAGCAGCGTGGCTACACAAGCAACGATGAGCTTCAGGCCGACTAGAAAAAGACACAAGACATACACTTCTCCGTGTTCTTGAGACCTGCGACGATACCAGTGTACGCCTCAAGGATACCTTCCCGCAGGGATGCGACGTACTCGACCATGTCGAGGTCAAGCTGAAGCCGACAGTCAGCACGATACACAAACGAACGGATAGCATATACCTACCGGGTTCGGCTGCACCGCGCCAGCTTGCCGCAACACGCCCATGGTCGTCTGCATATACGGCTCGAACGTCATGCCAATCGCCAGCGCGATATCACCAAAGCACGACAAGATCGACACCTTCACGTCGCGGTTCAGCACCTCGCTCGACAGGTCCTCCAGGAGCACGCCCATGAACGCGTTCGCGTACTGCGAGCTGTGCTCGCCAAGCGCACGGCAGATGTCGCCGATGACGCCCACGGCGACCGTGCACAACTGCGTGTCGTCGAAGGCCTTGAGCGCGGGGTACAGGAAGGGCAGGAACGCCGAGATGTACGGCGCGAAGCCCTGCTCCAGCGAGGCGGCGAGCGAGCCGACGACGAGGAAGGCGTCCTCGAGGATGGTAGACGTCTTCCCTGCTGCTGACATGAGCTGGAGAATGAGGGTCATAATCCGGTCAGCCAGCGGTTGGATGCCCTCGCCGAGTTTGCGGGTGACACTCTGCCCGAAGCATGAACTTCAGTCGCCGACGCATATGAAGAGCTCGAGATACGCACGATGATGACACTGCAGAAGTTGCTTTGGAGGTCGTTCCAGTTGTTCCTGTCATCGACACCGACGATTTGGTTCTGGAGATGATCAGACAAATGCAGAACTCCGATGGCTAAGATCCCACTCACTTGCATGGCAAGCAACTGCTCCATCCGCGCAAGGATAGCGACCGCCGTGTTCTGAACCACGGGGATAGTGTCCGCGGACGAGTGCGTGACGTAGGACGTGATGGCCTCGTATGCAGCGGTACGGTAGTTACCTTCGTTGCTCGCGCTGTCGCGAAGAGTCAGAGCGGTTCACCGGAAAGGGACAACAACGCACGTCTCGGTAACACGCAAGAGTGCCTGCACAATCCCGTCAACATACGGCGACAGCGGGTTAGTGTTCGCCGCAGAGACGTCGTCGCCCTCGCTGTACCCCAACTGGTCCGCGAGGTTCATCAGCGCCCAGCAGCAGTTCGCCACGATGCGCGGGTTGTCCTGCAGGCCGTTGACGAGCGCAGACACGAGGGGGTGGAGGTGCACGTCCGGCTTGATCGTGTTGATGAGCAGGTCGCATATCCGGCCGAGCGTCCACGCATCCGTGTCCTTGACGTGCAGATTCGGGTCGTTCATCATGTCGATCAGGATCGGCAGCGCCTGGTTGACCAGCGGTGTGAGCACGTTCGGGTCGGGGCCCTCGAGGATCGAGCCAAACGCCATGACGGCCGCCTCGCGGTGGTGCCAGTCCTGTGCCTTGATGTTCGCCTCGATGAACGGAATGACTGCGGGCACGATCGTGTCTGCGACGGCCTGTGCGAGCAGACCCAGGCATGTCCCCGCCGCCATGGAGATATTCCATTCGTCCTCATCCGCGTCCTCCTCCTGCCGGGTGAGGAGCTGGAGCAGCACGGGCACGATCTCGGGCAGCGCGATCTTCGCGAAGAATTTGCTCTCATTTTCGGGCAGCTCACCGTATTCGGAGGCCTATCCCCGTACCTGGTCGGTATTTGTCTATTCCGGTAATCTCGGAGACGCACCTCTTGGGCTTCCCATATCAAATCCGTCTCGATCTCGCAGACTGTCGACCAGAACTCGACAGCCTGCAGAGCGATCGTCTCTTCAGTGTGCTTCATGCCCATAACAGTGAGCTGCAATATAACAATCAGCAAAATATCTCAGTCGCCAACGTGGACGGCCACTCACGCCGAACAGAGCACGCTCCATGTAAAAGCTCATTTTCTCGTAATAGAGGGTCATGATCTTGACAAGGCACTCAAACGCGCCGACCTGGACAGTGACGGAGGGACTCTGGGTTGCCTCACAAACAACTTGCATGATGTAGTTGCGCTCGCCCTTGAACCTATGTCAATCCAAAGCATACCTGACAAAAGGACTTTCCCTCACCTCACGCTCAAAGTTTTCGCGCACGAACTCCAGAGAGTTCAGGAGCGCGGTGATGGCCGCCAACTGAACCTCCGGAGACGGCTCCTCCTTACGTGCACCGTGAATGACAGCCGTGAGGATCTCGTTCGAGCGCATTGCGAGGATCTCAGGTTTCTAATGCGCATACTCAATAGTGTGGTGTCTTGCGCGCAACAAACACTCACGATAGTCTCACAGATGAAGCCAATCGCCTGGAGGGTCGCGACGCGCATGTTCGTGCTGGACTGGTTGTTCACGAAGCCGAGGAGGATCTCAATGAGCTCAGACCACTGGCCCTGCGGGAGCTCGACGGAGGCGATGGCGGCGACGACCTGGGCGGCGACGGTGCCGATTTTGGCGTTGGTCGAGCCGAGGGCCATCATGCCGTCCTGCTTGACCTTGTTGCGCGTGTTGTCGTCGAGCGCGAGCCATCGGTTGGAGTTGTCTAGTTGTCGTGCGCTTTCCTGGGCAGGGGGTCAGCACGCAGGCGGCAGGGGGCGGGATGATCGCATCACTCACTCGGGCGGTCAGAGCGTTCTTGAGCGCGAGACCGGCCGCGTTCCTGACGTGCTGGGGCGAGCTTTCGTTGACGAGCTCGGTGGAGAGCATCATCATGTATGCGGGCTGTCCGTCGCGGAGACACGAGTCAGTAGGAGGGCGATCGGGGGACGGGCGGCACTGACATAGTTCTCCTGGGACGCGGCCTCGAGCTTCGCGGTCGCATCCTGACGCGTGTGTCCATCTGCGCGCGGGCACGAACAGCGCAGGGATGAGTTTCAGCGCGACGGACGCGGAGAGAAGGGAGAAAGGCGGGTGCGCACCGGCAGATAGGGTATTGGCGAGGAGCTCGCTAGCGTTCATGGTCGGTCGTGGGCTGTGCGCGGACAGGAGACGGTTGGGCGGTGGTGGAGAGAACGGGCGATGTTTTGAAGGACAGTGGGCTTGCACGCGGAGAGTGGCGGCTCGTGCAGGGTGGAGGGAGGAGAGGAGATGCGCTCGACGGCAGGCAGCCCACGCGCGGCGTCGGATTTTCAAAGCCACCTTCTCCATCCAGTTATCAACACGAGCCACACCCGCCTCCAACACAACGCAGGCCAAAGGCAGGCCCCAGCTTTGTCCCCGCTGCCCCGCTGACCTTTATTCTTCGTCGTGATGCCCAACAGTCTCCTCGGACCCGCCCGTATACACCCCGCGAGGCGCTTGCCCTTGTTCTCTCCCTCACGCGTTCTCGCAACTACCCCAACCACACCAAATGGCTGACAGGGTATGCAGTTCTCTCTCAGCTACGTGCGCTCAGCTCATGCCCTTTGTCCTAGGGTCGTGGCGCAGGCAGAGGTGGCGCGCGAGGCGCAGCCTCAAACAGAGGGCGCGGTTCGCAGTCAGTCCTTTCTGTCCGCACCAAAATGCCATCAATCGTGCTGATGAGTACGTGCGCGCCGCATATACAGAGCCCAGCCAACAATGGACAAGCCGAAGCGCGAGGCTATTCTCGATCTGTCCAAATACGCCAACGAAAGGATACGAGTCAAGTTCACGGGCGGCAGAGAAGGTACCGTGTCTGCGTTCTATCGTGCAGCACACGTACGCTAAGTGCCCTTAGTTACTGGCGTGCTGAAGGGCTATGATCAGCTACTCAACCTTGTGCTCGACGAAGTCGAAGAAAATCTCCAGACAGGTGCGGTCTCTTACATCTTCCCGCCTCCACTACGTTCTGACTTTGACCGTGGACAGAGTCAGACTCGGAACCAAAAACTCGTCAACTGGGACTTGTGGTGCTCCGTGGGCCCACGATCACCCTCCTCAGCCCGGTAGACGGATCTGAGGAGATTGCGAACCCCTTCGCGCAGCAAGAATGAGCCACCGCGCCCGTACTGCGACGGTTCTTGTGACAAGCAGAAGACTTCTTGCAAAGGGCTTGGGATAGCATATACCGATCTCGGGGATCTGTTCCATATATGCCGATGAATGGCTCGTCTGAGTGACGACGCAGTTGAGTACGTATGTACCGTGAATTCTCTCATGTACCTCGCTGATCTGTAGACTACTTGCAACGAAGTGTGCACTTGTACATGATAAATGTCACCACAGACCGATGATCGCCCAAGTTGTGTGTCGTGAAAGTCCACCTGCAAGCCGCTAACCACAAGATACAACAGTCAGATAGACCAACACGAGTGCGACGTCCGATAAACTAGTGTACAACCTGTATGTATTACGAGAAGACGACATGCACGAATATGTACAAAAGCAGCACGCCTACCCATGGATGTATGTAATCCGCCGCACCAAGTCCGTCCATCGCGCGCAAGCGACCATACGCGGCAGGTTCACCGATCCACCTCCGCAGCCTAACGACATGAATGGCGCCGAGCACCTCGCGGCAGCCTCGCGCCTCGAGACCGCACGCGCGCATCACTTCCCCGCGCTGGGGGCGACGTAGTCTCGGGAGAGGTCGATCTGCCCCTTGAGATGCGTATTCGTGATGCGCACCTGCCGCTGCCGCGGCGCGGACTTCTTCCCCTTCTTCTTTGTGTTCGACCCCCTGGGCACGACCGCCTCGGCGGCGGTCGCCTGCAGGCCCTCCGAAGCGAGCTGCTTCAGGAGGTCGACGTCGTTGGGGACTGTGAGCGAGTGCCAGAGGTCGTTGAACTCTGCGCGGAGAGGTCAACTGCGATCCCAAGTGGATAGACGTGTATACGCACCTTTCTCGACCGAAAGACCCCCGCTCTCCTCGTCAGGCTTCATCTCGTTCCAGAAGACCATCCGCATCTGCCCGTCCTTCAACGTCCGTGTGACATACACCTCGCCCTCCTTCTCGAGCTCCTCGACCGCCTGTGGCGCCTCCTTCCAGCTCTCTTTGAGTGTGCGGATGGACAGCCCGCCGCCCTTGCGTGTTTGTCGCTGGATCTCTGTGAGGAGCGCCGCTTTATTCCGCACGTTGAAGTCATGCTGGCGGCTCCGGATAAGGGTCAGTAAGGGCGAGGAAGCCGAGCATACGCACCCGGTAGGAGTACAAGTCTGTCCGTGGGTCATGCACGACGCGGTCGTGCGCGCGGAACTTCTCCAGGAGCGCCGGGTGTGTGTCGACGGGGATGTTCGTGATGATGGCCAGGTCCTGCAGCCGCATGGGGTTGCCGTTCGACTTGAGGTGGTTCACGAGGTACACGAGCTGCGTGTTGACGTTCGTGCCCGTGCCCGTGTCGGCGGGCTGCGAGTAGACGACATCTGCGGCGACAGGTCAGCCAGGGCCACCGTGACAGGCACTCGGGCAGAGACGTACTGGACTTTGGCCGCTTCTTCTTCTTGTGCGGCGGCTCAGAAGACTCTACGGGAGGAGGCGCGGCCGGGGCGGGCGGTGCGGGTTCTGGCTGGGCGTGCCAGGAGGAGTAGTCCTGCCTGTGGAGGGCAGACTTGAATGCGGCGGCGTCCCTGGCGAGCGCAGCCATGGTGGTCGGAGACGAGGAGGGCGGGGTGCGGCGGGCGGGTTGTGGGCGGCTGTTTGGGCAAGTATGTACAGGGCACGTGGGCGTGCGCGTCTGGGGCGGGCAGGCTGTGGGCGGGCGACGCTGAAGTTGATCTGACCAAGTCTGACCACCTCTTGGCCCGGGATGGCTCAGGGTGACATGGCCTTCTTCTCCAGGCCGTCCTCCGCCGCAGTCAAGATAGTCGCTCCTTCCACCCAGGACCCTCCCAGCCCAAGGTCTCCGTCCGCCAAGAAGGGTGAGTCCGAGAACCGCCCCCCGAGCCTTCACTCACCCCCCGCAGACTCTACCCAACGCCAGTGTAGAAATATCCTCATATACGGGTGCGTGCCAGTCTCGGACACTCCGCAACCGTCGTTAAATGTACTCGTAGATCGTGTAAATTCCAAGATAAAGGCTGTATCTATTATCATCCTCCTGCCGTGCGTGCCTCCCCGCAGTGAGCCACCCCGCACTCACACCCCCACAGCGCGACGACTCTTCGCCTGTGTGAGCGCATCCATTCTCTCTTTGTGTGTCCGTATGGGCTTACGCTCCGCAGACCACCTGATTCTCCTGTTCCGAGTGCCGCGCTGCCGGCTCAGGCCGTTAACGCACCTGTATTCGTTCCGAAGACCGCAACCGCAGAGAGCCCTGAACCAGTCCCCGCTGTCCCGTCGTTCCCTTCCATCTTTTCGTGCGTCTTCCGCTGCTCGTCTCTACACATGTCTCATGGTATTGTAGTCCATCCGAAGTGCCGTCGGAACATCAGTTAGTCGAGTCTGACTACCAAGAGATCGACGAGTACGACCCCTTCGCCTACGATGGCACCAATGGCGACACCTTCAGCGATGGGTCCCATCTTGTGAGTTCCTACTCATCCGAAAAGTTCTGTGCCTGACGTCCATTAGATGGCGAACCCATACGCAAACGGCGCTGATCCTGCGATGATGGGCTTCGACGGAGATCCGCTGTATTCTACCCAGTTTACCTTCGCTCAGCAACCAGTGTGTTCTCCACTCAGTCTTCTCTATGATGCCCCTCGCTTCATTCACCTTTCACAGCTGAATTACCACCTGTACACACAACCGCGCCCCGAGAACCTCGCACATCGGTACTTCATATCGGATAACATCCGTGAGGAGCTTCAGAATCGCGCTGAGACGCTGTACAACTCCCCGGCTCACGGACTTAATTTACCTGAGGAGCTACAGGGGTATCACTCCCTACTTCCCCTGGAGCCCACTGCCGGCGAGCGCCGCAAGTTTGGTAATTGGTATTCGACGATGTATCGCGCAACGACCTTCACGGACGGTGTGTCGTACGCCTTGCGGCGCGTCGAGAGTGCGTTTTACACTGTCGGCGATCTGACTCGCATTGATATATTGCCTATGCAGACTTTCGCTTGATGCAGCAGGCCGCGTTCAGTGGGATCGAAACGTGGTCCCGCCTTCGACACCCCAACATCATCTCCGTGCGCGAAGCCTTCACCACGCGCGCCTTCGGCGACAACTGTACGTACACCCATTCTTCCCCCGCTTCCCATCGATCTCACTCCGCTACAGCGCTCGTCGTCGTGTACGACTACCACCCGAACGCGCGCACGCTGTACGAGGCGCACATCAAGCCCAAGGCACCGCAGTACCAGAACGGCCGCCTGATGACCCAGAGCCCCCGCCTCCCGGAGAGGACGATCTGGTCGTACGTTATACAGCTCGCGCGTGCGGTCAAGGCCGTCCACGACGCGGGCATGGCCGTACGCATCATCGATGCGACGAAGGTGCTCGTCACCGGCCAGAACAGGTGCGCCCGCCCGTCCTCTCCAGCCCATCCTCGCTGACCGGTTGCTAGGCTCCGCATCAGCGCGTGCGGCGTGGTGGACGTGCTGACGTACGAGGCGCACCCGGACGTGTCGATCCTGCAGCAGGAGGACCTGATGATGTTCGGGAAGCTCGTGTTCGCGCTGTGCACGAATAACCTCGCGGCGATGAACAACTTTGCGAAGGCGGTCGAGAATGTCGGGAGGCATTACTCTGCGGAGCTCAAGGCCGTCGCGCTCTTCCTCGTGTCGAAGCCCGCGCCGAACAAGGTGCGTGCGCATACCGCTCTCGCAGGGACGACACGATGCTGAGTCGCGTCGGTCTGTGCATCTCAGACGATCGGTCAGTTGTTTGAGATGTTTGGTGGACGGATGCTCGCGGAGATGGACGAGATGCAAAAGTGGGTCGTGCGGGGAGACGATCCCCGGCTTCGTGCTAATAACGCCCCTTCCCTCGTCCCGCAGCGCTATCGATTGCCTCGAAGGCGAGCTGATGAGCGAGCTCGAGAACGCGCGGCTCGTCAGGCTGCTCTGCAAGTTTGGGTTCATCAACGAACGGCCTGAGTGCGTCGCCTTGCGTCTCGGTTGGCTGGATGACAGAGTGTTGACGGGGTGTTAGGTTCGCAAGGGAGCCGAGATGGTCGGAGACGGGGGACAGGTATATCATCAAGCTGTTCCGCGACTACGTCTTCCATCAGGTCGACGAACATGGCAATCCTGTGGTCAATCTGTCGCATGTCTTGACATCCCTGAACAAGGTGAGTGTCGAGACGCCACCCGGGGAACGCAGCTGAATATGAAAATGCGCATAGCTGGACGCCGGCAGCGAGGAACGGATCATGCTTGTGTCTCGGGACGAACAGAGCTGTCTGGTTGTGAGCTATAAGGAGGTCAAGTCTTGTATCGACTCTGCGTTCAGGTGTGTTCAGTGATGCATTGAGCTTGCTCCATCTGACAATGATTTCGCAGCGAGCTGTCCAGGCGCTGAAGACGAGGGGGTGGTACATTCATTGCACAGAAAATAGCTAGAATCAGAAAAAGACGCAGAAAATACAGACAAAATGACGACCCGGCTTTCTCTCTACCTGTGGCCTCGCATCGCCTGTCGCATGCCTGTCATCGTACTCTCATATTGATGATAGAGACGCCTCCGAGTCGTATGACTGTGGAGGTCGTGTTGTGCGCATGGATCACTGCGTTCTCCGTCCTCGTGAGCCCACTCGATCATTCTCAGATAATGAATAGGTCGCCGGGAGTGCGTCCCGGTGGACCGCATTCTTGTTTGTGACGTGTTTTGCAGGACGCGGACAAAGGACACCTCAGCCCCCAGAACAGATGGGCCGCCGGCTGCCTCGAGGGCCGTGTTTCAGGCGGACGCGACGCTCAGCGCGACGGTGGGCCAGTGCGCCGATGAGTGCGATAGAGCTGCGTTTGGGCTGAACCTTCTGACTTCTTGCTGCACGCGTTGCAAAAGATCTGCAACTCAGCCTCAGCGAACGCTGCCCTGCAGGTTCGCGGCTCTTCCGTTCTCATGCCATACTGTATTTGGTATACGGCCGTGATTCAGCCGTCCTCTCGACATATCAGGCCTGTGGTAGCGATCGTGTCTGCATTCTTGCACGCTGTGGACACTAATGCGTCGTGCCATCGTCGTCTGAGATGCAGGAGCAGCGGCCAGTGAGACCGCACGGCGGAGAATGGACGGATTCAGCCACCGGCGATCAGCGCGTCGCGTACTGACGCACGCACGTGACGGGGAATGCCGTCGGTAGCACGGTTTCCATATATGGGACAAGCATAGAGTAGACGCAGCGAAGGCGGGCTTGTGCTAGCTTCAAGCTTGTGCTCATCACCTCGCCCTCAGCAAGCATCGCAGGCCACTCCTCTCGCCACCGCCCAGGCCGCCTTTCTCGCCGTCCCCGACGACCCGCACACGCAGGTCTCTCGATGGCCACTGCGTACGCACAGCCCACCAGCGCCCTCCAATCGCCCCGCGAGCACTTCCTCCAGCCAAACACCCCGCCCCAGCCGCGCAAGCATGCATCCAGGCAGCGGTTCGCCCAAGAGTTCTCGCAGTGTCTCTACGACTTCGTCATCCAGCTCCTGCCCACCGCCGAGGAGCTCGCCGTCAAGGAGGACGTGCGCAAGCTCCTCGAGCGACTGATCCGTACTATCGAGCCCGACAGCCGGCTGTTGCAGTTTGGGAGTACCGCTAATGGATTCAGTCTCAGGAACTCAGGTGCGCGACTCTGGATGAGCTTACGCGTTCTCGAGCTGACCGTTGCCCAGACATGGACCTCTGCTGCCTGATCGACTCTGAGGAACGCCTCGCCGCCACTGACCTGGTGAACATGGCTGGCGATCTCTTGGAGCGAGGTACGCAGCCTCGCATATTCACTCTCGAAATTTCTAAACGCAATGGCGCCACAGAAACCAAATTTCATGTCAAGCCCTTGCCTCACGCACGTATACCGATTGTGAAGCTCTCCCTTGATCCCGCACCAGGTCTCCCGTATGGAATCGCGTGCGATATCGGGTTCGAGAATAGACTCGCGCTAGAGAACACACGTTTGCTGATGTGTTACGCGATGATTGATCCGCCTCGCGTCCGAACAATGGTCCTGTTCCGTGAGTCGTTGTGGCCACCTCTGCGACGCGCCACATACTGACTAACTCTTCTCGTAAATTTTCAGTCAAAGTATGGAGCAAACGACGGTGCGTTGCACGTTTTACCTCTCAGAGACGCGATTTGTTCTGACTTTGATGCAGGAAAATCAACTCGCCCTACAAAGGCACCCTGTCATCATATGGCTACGTCCTACTTGTAATCTATTTCCTTGTACATGTCAAAAGCCCACCAGTGCTACCCAATCTCCAAGTCATGCCTCCCCTTCGGCCTATATCAAAGGTGTGCATGTTCTGAATGAGGACCGCATGGACGCTCATGATACCTCCAGGAGGAAACCCATTTAAATGGTCATAATATATGGTCAGTCGGGTGCGAGCTGCGGTTGTTCGCGGGACTGACTGTATACAGGTTCTTTGATGATATCGAGCTCCTACGACAGCGTTGGAAGTCGTCAAACACAGATAGCGTTGCAGAGCTGTATGCATAACTTCATGCAGCATGCCGGGGATCGCCGCTGATGTCATGCACTCACAGCCTCATTGACTTCTTCAAGTTCTATTCCCGCGAGTTCCAGTATTCGCACGGTGTTGCATCTATTCGTGCTGGTCTGCTGACGAAGGATAGCAAGGGCTGGGAGAGCGAGGTAGGACGTCTCGTGAGGTGAGGTTATGCGTGGTGCTGACTTGGCATAGTACGAGAAGGGCAGCCCAAGAGAGCGCAACCGCTTATGTATAGAGGTCAGTCCACGAGTGTTTCGCATAATGGGACTCTACCCTCACACAATGCAGGATCCGTTTGAGGTTGACTACAACGTCTCACGATGCGTGACGAAAGACGGTCTCTATACTGTATGTATCGCCCTTCGTAGAAGTGTTCTTATCCTCACGAACCCGGTTGGCCCAGATTCGTGGCGAGTTCATGCGGGCATCGCGTATTCTCGCCACCCGGCCCGATCGCGCTATCGTCGCTCTCGCCCAGCTTTGCGAGGAGCGCAAAGAAGAGGAACTTGTGCACCCACTACCCAACAACGGCCTATTCATCCCGCCACGTCTATCCCCCCTCCCGCCACAAGTTCCATATACCGTCAACAGCAGCCCGATGCGACCTGCGCGTCTTCCTGTGGCTGACCAGGTCTCACCGTCAGATACGAACCCATCCAGCCCGTCATCGCCCCCGACGGCGTCTTCGGGCCCATCCTCGCCGCCCCAGCAACCGAAGGCTTCGCCCCCCGTCACCCTCCCGGTCCGTCTGGACCAGCTGGAACATATGGCTCCGAGGCGAGGAAAGTGGACCAGTCCTCCTCCGCCTGACGCACCTGAGGAAGACCGTTCTGCCTTCGAGAACCGCCTCGGGCAGAGCCTCTCGCTCGCTACCGCCCCAAGCCCTGCTCGGCACCCTGAGCACCCTCGACCGCCGCATCCAACATCCTCCAACGCGAGTGAAGCGTACACTGACGATGACTCTCGGTCAGACATCAGCAACTCCGACGATGTGCGCTCAGTGCAATCCTTCGTCGAGGAAGGTGCACCGAAACGGCGTCGTGAGAAGGACCGGGAAAGCGAGCGAGAGCCTACTGTGACACTTGAGCGTCAACAGCTGCGGCAGATGCACACTTCCCCGATCCCTTTCGCTGCTGATCCGTCGAGCTCGCGATCAACGCTGAGGCAAGAGGGCGGAATGGATCCCAGGATGCTTGCCCGAATACGCGGGCGGCCAGCCTTGCGACTCGCGCAGCAGCAAAGCGAGATCAACGCAGCTGCTTACGTCGATGCCCAGCGCGGCCAGAACTCTTTCACGCCTCCACCGCGCATCGAGTCACCGCGACGGTCACTGTCGGGCCCGGCGCGGACATCATTCCCTCAACGACTGTCGCAAATGGCTATACCCAACTACATACCCAACAATAACAACAACAACCGAGCACCATATGTATCCCTAGCGGACTACCAGTCCCCACAACAGCCGTCATCCGCATATATCCCCAATGGCAACATATTCTACGAGACGACCCCCGCCAAGGATAGGCTCTCCCGTGCTGTACCATATACTTTCAACATGTCTCCTGTCTCTCCTATATCGCCTCAGCAGCACTTCGAGTTGAGGAACTACTACGATTCTCCTATCTCGTCGGGCGCCTCATCTTCGCCCTCGTCCTCACCGCGACACATGTCGACCGTGCCCCAGCAGATGTCCTCCTCACAGAGACAGCCTGCCCCGAGGCACCTTCCCCCCTCTCTGCGGCGCAGCTCAAAGCTCGCCCAGCCTGCAGTGCTGACCCCGCCGCCCCGGTACGAGACGACGATGCTCTCGCCGACGACGGTCACGTACTCGCACTCACATACGCATTCTTCTGCGACCATCACGTCCGCGACCACGCCGCGGGCGCATATCCAGAGCTTTGCCAACGGCAACGGCCAGTCGCTCTCGCCGTCGCTCTCGCGCTCCCGCTCGCCGCACGGCGCGCCGGGCCATCCACACTCCCGCCCGCACTCACGGCAGCAGCTCCCACCTCGGCTCGGGGGAGGCGGTGGCGTCATGCGCCCGGCCTCGCCGTTTGCGTCGATCTCATCGGGGAGTGCGTCGCCGCCAATGTCGTGCACGAGCTCGCTGTACGCGCCGTCGTGCTCGCCGCTGTCGACGTCGCCCCCGTCGCCGGCGCAGAGTGATACGTTTGGCAAGCAGGCTGCGGCTGCTGTGCCCGCGCATGCGCCGCTCGTGCTGGGACATGAGCGGTTGCAGGCGAAGTGCCCTGAACATGAAGAATCGCCCCCGACTTCCCGGCCCAAGGATGCATTCGACACGGATAGTCATCGGTGTAAGGAGGAGGCAGCTCAGCAGCAAGTGGTCACCGTGTCCAAAAAGGAACAGCCGAAGCAAGAAGGGGCCGGACGCTAGCAGAGGTAGGGCTGTTCTGTGGCGTTGGATTACACGCCCTCTCCGTGCTTGCTGCAGACCGCGGCGCTCTGTGCGAAGTCCGCGGGAGGTGGGACACTGCGCGAGTCTGTTTGCTTGAATTGTACATGCTATGGATCCCGCTATGTTCTGCATCGACTATGCTTTGGTTAACCGTCATGTTGCATTGTCCGTACGGCTTTCGAGGGTATGATACGCAGCTTCGTAACTAGTAACTCACTGTCCCTATTCCCGTTCCCATCCTCTCTCTTGACCTCGTCCTCCATTCGTCACGGCCGTGTTGCTTTGCTACTTGCCGGGCGAACGGAGCGGTGATCACTGCAGCGGCGTCCCCCTGCCGCGACTGTGCTTGCTTCTGAGCGGCATGCATGGGTGCGTCCTGTACCTCCACCCCGTAGCCTCGCGCGTTTGTACAGAATTGTACTGTAGTAGACACCAATCTTATGTCAAAGCAGTAATGTGGATACGGAATGCGCGAGCTCTACTTTCCCAAAATCATTTGGGGTCAGATGTTGCCGTAGAAATTCATAAGGGCTTTGCGACCCTACTTTCTCTGGTCCTCAGCTGGCTGTCTGAGACATCGTCTGTGGCACCGCGATGCTATGCTGCCGACTGGGACCTGCCATCGACGAGCTCCTGCTCCTGTTCTTTTCACTTCAATGCATTCCGCTCGATTTCTGCAATTGAGTAGTATCAAACTTCTTTAGCAGGCGGCAGGTTGTGGTGAAGGCTCTGATTTCGCTCTGATGCCGACGGGCACGTCGCGTCGCAAAATCGACGTCCGGTCTCGCGCGGCGTCGACTCTACAGCGCTAAGACGCACACCGCGCAATAGTATGTTTCGAGTGCCACACCGTTGTTCTGTTGAGATTGAACGGATTGGAACTGCGTTCTATGATTTCGATGGCACCAAGATAAACATAAGTTGTGTGTCCGACCAGCAGTTGTGACATCTGGTATGCTGGAAGATCTTCGGATTCCGTACGGCGGACTGTTGAACGATGATTACATGTAATTTGATTACTTGAGTCTACTTGAGTGTCTACGACGTCGAGGAGCCCCAGCGCTCGAGTACTGAGGTATACCGGCACTTGCCATATTGGTCTTTGCAACATCCCCACTGGTAGCCTGAGTGCTCCACGACTGTGATGACTTGATACGGAGGTGAATATCTGCGAGCATCTGTGTCTGCTGGTAAGTTATCAGCCAGGCACCACAGCGAATCGCAACCCTGAGGTTCGAAACTAGACCTCTGAGTCGACTGCTCCATTCTCGGTTGCTAACGGCACTGGCAGCTCTCATCACTAGTAACCATAGCTTGCAATCGGCCTGTGGAAAAATAAAAGGAACGTGCAGTTTGTTCGGACTTCGCTGCGCAATTTTCTAACCCCCTGGCCTCGGCAGCGCTGCGCTTATGTAGGTTGCAGCGCCACCAGCCCACGATCGACTCGGACGCCGTTCGCATCACAGTTGAACGAGATCCTGCTACAGGCTGGCCCGCAGTACGCAAGTCGCCTATCAACTGACCCTGGGGTCGTCGATCGTACGTACTCCGTTTGACTGTGTACGCTGTCTTTCATTCGCTCACAGGAGGCAGTGCGGCGTACTCACTGGCAGTGACGTGTCACTGGCACTTGCCACGCTCAAGCTCTACTCAAGGTCTCCATGTATGTTTTCTGTCAGGGCGGCTGAACCTGTGCATAGTTATTAGTAATGGGATTGCACAGTCCGGGACCGGTGCGTCGTCTATGGCAAGGACGCTCATGGCAGTCCATTTGGAGTTTGTGTACCCCGCTGTGAGACCGGCTCACTGCAAACGCCCTGACACAGATCGGCGATGCGTCGTTATACCTGCGCGAAAGGGGCGCGCGTAAGGGTGCAGTACACCTTAGCGTGCTGGTGTTCCGGCAGGCGATCTTCTAGCGGATGAGAGTCACTCTGCCCGTGCCCGAGCGAAGACCAAAATGGTAATTGGCGTCAAGATGTTGCAGCCTTTCTGGCTGAACACACTTGATTTCGAGGCATGTTTTCATACAACTAATGGCCCCGAAGACACAGCTACGTGAGGGGATCAGTATTGAACTTCCCCCGAGTCGTTTCCTTTCATCCTCCAGTCGTTGTTGCAGCGCTCGTGGGTGACAGCTTCCACGAGATTGACAGGGTGCGGTGATGGCCGCGCACCTTGCCCTACCTCTTTCATTCGTGGTGGCTATTCAATCGCGATCCGTCCATTCACACCACACCGGTACCGGTCTCAGGCTTCAGCTAGCGGCGTATAAAGGAGACAATGGCGCACAATCAACCAGCATCGTTCTCTCTTTTTCCTTTCTTTCGATGTCAAATTCCACTGTTCACGTCTTCCCTGCGCCCATTGGTGGCGTTCCTTTCCCTCATGATTTTGCCCCCGCCTTGATCTTCACGATACTCTATGCAATCATCTCTCCTATTGGGATCTGGCGAATGGTCGACAAACGTTCACGGACGCTCGCCATCCTCGGTAATGTGATCATCTGTATAGAGCGGTAAGTGCAATGTGTGAGATCGTTTGTCACAGTCTACTGATTCTCAGCCCCCAGAGTCGCTGACTTCGCCATCCGTGCCGCGGAGGCCGAAAAGCCCAGCATCCGAACCACGCAATTCTTCGTCAGTTGGCTGCAGAGTGCCTACGCCATGGGCTACCTCAGTACGACAACGGAGGTCACCAACCTCGCGCGGCTGTTCCTCAGCTCTACTACCGAAGGCACTTGCCCTCCTCCCATCAAGCCCCTGCCATTCGACCGGCAGTTTTCCCGCACGGACAGCGAAGAGCAGCCACTTACGGCATCCGGCCCCATCGAGGATGCTAGTTCGTCCTATAGTGCGCTGCCTGCCATCGAGCAGGAGGGCTTTGAGGACCAGCCGAGGCTTCGTGTTGTGCTGAAGCGGATCGGTTGGTTCATTCTCGCACTGCGTATTTTGGCACTGCTCGCGGCCGTGGGATCTGGCGCAATTTATTATAATGGCCTTCAAAGCATCATCATGGCATTCGTCATATACCAGACTAGGTGTGTCATAGGCTCTAACACATTTTCACGTTGCTGCATGTAACTGATTCCGTCTCTCAGATATGCCTCAGCGGTTCTGACCCTGCTAATTCAGGTCATCTGTCTCGGTTTGCTCCTTTGGTCGCTGATCATGCGCTCCAAGCGGACTCCCCGCGGACCAGCGTACTTTGTCTGCAGCATGATCATCATCATCGTGAGTCTATGACGGTTCTCCTCGTTAGGCGGCTTACTCACGTCTGAGGCCCTGCCTCCTTGTTATTCTGCGTACCAGATGATTCCCACCATCTACCGACTAGCAGTCATGAACAACTGGACCATCTCGCTCACGTCGACGCTGCCCGGGTCGCTCAACGGCCCCGCGGCGAAGGCGCTGTTTTACACGTTCCACATCGCGCCGGAATGGGTCGTGAGTACGATGTTGGTTGCCGTCAACATCAAGGAGATGTACAACCTCGCCGGCGGCTGGAAGTCACATTGATCGTATCCGATGGCCTGAGAGTCGAGTACGACTCACCCGTCCCGTGCGATGATAAATTCCCTACCTTGCTTTTATTTATGGTCATGTGCGGTACTTAATAGCGGACTATGATGTAGATCGCCTTGACGTCCTCACGTACACCGTAGGCAGTCATGGACATTGTGTACCGCGAATCTAGATCATAGGTTGCCAGATCACAAGTATGAGCACTCGACAAGCTGACCGACTACCCTATCTACCGATTCCAAGACATTGCCAGTCCTTGTGAGTAGTCCTCAATCACTGTTCAGGTCTGAAGCCCGGTCACTGATACATAATTACTTAGCTCGCGATAGGTCAAGCTAAATGTACTAAGGCTACACATGAGATCAAACAAGCCGCTGGCTCTTGAGCGCGAATGCCATTCATCAAATGATCAACCGGACTACAGTACTCAGGTATCGCACGAACCTGTGCACAGTAGACGCTACCGTGCGTTTATCAACGGACATCCCACTGACTGACTATCGCAGGAAACGTTGAGGCCATCGAAATGCGGGAAGACCTCGGTGAGCTGCTCTTCTTTCGTCACTGGTGCAAACGATTGCTAACGGACGGTTACTTCGACGGCGAACGACTTTAGGAATAGCCCGCGAGTTCCAGGATAAGTTAGGCGCAAATCCTGGGAGGACCTGCACACACGCTGACGGCTCCTCTTACTTCGTCCCAGCCTGTGGAGTCACTACCTTTTTATGAGATCATCAACGATTTATACAACGGCCCTGTTACCCGGCCCAGCAGATGGATCCACTGATATTTGCACACATGGCAAGAGTCAATGCGTATGTACCATTCAAGCCGTCAGTGCGTTCGCATTTCTAAGATCTATTGAACGCGACACATCCGTTGTGCTAGGTGTTCTGTCTTGGACGTTTAGGTTCAGCGAGCAGACTCATCCGCGCTTCACCCCCCCCCCCCCCCCCCCCCCCCCCCCACTACTACGCGCCCCTGAACAAACACAGCGCCGGACCGGCTTCAGTAACCGGACACGCCATCGCCCTGCGTTCAACGTTTTACGGTGTTGGCCTGCTACTGTCCACGCTCAGGCACTGCAGAACGTAAGCGAGTCAGCAGTACTGCTACGTGTTAATATTTATAAACAGTCCCATACGCGCGCGTTGTGCAAGGCTCGACATGGGTTTTGTAAATTGGACCGCGGTCACCGCGCGTCCGTGTGCAATAATCACGTGACCGTGACCTGCTGCTGTGCAGCGCGTATGTATGCCGAATTCACTCCGTTCTCTGCCGTTCTCCGTTCTGAAGTTCAGTTCGGATTTCAGGCCTCAGGCTTCAATGAATTTCAAGCTTCGAGTTGCAAACCTGGTCTCGCATCCGCTCCTCTCATCCCTTCGTAGCCGACTATCTTACTACTTCTGCGGCAGTCAACCAAGGGCTATGCCGAGCTCAAGCGTGCACCTGAGTCGTTCGAGGCTCGGGAGTCAACTAGTCACGGTGGGACTTGGAATGGCGCAGTGGGCGCCACGCTGAAAGCAAGTGAGTACTTGACAGAATGACGGCTCGACATATACCTGAAGTCCTAAACTACATACATTTCCACAGTACTGTACGCGAGACCCGTATCAAGCTATCAATCTCAACCACTCGTACTGTCGACGGTACCCAACTCGTCTGATCCACTGCGCAAGCTATGTCACTCGTCCTCAGATGGCACAACCCGGAACCGATTTAGTGGCCAGCTCAATGAATTTTCAATTGCGTGCCACTAATGCGAACTAGTGCTACCAAGGTGCGATCAACCGCACAAGTAGGATATGCCAGTTGTATCTTCGCTCTGGTTACTGTTCAGCGCGTCCGAACGCACCCCCGTGGTCATCACGGTACGTCGTCTTCCAGTACAATCTTTGAGATGGCTGTGTGCCGTGCTCATCGAAGCGTCGTTTCAGAATGACGGCGTATTGTTGTGGTTGCGTGGGCGGGCGTGCAGCGTAGCTTGAGCCTGCGGAGGTGGCTGTAAGCCGCGGAATACGCATGCTCTACAGGCGGGCATATCCGCGCGTGCCCGGGCAGCGACCGAGGTGGCGGTAAGTTAGGCGCGGGATGATCTTCAGGTATCTCGAGTTCCGCATTCAGCCAGAGATGCTCTCAGATGGCTGATGTGCAACGACACCCTGTCGTCTGCTGGTCGTTGCTGTCGTGCTTGTGGCTGACATACATCGACATGACTCCTAGATGGACAGAGCCTGAGAGTGTGGCCAACATCGTATAGCACACAAGGTACGTGGTCTATATGGCAGCACTCTCCGCAGTCATTGCACGCAGCGACGCTTCAACGACCATGATGATCTGCTCCAGCTCCTTGCACTGGGAGAGGTCATGTGGGCTCTATCAAAGCACCCCAAGCAGATACCCCGCGGCCCTGCATGCCTTTGTAGCATCATCGGTGCTCTTGTGAGTTTTCATCCCGTGCTCTCGCTTGATAGCAGTATCCTGCCTGTCATCCCGGGCTCACCAGATGATCACTAGCGTTTACCGACTGTCAGCGATGGTCAACTAACTACGTCTCTCACATCACCGGGGCCGGGGGCGCTCAACGGACGGCGAAGGCGTTTTACGCGCTGCACATCGCGCCGGAGTGACTCTAGCGCGACTCTGCTGCTTGCTGTCAATGTGAGAGATCCTGGCAGGCGGGAAAGCCTCTTGGTTCCTGTCGCTAGTCGATGGTGCCGTGCATTTGTTTTTGCTATCTGGGCGCTCTTTCTACGTATCACACAGATTCAGGTGTTGGTAATGAGGGACTGATCAGTATGTATTTTGCGTTAGTACAAGAACTCGACAAGTCGCCCCTCACTAGTCACTGTCGACTATGAGGCATCCTTGTGAGTACTCTATCGTTACTCTTCACCGGAACAGTCGCTGATGAGACATGTCGCTCGTGATGGGTCACTGCACACGATCGCTCTACATTCGACATCGCCGTATCGCCCTACACATCGTGAAGCGCAAGCGACAGAGTGCTGCTATTTCATATCATAGGTACGTGTCTCGTACGCGCGTGCCGCGGCCGGAGGCTCGAAACTGCTCTGAGCTGGGACAGTCCTGAGTCAACGGCCTCGCTGAGCTCAAGCGTGCATCAGTCCGCGCGGCTCGCGCCTCAGGAGTCGGGAGTCACGACAGAGGGCAATGGGCATGTCGCAGCATGGGCGGCATAAGGTTATATTTAGTCGTTATGAACCCAGTGAGTGTCGCTCGACTCATCAACCATTTCAAGTAGCCTGAAGCGCCTCTGCAGTGCTGTACGCGTGAATCCAATCAAGCTGGAGGACTTAGGGTTCCAATCAGCCTCCGACCGATGAGTTGGATGACACGCGCGACAGTCGGCGTCTTGACAGGAGGCAACGCTCACCAATGATTACGATGTATCTCGACGCTCGTTGTTGATCGTCCGATTAGCCAGGTAAGGTACCATGGCCGTTTAGCCAGCTACGTATGTCGGTTGCATCTCACTCAATTGCTACGAGATACTTACCGAATTACATTGATAGGCGTGTCGTAAACACGGTCATTGCCTTGGGCAGCCGTCTTCCAGTTCAGCTCTTTGCAGATTGTTGTGTCGTGCTCGTCGGAGCGTTGACATTGTCCCAGATTGGCGACGAGTTGTTGCGATTGCAGTGCAGCTTTAGCATGCGGTGGAGGGCCGTGCTGGCGTGGCCGAGTGCAACCCGAGCGTGGCCGAGAGGCGACCGAGGTGCGTGGTAGACGTGGGACACTTCGCTAGCAGTCCTCCTTCCGCATTCGGTCAGGCATCCTAGGACGCCTCCCAGGCGGTTGATCTGTAGCAGCGCCCTGCCGCCTGCTGGCCGCTGCTGCGGCGCTTGGGTCTGACAGTAGTCCCTAGATGGACAGAGGGCGGTGATCGTGGCATACCACGCCTCTACGTCGTTCAGTCATTCGCGATACGGTGGCTGTTCGTTTAATTGACAGCGATCCTCATCACTCGTCCTATAAAGGAGGGGTGATGCGTGCTCGACCTGTATCTTCATTCCCCTTCTATCAGCCCCATGTCTTCTGGTGGCAACAAGTTTCCTTCGCCCATTGGTGGCATTCCTTTCCCGCATGATTTTGCGCCCGCTTTATTTTTTACGATTCTTTATGCTGTCACCGTTCATGTTGCGGCCTATCGCATGATCTCCAAGCGTTCGCGAACGCTCGTCCTCATCGCCACTACAATATTCTGCGTGGAGCGGTGAGTATAAGTGCGGATTCAGCCTGTATTCCTGTATTGACCATGCTTCTACAGAGTCGCTGACTTCGCCATTCGTGCCGCCGAGGCTAAGGAGCCCAATATCCGCACAACGAAGTTCTTCGTCGGTTGGCTGCAGAGCGCGTACGCCATGGGGTACCTCAGTACGACTGGGGACCTCCTCAACATCTCACGGATGTTCATCTTGCAAACTACCAAAGGCACCTCCTTAACTGTTCAGCTTCCCCCGTCTGATCGCTTTTCTCCCCGTATGGAGGAAGAGCAGCCACTCACGGCGACGCGCCCCGACAATGCTACCTCATCCTTCACTAAACTCCCGATGACCGATCAGGAGGAGTTCGAAGACGAACCAAAGCTCCGCGCTACGATAGAGCGGATTGGTTTGGTAACGCTCGTGCTCAGGCTGAATGCAATCGCCCTCGCCGCGGTTTCCGGCGGGATATACTTCAATGGCGTCACGAGTGCGAGTCAGGCCAACATCGTACAGATAACCAGGTATGTCGTGTGGATGGAGATGTTGCCGAGCTGTTTTAACCCCTCGTTCCAGATATGCGTCAGCGATCATCGTGCTCTTCCTCCAGCTCTCTGCACTGGGCGTGGTTCTCTGGGCGCTTTCGATGCGTCCCCATCGGACGCCCCGCGGGCCCGCACTCTACCTCTGCAGCATAGTCGGCGTGATCGTGAGTGTAAACCCTGTGCCCTCGGTTGAAAGTAGTATGCTCATGCCCTTGGACCGCCTGCGAACTAGATGCTCACTACGATCTACCGATTGGCCGCGATGGACAACCACACTACGTCTCTCACGGCGATGGGGCCGGGGTCGCTCAACGGGCCGACGGCGAAGGCGCTGTTTTACATATTCCACGTCGCGCCGGAGTGGCTCTCGGTGGCCATGCTGCTCGCCGTCAACGTGAGAGAGGTATACCATGTCCCTGCAGGCTTGAAGTTCCATTGATCCCTTGTGCTGTCTGGTACTGGCGTGCGATGTTGATTGTTTTGTTGTGATTTTATCTCTATTGATACCATTCGGACATTCGTATCCAGGGGTGAATCGTGTAGATCATGTTCTGCTGTAGGACCCCAGATTGACCGGGAATCTACCTGATGAGGCCGCCCATCTCGACGTCTCTTTCTGTGGGTGGGCACGCTATCCTTCGCGCCACCGTAACTCACTCCAAGTCATCCAGCTCGGAGTTAGACAAGGTGCCTGAAACCGACTTGAATGCGACTTGAATCGGTCCGTTACATCCGAATGCCACCATATAGCATTGTCTGAGACTAGGCTTCAGGTGCGTCTCGAAAGTGTGGTCATACTGTCATCAACCATCGACTATGGCCGCCGGTTCTCCGTTTCGTTGAAGTCGCAGGAGTCCCTGAGCATGGCTCACCGTAGCAATGTCATCGACCCGGAGCGGAACAGTACAGTACTTATCCCAGGTTCAATCAAGGTCCAATCACGAACACTCTTTGGATACTATCCCTGTCATTCCGATGCTTCACCATGCGCTTGGCCGGCCTGTCGAGATGCTGACGCGGCGGCAACTACGGCATAGAGTATGTACTAATAACTCGTTGATCATGAGGTTGCTCCATGCTGGGTTGCACAAGTAGTGAGTTTTTCCGTTATTGTTCCTCAAGTCCCCTCCTAAGTTACGATTCTTGGTTTGAGAATTGTGCCCTGTTATGTCGCCTGTGTTTACGAAGCGGTACAGAGCGGGGCCCCGTACCCATGCTGACGGCACGTCATTGTCTGTCTGGGAACGCGCCGCTGCTCTCTAGCGTCGCGCGCAGGTAGAGTGCCCCCGCGGCCCAGATCGGCTTCGGCGTCGCGGTGTTGTTCGCCATCTGCACGATGAGCGGGACCGCGGCGTCGACCCAATTATCCACGCTCATTTGCATGATTCATATTCGTCTTATACCGAGTTCGACGGCAGTGAGTTGAAGCTGACGTCTCGCGGCATCGCCCTCGTTCAACTCAACCACCTCTATCGGTCATATAGGAGCCTCTGCGTGCCAGTACCACCAGCTCGACGCCTCCTCTTCTTTGTCGCAAGGCGCTGGTCCGGTAAGTATGCGCGCCGCGTTTGATGTTGAGATGTTCCCAGACTGACCACACACGCTTTAGCCTGTTCAAACAACAACTCATCATAAATTTATCGACGCTCCTTCCTATGACATTCTTCTTACTGTAGCCGTCCCCGATCCTTGTGTACGTGTCTTTTGTTCCGTCCTTTGATGAACATGTCATGCATCTGCTGTGCTAGGTTCTCTGCCTATGACGCACCGCCGCGCCGGGCAGACATTCCCAGCCTCTTCCGAGAAGTATCGGATCGAGCCCTTATCCGAGCAATCACAGAGGAGTCGGGAGCTCGTCTTGACCCTGCCAACACCAGGACCAGCCAGCGTGCACCTCCGAGTCAGTCCACCGAGCCTCGCCAAGCCGGGTCGGGACAGGCTCAGCGTTCCACAGCGAAGAAAACGAGAAGAAAGAAGCCGCTACTTCCTGGGGCGTCCATTTGGAACCACCAAGGCGAGCCGCTGTGGCATCGATCCAAGCAGCAACCAAGAGCAGCGCCGACCCCAGGCAGGACCCAGCAGTCATTGGCAACCGTATCCCTCGATGTCGGAGAAGGGCGCAGCATAAGGTGATACAACAGCGACGAGCGGAGACACGGCGCAGCCGCCACCCTAAGCGGACTCGAGTGGGTTGCAGACGGCGATTCCGACGGCGGACGCGCCCCACCCGCCCGCGGCGGGGGCAGCTTGGAATGGCGCGCGTTTCGCGGATGGTCCAATCCGCAAGCTGAGTCCGCGACCAGCGGGCGGCAAGCGGCGCGAGCAACAGCGGCCTCAGCGTGCCGACGCAGCGCGCAAGCAGCGGATCTACCAATCGGCACCCCGGCCGGCAAGCAACAATGACCTCGTAGGCGACATTCTACGGCGAAGGGCATGTACGAAAGCACAGCGCAGCAGGGTGGGAGCGGCGTTTACGGAGCAGGAGAGAGTACGGGTGGAGATGGTCTGGGTTCGCAGCAGCAGCAGGACGCACCGGGGGGAGCAGCGGCTGAGCAGTGCCACCGGCTAGGCCAAAAACAAGAAGGGTTTGTCCTTCATTAATGATCAAAGAGACCCATTGCAAACCAGCGGGGGCGGTCCTACAAAATGCGTAATGAATGAATGAACGCTGGCAGTACCAGGCTCGTCGCGGTGATGATCTCTTGTGACATTCAACTGTAAAATCATTCTAGAGTTTTGACGGCCTCGGCCGAGTCTTGTTCGTCGTCGTCCTCGCCGGTCGAGTATCTACGAGACGGGGACTGATGCGAGTAGCAGAATCCGGAAACGATACGAGACGATGGTGACAATTCGATACGTGATTTCCGTGTCAATGGCATGCGACACATGTTCAACACAACGTGCACCTTGCCATCGGTGGCCTGTCCATACACAAGATCAATGTCCCTGAGGAGGAGGATCAGTGTGAATACGAATTGCAATTTCCACGTACCTAGGCCGTGGATTCTTGCCAAGCAAGCGTAACGGACCGCTGCGAACCGCTTGGAAAGCTCCAAAATACGAGCCGCTGTCTCGTCAAAGTCTCCTACTTAGGTGTTCGAGAGAGTGTCCAAAAGTCAAAAGACAAAAGAACTTCCGCTTGACTGACTCGAACAATCGACCTGTTTCTGTGGAGGTCGTTCGAGTCGGCTACCCGCGCCACCCCGCCCACCACGTCACGTCCCCGCCACCTCACTCCCGGCGACAACGACGCTTCGCCCGCCACGCGCACGCTCGCCGCCCGCCACGTCGCCCGCCACCCACCGCGCGTCGCGTCCGACGCGTCATCACGCCAACCGCGTTTGTCACGTGCCACTGCCGCCCACCGCCACCCACTGGGCCCACCCGCGACCGCTCTCCCACGTACTGATGGTACGTCGCCCGCCGCGCTCCCCAGTCGCCTACCCGCCACGTCCCCGCCACACCCCAACATGGCACGCCTACGCGCCACATCCCATGGGCCCGCCACCGTCCTCTCCTCACCGCCACCTCCCCTTCCTCCCTCCCTCGCACCGATGCCGCCGCCGCCACCGCCACCAATGCCAGCACCCGCGGGCGCCGCCGCCCGCCCACACCCACCAGCCGCCGCTTGCCAGCACGCACTGCCAGCACGCACGCGCCTGCCAGCACGCACGCGCCCGCCAGCACACGCCCGCCGCGGCCGCGTCAGGCTGCCGCCTCTCGCGGAGCGGGTGTACAAGCAGGAGGCTGTCCACTGGTCCCCCTCTCGCCGTGCCATCGGTCGACCTCTATACACCCTCACCCTGGTTTGGACCGGCTAGCCAGCTGGACCCTAGGACGGTGTGTTGCATCCCCCCTGGATTGGACCGGCGAAAGCTGGACCCCAGGGGGCCCATCTCCCAGCCACGGCGACGACCGAGTTGGCGCCTGCGCAGTGCCCTGCGTGCCGGTCCGCGTCCCCCATCGTGCGGTTGACTGTTGCCACCCGTCGCGTCGCGCACGTGACTTTGCCTCGAGCCCGTTGGGAGTAAGCTCGAGCCTCGCCCGCAACCACCCACGGAGCCCCGCCACCCGCCGCTGCACCCAAAGCGATGCCCCCGCCTAGTCTCGATCCAGACGTCCTGGAGGTGTCACGTGCGTACGTCAGCGGAGATCGAAAAACCCATACCACACACACCTCCAGAACGTCTGGTCATTTTCGTAGAGAGGGGTGGGGGTCACTCGGCCCCGTGACGAAACGCGCCGCAAGAGAGGCGCATACGTCGCGGTGCACGACGCGTTGCGCACTCACAGATGAGGTGTATCTGCTGTATACATCCGCGCTATACTATCACCTCGAGCTCTGCAATCTCCTCCCGCCGGCAGCATGGACCATGTTAGGTCCGGAATGTAGGGGACGTGATACAATGTAAGTCCAACCGTAGGGTGAGTTCTTCTGTACCCTGCAAACGCAGTAGACCCTGATACAGCCCATCAAGATAACCCACAGGGTCCATGCGCTCCACAGTTCGCGCTGCTCGACGCCCTTCTGCAACCTCGCCGCGCGAAGACCTCCGTACGAGCCCTGCAACGGAAAGCGCATGTCCACATACAACGTCAACAGAAACGTCCAGGAAGCCCGTGTCGAGATTTGAGGCTGCCCTGCCCGACGTGACTAGCGGGCGCCGTAGACAATTTTGAGATGATTGTGAGCGTGGAGGGGTTATTATCATGGTTCAAACTTCACAGTGTGCTTACCTGATCGAGGTCGAGCTCGTGAAGCGGTGATAAAACAAGCGGCATTTCGCGCTTTGTCTAGGCCCCCAACAGTGCCAGTAGCATTGCGAGAGGCATCATCTTCCCGGCGCCAGTTCCCGCAATTACGATGCAGTCGAGCCCAAAATTGATCGCCTCCGTAACGTTGACCTGCGGTCCAGTCGTACGGAGTCATGCCATTCTCGTCGGCCTTCGCGGAGTCAGAGCGACGAGATGCGTGAGCATGGGCGTGTGTGATGTTCAGTATCCCGTTAACAGCGAGAGTTGCCCTGACATCGAGTTTGTGAGACCAGCGGCTGGTGTAGCGTCAGAGCCGCGGTAGTAATTTGGTAGCATTGCTGAGGTTAGCGAGTACAGTAGAGCAAGTCACGGTATGTACTTCGACCGTCGGCGCGACGGAGACGAGTAACGTTGCGCTGCGCCCCCCGCCTCTCTCGCGGCGCGTTTCGTCACGGGGCCGAGTGACCCCCACCCCTCTCTACGAAAATGACCAGACGTTATAGCAGTGGCTGTGGTATGGGTTTTTCGATCTCCGCTGACAGGCACACGTGACACTGCTATAACGTCTGAATCGAGACTAGCCCCCGCCCCGCGCTGGCGCCCGTGCAGGCGTCCGCACGAGCGCTACACGGTGCCATCACGTGCCAAGTCGCGTCGCGCGTCGCGCGATGACGTCGCCCCAGCGCGGTCACGCACCCGCCGCGCCCCCACCCGCGTCGCACGTCCCGCCTTGAACTGCACCCACCATGTCCACGTCCACAATGTCCTTCGAGACCATCACCGACCATCTCGACGCCATCGACGCCCTTTGCCCCAACCTCAAACCCGCCTCTCCCCACACCCGCACCTTTGCCGAGGACGTCTGCGACCGCCTCACCCACACATACCGCCTGATCTCCGCCACCCTCTTCCTCGACGACGAGTCTTCTCAAGCTTTACAACACGGTCAGTCTCCTTCTCTCCCCTCTCCCTTCTTCTCACCCAGTTTGGCCCTGCAGTTCTCCTCGACCCCGTCTGGTCCACAGACAGGCTCGTCTGCGGCCGCTCCCGCCTCTTTGTTCCCGTCCTCGACGCCCTCTCCACTCGGCTCCCAGCCGTCCTCCCTTCCCAATGCCACGCGAGTAGCACAGTCGTCACCATCGTCACCGCCCTTGCCAACGACACCATCGCTGCTCACGTCAAGCTCTTTGTCGATTCTCATCCCCCCTCGTAGTGCGTTTGTAGTCTTTTCTCTCCATGTCGTGCGGCCACCCTTGTAAAATATGCATATGAGAAACCATGGCCCACGTGCCCGATGCGTCGTGAGCCAGCTGTCAGCGCGCGACGTGCGTCGGTGCCGCCTTTCGCGTGCGCATTCCGCACGCGAAACGGCCACAGGGATGGCGCGGTGCGTTGCACAGCACCACATCCCACGCGCTACATCCCAACGTGGCACGCCTACCACGCCACCACTGCAGACGCTTCGCCCGCCGCGCTCGCCTGCCAGCACGCACCCGCCCCCGCCCACCAGCTGGCACCCTTGCGGTTTGTTCTGCGCGCCGCCGCCGCCTCGCGTCGCGCGCCCGCCGCCTGCGGCGCGAGGCATTATCTAGCGCCTGCGCAGCGCTTTGCGCGGGCGCTTGTCCGTGTTCGTGCACGTGTCCGCCGACCACCGCGTCGCGTCGCGTCCTACCAGGGGGTGGATGCGCGACACGGCGCGGCCTTACACGGCCTGTAATGTGCCACTGCAGTCCGATGCGCGACTCAAAGGGTAGCGCCTCCTCTAGCTGCACAGCCACATGGTGCTGACGATGAGGGGCGAGCGATTGAGCATGTCTGGCGTGCTGCGGCGTGAGTACTGCAATCATCAAAGATAGTCGTTTCTCATCCTGCTCTCAGCCGTCGATCTGCTATGCTCCTTCCTGAGTGGCGCGACTGACGGCATATACCCGATGTCGCCCCTCTTCAACAGCCGTGCGCGTCCAGGAGGGTTACCTCCAGTCGCCTGGCAAGCGGACAACAACGGACAATCACCGTGCTGCCTTCAATTGGCAGATGTCTCGTGCTCGCAACCGCCCGCAGGCAGCGCTGATCCCTATGACGTCGTGAGACAGCGCGCTGCCCGCTACTGCACGACATACGCAGTCTACCGCCACACCGCCCCCGAGGCCGCCCACACAGGATCCCCAAGAGGTCCTTGGGAACAAGTCTCGCACGTGCCCGCAGCGAGTCGTCTCAGCGACCGCGACGCACCATCTTGCACTGTGCCCCGACGCCGTGCGCGGCCCTTACAGCGCGTCTCCATGTCCGCATACGGCTTCGCACTTTCCCTGCAGGCCATGGACTTTCCACACCGAACACCTGCGCATCCGAGCTCACTGCCCGTCCATCCCCGACGTTTATTGCGACATTTCCAATTCGGCCCACGTGTCCGCGCGCCCCGCCTCGTCGCCTGCCGCGGATCCTCTCTTTCCTCCTCCCATCACGTCGCGTCAATGCTGGGTATATGCGCCTCTCGCGCCCCGCTTCCCTTGCGCGCTCTTGCCCTCCCAACCGTGGGCAGAGTGACTGCCCTCGCTGCATATATGCGCCGCCGCGCACCCGCCTTGCGCGCGGCCTCCATCTCCAGGAAGCACCCCGAGCGAGCACCTAGCGCAATGCTGCCGCGCTGTCGTGTCGCGTTGTGTCGCGTTGTGTCGCGTTGTGTCGCGTTGTGTCGCGTTGTGTCGCGTTGTGTCGCGTTGTGTCGCGTTGTGTCGCGTTGTGTCGCGTTGTGTCGCGTTGTGTCGCATTGTGTCGCGTTGTGCCACGACGTTTTCTGCGCGCGCCCAGTAATATGTCCACCTCCGTCCGTTGCTTGTCCGGAATCGGTCTCTCTCTTTCCCCTGCACGCCCTCGCACCACCGGTGCTGCGCTCCGCCGGTGTGCTTTTGGCAGCTACGCAACATGTCCCCTGACACGCACCGCACTCGCGCGTCCGAGAACACTTCCAGACGACATGTCTCCGTCCATGAATGACGACGTGTCCACATCCAGACCTCGCAGAATTCCCCGAGCTCACCACGCATCCTGCTGTGACATTTATTGCGACATTTATTGTGAGGTTATTGTGATGTTTATTGCGACGCCTATTGCGATGGCTTCTTCTCACCCGGGATCGTCCCGGGTCAAATATCACTGTAAACGGCCACGCTGCACGCATATATAGACTCTTTCCCTCCTTCCTCCACAGCTCCTCGCCGCCTCGGGTCGCCTGCCCCGCCCACGACCCACCCGCTGCGACTTGCCTGCGACCCACCCGCTGCGACCCGCGACTTGCCCGCCATGAATCCGAACCCTCACGCCAACAGAAACGCTTTCAGTCGCGGTTTGTACCCTTGCCTTCTTCCTCGTGCTTAACTCACACCTCCCACAGAGGACCCGCGCCCCATCGTTGGTCCGTCCTCCCGTCCCCTTGCGTTTTCATATGTGCTCACTCTGCTCGCCCCACAGGTGGCTCCTATTCTAGCAATCACATCGCAGTAGACCCGACATCGGCCTTTGAGCTGCGCGCTGCAGCCGCCGCCGCCGACCCGTCTCTCACCTCTAGCGGCCACGCCGCTGCCAAGAACTGGCGGTACATGGCCGCCGAGCATCCCATGAATGTTCGCCCCCCAACGCTCATGCATTCTGCGCCTGTGTCTGCGCCTGTGTCTGCGCCTGTGCCTGTGCCTGTGTCTGCGCCTGCGCCTGCATCTGTGTCTGCGCCTGCGCCTGCCCCCGCGCCACCGTCTGCTTCGGCGGCCGCCCCTCCTCCCGCACCGCAACCGCTCATCTCCCGCCCTGTCTACCCTTTTCCAGACCTCGATAATGCCCGCCCCACTAGACTAGCAGCAGCATTTCGTCTTGCCCAGACCGACCAGGAGCACTTTGACAAGGTGCAGGCACATATCCGCGAACAGACATCCCGCATTCTCGATCGTGACAACCCTCTCACCAAACGCCACATGTGTCAGACCCTCGATAGCTGGAACACCCTCGTCGGTCACCATTACCCCGGCCGTATCGGATATGCCCTCTGGGAGACGCAGATCGTCCTCAGAGAGGCTCGGAACTTCCTTATGTCGCGTGTATGTGCCCTGTGTTCAGCGTGTACATGCACTCATTGCGAGCCTCATCCCCTAGGTCTACTTCTCCAAAGGCCGTGACAGCACCCACGTCTGCGTCCAAACCCTCCGGGGCTGGGGCACCCACCTCATTCGCTGCATCCTCCGCTACGCGCATGATGATAGCTCACAAGAATGTACTGGCATGTGGATCCTGGTCAACCAGCGATTGTTTCAAGGCATCAAGGACCAAATCAGCCAACGCAAGTCCTATTTTTCTCTTCTTCTTGCTTGCCAGCTGACAGCACCAGTCGTCGAGGACTTTGACCTCACCCGCATCGTCAAGCTGAAGATTTATTACGGCCGCGCTGAGGTCAAGCTGATGATCGAACAGGCTCTCATCAACTCCATGCACTCCCCCGCTGGCGAACGTTTGGTCGCCATCCAGGAGATCATCATTCTCCTCCTCGGCCTCATACTAGGCCTCCGCCCAGGCAGCATTGCCGCCACTTGCAAGGACTATCTCCGACGAGGTTTGGTGAGTCTTCTCTCACACCAATGCCCCTCACACCGCTCACTGCCTCTCCAGTTCGCAAAGACTGGTGACCTCAAACTCTACAAGGTCGGGCCCATGTCTATCAGGGCCGAGATTACCATCACAAACTTCAAGGTATGCTGCCACACGTGCATGCACTGCTCTTCTCACACATGCACAGGGCTCCAATGATATCACCGGGGAACGCAGAGTGTTCACGCTCATGCCCACTAAGCAGTCCCACAACACGCTCTTTGATCTCCCCATGTGGTTGGCCATCTACTGCTTTGGACGTGGGCTGCTTTCCTTCAAGGTAGTCCATTGACTGTCCACGTATGCTGCCATCCTCACCATCCATCACAGACCTGGCCAGACCTGATCAAGAGCCAGCAGTCGGAGATCCCCATTCTGGATCCAAACCAGCCATTGTAAGCATCTTTGAGCACTAGTACCAACACACCCACTGAGACGTCCTTCTTCAATCAGAGTCCTTGCTGCCGCACCTGGCGGCAAGGGCTTGATCCCCGGAAAGCCAACAACCGCAAATGCGCTTTCAAGGGCCGTCCAAAAACTCGCCATCGCCGCTGACCTACCCGGAGGCGGCATGGGCTGTCTCCGTCGTGACACAGGCAACTTCGTGAGATCTTCCCTGCCCCCCTCTTCCGTTTGTGTGCTGAGCGCTGCTACCCTTGCAGTTTGCCATCACGGTGGGCTCCGAGATGGCTGCCATCACCCTCAACCACATCACGCAGTACAAGACGCTCCACAGGAACTACACCGACAATACCAATAACTATGACTACATCAACAGCCGTGTGCGCGACGCAAGCGAGTTCCCAGACGCCGTAAAGGCAAGTGCTGTTATCACTTGCTCTACCGTGTACTAACACATTCCCCGCCCTAGACATCTCTTGAAATGCGAGAATACACCGCCCACGCCATCAGAGCCATCCTGCGTGGAGCATACGACGCCCAAGCTCAGCCGGGCTTGCCTGCAGATACTACTGTCACAAGCACCGTTGTGGGCATGTCCGCTCTGAACGCCCCGGGTCCCTCACAGCGCTCGCGTAACAAGCCAGCAGTCACACTGACCTCCGATGAAAGGAAAGAGGTTGCTGAGGTGGGTCCTCACACGCGCCATGCTTCATTCAATAAACTCACCACACCACCTTACAGAATCAGGACGACCTCAAGGAGGCTTGTGAGGCCTGCACGTTGCTCTGGGTGCAATTGCACGCTTTCTACACCGTCTGACCACCGCGAAAGCAGCCCTTTAAGGAAGGCAAGAGCAACGTCACCCGCCTCGATGAAAAGTGCACTTTTGCCGGCGACCGTGAGGAAATGCTTGCAGTAAGTCCCCACAGCAACCCCCTGATTCAGTGCAGCCGCCCACGCCCCCACACAGGTTCGAGCCGCATATGAGGAAGCATGTGAAACGCGAACAACCCTCAGTCGCAAGTACACCCGCATTGCCGTGACTGCAAAACGCAAGGATGCCGCCTCTGCCGCCCCTCTGCCCGTAACAATCGCTCAGCGCTCAGCAGCAGTCCGCGAGGCATGCCTTCCGTCCGCCATTCTCTCGCTTGCTGTCAAATCTGCCACCACCCACGAGGGGCATAGTACTATCCCAGGTGTGTGACACTGTTCGTCAGGGCTCACCATCTCTCACCATCTCTCCCAGCTTTTGTAGATCCCGATGACCTGCTGCACAGGCCGCTCCAACCGCCCCCCGTCCCGCTCACAGACACGTCCCCGGAGGCGTGGGCCTATTGGCAGGCCCAGGTCGACTCGCTCGTGCATGTTATTGACCCGGACGACGTCGACGCCGATCAGGACGCTGACGCTCATCAGGACGCTCGTCAGGACGCTGCCGAATTCAGCGCATTGGAGAACCTCTTTGCCACAAACGACCACGCCAACAATGACGCACCACCACTGCAGCCCATCGGCGTCAAGTCGCATTCAGCTCAGCCTGCCAAGCAACCGCAGGAGGGTGCGCGCAGCACGGTAGCTGGTACTAGCAGCTCCATCTGCGTTGGCGACAGCAGCGAGGCTGACGACGACGAGTGGGACGACAGCAACGGGCTTCAGACTGAACCCTTGCCTAGCGGCGTCACAATGGCCGAAGATGATTCAAGAGAACTTGATGTCCTGCAGATTGACCCTGACCTGATGCGACAGCACCTTGCTCAATTCATCCTCAGGCCAATCATCGAGAATGACGTTTGGCAAGGTTGGCTTAAGGTGCGTCCGTGATCTCCCGTCATTTCAGCTACCCTTCCTGATTGTTTTGCAGGAGTGCAATGGCAAGTGGATGTGCCCGCAGTGCCGGCAGTTTTACAAACACATCCCCGAGGCCGCAGACTGTGTCTACGCAAACCGCAAAAACCTCCGCCGCCACATGTGAGCGTCCATCTGGTGTGGCACACCGGCGCGCCTGACTGACCAATCCTGCAGGATGACCCACACGCCGTGGAGCGACCTCGACCTGACAATGTGACGGATGCGGCGGACCGCATACGAAACGTATTCATCACACTGTATAAACGACAGTTTAATAATCGTGACCCGCAGGTCTTCACGCCTCGTACATATTAAAATACTAATTATGTAGCACTTACCATACTTAAATTGTATCTACTGTACACGCGTGACGTAGAATACCCGGGAGCGCGCGCCCGGGAAATCGACGCCTTCTTCTTGCTCTCAAACCACCTCGTACGCTTGCGACTTACCGCACCATCCGAGACTGAGAGCCCTAAGGCGATACCCGCTGCCCGCGCTCCTCGCCGGGTTAGCCCTCAGAGTGAGCTCCTCGCCACTCTGAGTAAGTCGGCTCCTCGCCGCTCTTCTAGACGAGCTCCTCGCCGTCTAGCCACGTGGACTCCTCGTCCACGTACGAACCTCTACGCGGACTCCTCGTCCAACGAACGACCTGCTAGACCAATGTCTAGTTACGACCTAACGACTACCGACTGGGCCACTTAGTGCCCACCAAAGCCTCGACGGTTAGACGGCCCGTCCCCTCTGCGAGCAGACGAACCACCGTCTCTCACATTGGTGGACACTCAGGGGACCGGTCCACCGCCTATCCGTCTAGCTTCTAGACTAACCACCTCGCGCTAGCGCTACTCCTTCGGTGCCTACCAAGATAATGTCCACGCGTCCTCCGGCCGCTGGGACTTCGTTCGTAGGGGACGCCCAATGCTTCTCCAGGCCGCCCTCTACCAACCCCTCCGGAGTTAGTACACCCTTCACTCCGGTCTCTGTCCCCTCCAACTTGTTTCCGGAGACTTCGACGTACTTGCAGTCCGGTGACTCGAGATCAGCCTCGTTCACTGACTCCACCAAGCCTTCAATCCTGGACAACTCATCCGGGACGGCGATCCCTCCAGGATGGGGCCGTGAACTTCCTCCTCACCTCCCTGCGCCGACTGCTACTTCGACTCCTTGGAAGCCCTCCGCGTCTGCCCCGCGCCCCTCCGCTCCGTCGCCCTCAGTCGACGCGAGCGAAATGCGACAGGCTGCCAAGGACGCGGTCGACAAGTACCACTTCCGCGACTTGCTCGACGCCGGTGGACAGTTCCCCGTCGATCGCCGGTACCCTTACGCGGCGAATAGTCTCTTCGACGATTTGAACGCACCCGATGCGCTGGGGCGGTATCGCACTCTATTCGAAGAAGCGAACGCCTTCGCAGGAGAAGACCTACCTCCTGGGGACATTCTTGATCGACAGGACGTCGAAGACAAGGACACCCGGTTCCAGCTGACCGCCAGAGCTCTGACCCGGGTCGAGTACGTCGTGGACGGGCTCGAATCCTTAGTCCGGGGAATGCTCCGACTCGAGAACCTTACGAGCCGATGGAAGGCCGACCACGCCGACACTCTGCTCAGCATCATGAGAGCAGCGCCTTCAAAGGGTCTGCTCTCCGACGCGTACCGTGTCATTCAATACCGCGTGGTGAAGGCCCTGACGTTGCTGCACCAACGAAAGGAATTACACGGCGGCTCAGCCGTCCCGTACTCGGTACAGTCAACGCCCTCCAACTTCAGCCAGGGTCTCCGCAACACTAATACCCGGCGGGAGGTCGTCGACCGATGGCTGAAGCACCCGGATATCTACGCTAACCTGACACCGGAATACCAAGCGGTGGTCCTACGAAGACTGAAGCAGGGAGAGGGGACTCCGTCGGATTCAGCCAACGCACAAGTCCCTCCGGAATTCCGATTCCAAGTCCCTCCGTCCTCCCTACTCGTCGCACCCATCGCACACCACGCATCGACGTCCCTCCGCAAAGAGTCGGAACTCCCACCTCCTACGCCCTCTCCGGAACAAGGAGCTTCCTTTGCGCAGCCTAGCGCGTCATTCGCCCCAGTTCACCCTCTCCCATCGGACAAGCAGAAACCTAAGGTTCGGTTCCCGCTCGAGAGCGTCGACACACGACCCCGGTACACTCAACGCACTAGTTTCGGTAACCCGGAGTTCGCCTTGCCTGCCAGCGCGAACCCGGCCGGCCTCAAGTCTGGCTCCCTCCGCCCTTCCAAGACGGCGAACGATGCAACTTCCGAGTTGCGATCCGCTCCCGTCCCTTCGACCACCGACCGAGAGCGCGTTGCCCGTCGTTCATCCGTCCCGTGGCCCAAGAGCCATTCGACTGCACTGCCCGACTCGGCCGCTGCCCAAGCTGTACGCGAAGCCGTTCACCCCTCTGGTCAACCCCTTTCCACGGTGCTCCCCTCCAATCCTTACTTCCATACCGTCGGGCCGGACGTCCTCCAAGCTCCTTTAGACTACCATCCCTCAGAGTTCGTGCAGACCGAACATGGGCGATCCACTAATGGGCAACCGTACTTCGTCTACCAAGCGCGCTCTGCCGGGTATAATGCTCACGGAGGAAATGTCCCACCTGAGCCTTATCACCCGAAGCGCGACCCTCCCCCGCACTGGAGTCCTGATCAAGATGGAGGAGACCTTCCTTTGGGAGATCGACCCCCCGACAGAGGCGACTCTCCTCCCAGCTCCCCCGGAAGCGGTAACGGCGGCGGAGGATACGGTCCCCCAGGTAATGGACCTCCTGGTGGCGGACCCCCTGGTGGCGGACCCCCGGGTGGCGGACCTCCTTACGGAGGACCCCTAGCTCTTCACATCCCAGTGGTTGGCCTCCAACGATCGTGATCCACCACCATCACCCTCCTCGCGAACTAGGCGTCTGCCTCGACCAGAAGATCTCTCGCGACCACATACCGGAATGGAACGGGAGCCTAAAGACGCTGCTGATCTATCTCCACAAGATGAACAGCCTGGCTAGGAAGAACGTATACGTCGCCAGGGATCTCGGCGCTGCGGCCCCAGACAAGTTTTCAGGTCGAGCCGAACGCTGGTGGGAACTCCTCGGCTACGAAACGCAAAGGCTTTACTCTTCAAGCTGGTGGTCCCTGTACGAGGGAATCAAAATTCAATTCTTCACGCACCGGTTCCTTGTCGCGCTACGTACACACTACGACGGGCAGCGCTTCCGCCAGCTGGGCCACGAAAAGGAAGTGCCCATGGACTTCATCGACCGTCGCCTCCTCTACCATCGTCACCTTACCAGCGCGCAGGAAACACCTCACGACGAGATCGCTGCTATCATGCAGAACGCTCCTCCCACCTGGTTCACCGTCCTGTCACTCGACTCGATATCTACCATCGCGGCTCTACTAGCCAAGGTCGCGGACAAGACGGATGAGCTAATCGCTTTCGCTTCAATGGCCCCCGCGCGCACCACCCAGTACGAACAATCGTTGTACTTGCCGTCGTCCAAATCCGAAGGACGCTCCGCCCAGCTTCAGAAACGCGCCTTTGCCGCGGACGGTCTGGGAGGCGGCATAGACTTCGAGGAAGAGGAGGACGCTCCACTGCCCTCGAATGCGCTGGCTGCGGACGATGGTGCCGTTCCAGCCGGTACCTCTTCGAGTTCACCGAGAGAAGCTTTGGCGCTTACTTCTCAAGAGAACTCCAGAGGCTCTCGTCCTTCCAAAGGAGCGGCTCGCAGACCTCCGCCCGCGGGTTATCGGTTCCCGCGCAACGACTCCGTTCGTAGCCGGAGACCCCCGCCGGGCGACTGCCGAGTGTGCAGCAGTCCATTCCATTGGGATAGGGACTGTCCGCACTGGAATGAGTACGACGTGGGACGTAAAGCCCTTTTCATTGGTGTAGAATACGACTGCAACGAGGAGGAGAACAAGGAGTACGAGGAGGCTTTCGTCGCCTACATCTGTAGTAGCATGAACAATACCAGATTGTCGAGCGTGTTGTGGGCGGATATCCGCCGAGCTGAAGGAGAATACCTCAAGTGTTCAGCACTGCAACGCCGCTCGCTAGCCGTAGTATGTGAAGAAGTGGATGACCCACAAGATTCCCCCGTGCATCCTTTACCGCCGGATCACCCCCATCTGCTCGAAAGAGTACGCCAGGAGGGCGAAGACTCCGGTGCGTCTTTAGAGCAGATGCTCGCGGACGCTCTGTCCGTGGACGAAACCAAGTTCTACGGGGCACGCCCTACGGCTTCTGCTGGTATGGCGGGCTCAGCGGACGATACCGTCCCTGCGCCCTCCGGGCGCCCCCCCGAATCAACTGGGATCATTGTGCCACTAGCCCGCGTGCGTGACCCCCCTCCTGGGCACTCCACGGTAGGGATCGCGGCGCTATCCTTCCAACTGCGTTTCGGCAGCATGCTCCACCCTACCGTCATTGGCCGAGCCGACTCTGGGCGGATATCAGTCTTGTATCGCAAGAATACCTCGAATCACTCCCTGAAGCGTCCAGGCCAAAGATTCGGCAAGGGTTACGAATGAATCTCTTTCAGCTGACGGGCGGTTTCCGAATTGCCGGTTACGTCCAGACGCAAGTATACGTCGAGTCCGAACAAGGTCATATTCTCAAAATGACCGCGGAATGCTATGTGGTTCCTGGAATGTCCACTCCCTTGTTGTTAGGGGAAGACTTCCATGTAAACTATGAACTAGGAGTCTCACGTAGCATCCTCGAAGGATCGGCCATCCAGGTGGGCGACACTGGCTATACTATCGCAGCTTCGTCAGCTGTCAAGAACGAAAGACCCAAGCTCAAGATATTAACCAAAGCAGCCGAAGCTAGTTTCGTCAAGGCTAAGACCCACCGCAGATGCAAAGCCGATCGACATAGAGAGCGACTGAAGAGAGAGCGACCCTCAGCCTTAGCGGCACAAGACGTGCGAATCGCGCCGCACTCTTGTGCCCGAGTGCCCCTCCGCGCGTCCTTCAATGTACACGAGTCCTGGTTCATTGAGAAAACAGTGTTGGGACAAGCGGACGGATCTTTCCTCCTAACCACTCCTACTTTAATCGACCAGGAGCATGCCTTCGTGTCGGTCACCAATCCCAATGACCGTCCATACATCGTACGAGAAGGAGACGCGTTAGGGTTGTTACACCCTCCGTCGGAGTTCTTCGCGCCCTCAGACCCGCAGTTATTGGCCCACGCCCTAAGCGTACAGAGCTACATCAAAGAGTCCGTTACCTCGCCAGAAGCCGCCGAACAACCTCCTCCCGAAGCTGAAACCCCAGACGACCAGTGGGGACCTAAGACTGCGGAATTGCCCGAACTCGAGAACTACCCCTCTGAGAAATTGGAGGAGCTTCTCGACATCGGGCCGGAATGGCCTCCCGAGTTGCGCAAAGAACTACTAGCCACACTCCGACGCCACCAGGCAGCCTTCGCTTTCGACGGTCGATTAGGCCAAAATCCCACAGCCGTCGACATCAAATTGGCACCCGATACTAGGCCGATTTCGCTACCTATGTACACCGCTTCACCCGCCAAGAGGGAGGTAATCGACAAACAACACGAATCCTGGCTCGCCTTAGACGTCATCGAACCCTCCAACAGCCCGTGGGGCGCTCCGGTCTTGATCGCCTACCGCAATGGAAAGCCCCGATTGTGCGTGGATTACCGCCGCCTGAACGCGGTCACCGTGCCCGACGAGTTCCCTATTCCCCGGCAATCCGAAATTCTGCAGGCTCTTTCCGGAGCTCAAGTCCTCACCTCTCTCGACGCCCTGTCAGGGTTTACGCAACTCTCTGTGAACGAAGACGACCGCGAAAAGACCGCCTTCAGGACCCATAAAGGGCTCTACCAGTTCAAACGCTTGCCCTTCGGACTCCGCAACGGACCGTCGGCCTTCCAACGAGTAATGCAAGGTGTCTTGGCACCGTACTTGTGGCTCTTCGCTCTAGTTTATATTGACGACATCGTCATATACTCTAAATCGTGGTCAGAGCACATATCTCACTTGGACAAGGTGCTGAGCTCGATCACGGCATCGGGTATTACCCTCTCCCCACCTAAATGTCACTTCGGCTATACATCAATCCTGCTGCTAGGACAAAAGGTGTCCAGGCTGGGTTTCTCGACACACCAGAGAAGGTCCGCGCAGTCACGGAGCTGGCAAGACCCCAACGTGTATCCGACCTACAAACGTTCCTTGGGATGACGGTCTACTTTTCCTCGTACATCCCTTATTACTCCTTCATCGCCTCCCCCTGTTCGAACTACTACGGAAGGACAAGAAATGGGAATGGTCCGCGGACTGCGAGAATGCATGGCAGCGTGCGAAGGAGTCTCTCCAATCCGCACCTGTCTTAGCTCACGCGTCCCCCGGACAACCATACCGTCTCTACACGGACGCGTCGGACATAGCCTTGGGTGCGTGCCTGCAACAAGTGCAGCCAATTCAAGTACGCGACCTCAGGGGTACCCGAGCGTACGACCGTCTAGCCAAAGCACATAGGGACGGCGTCTCCCCTCCCAGCCTAGTAACGAAGCTTTCTAAGAAAATCGACGACACCCCGGAGCCAGAACCCTGGTCCTCGACGTTAGACGATACTACCGTCTACGTCGAACGAGTCATCGCTTACTGGAGCAGGTCCTGCAAGCCCGCCGAGAGAAACTACTCGGCCACGGAAAGAGAAGCTCTAGCGGCTAAGGAGGGTTTAGTGCGATTTCAACCTTTCATAGAGGGAGAGAAAGTGACGTTGATAACGGACCACGCGGCTCTGCAATGGGCCCGAACCTATGAGAACACCAACCGCCGGCTGGCTGCTTGGGGGGCAGTGTTCGCAGCATACCTCCCCGACCTCGACATAGTCCATAGAGCCGGGCGAGTGCACTCAAACGTCGATCCCCTTTCACGCTTACCTCGGGAACCACCCGCCCACGATTCGCCTACAACGGACGCCTCCATCCCCATTGTGCCAGAGTTAGACGAGAACCAAGATGCCAGACCGGTAGCTGATCGCCTGCCTGCGGCCAGAATGACTGCTACGGCCACCATCTGCTACTGGGACGATGTCCTCGAAGCCCCGACTTCGGGTCTGCAAGCCAACGATTCAGGCATCAGAGTGGGGGGCGGATATAGGATAACCACGGACGGCAACGAACTCGAGGACGACTCCGGGTACCTGAACGTTGCCCATGCGGGAGATGAGCCTCCCCAGGGGTTGACGGACAGAGTAGCGGCCCCAGTGTCAACAAGGGCAAGGAATCGACACACGCGCACTAGCGGAACGCCTAGCAGCCCTCCTCCAGCAGCGGAAACACCCAAGGAACCAGACGAACATGATCCGTCTGCTCCTGCGGGGTTTGACGATACAGGGGAGTCAGACGAAAATATTCCGTCTGCTCACCCTGACCAGGAAGACCTCTACGAGACTCAAGTACATCTCTCGAGACCTACCCTGCTAGCAGAGTTCAGCAAGGAATACCGCGACAAGTTCATCGCGGGCTACTCCAAAGACGCGTTCTTTCGAGACAAATGGAAGAAGACCTCAAATTCAGACCTACCTCACTTTGCAGGTCAATGCTTCTTCAAGGATGATTCAGGACTCCTCTACCTGAAGACGGGCTCGGACCCAGCGCGTCTTTGCGTACCACGACCGGAAGTTGTGCCGCTCATCGCACGACTACACAACTCCCCTTATGAAGCCGCTCACGAGGGAGCTGCCAAGTTAATTCAACGTATGAACTCCAAGTTCTTCTGGCCCACTCTGCGAAAGGATGTCAGGGACTATGCTACGACGTGCGATGTCTGCCAGAAGACTAAGACCGACCATCGAGCAAAAGCGGGACTTCTCCGTCCTAACCCCGTACCTAACCGACCATTCGAATGGATCTCATTTGACTTAATCACCGGCCTTCCCCCTTCGGACGGGTTCGACGCCATCTTCGTGTTGGTCGACCGCTGTACCAAGTATGGACTATTCGTCCCTTGTTCGAGCTCCATGAACACCGTCGAGTTCGCCCACCTATTCGTCCTCCAAGTTATATTCCGCTTTGGTATACCCGACCATATCATTAGCGATCGCGACGGACGATGGATTTCGGAATTCTGGAGATCGGTGGCGGCCGAACTGGACATTCACTTGTGCTTATCCTCCTCGCATCATCCTCAACACGATGGACAAACGGAGATAGTTAACCAACGCATCGAGACCATGCTCCGCGCTTACATCCAAGGCGACCGCAACTCCTGGGCCAAGTGGTTACCTGCACTCGCTCACGCCTATAACTCCTCGGTTCACGCGACTACTGGATACTCCCCTTACTTCCTTCTATATGGATTCGAACCCAAGGGAGCCCTTGACTTCGTTAGTAACAACAACCGTTACGAGGAACGACCCCAGTTAGTGAGCGAGCGCGCCACCGATTTCGTTACGAACATGGAGTTGCACCGTCAACGAGCGCGCGACGCTATCGCAATTGCTGCAGAAGAGAAAGCTCGATACTACAATCAAGGACGCCGCGCCGAAACGTTCCCAGTAGGATCGTGGGTACTAGTCAACCCGCATTCACTGGAGTTGGTCGACGTGAAAGGAACAGGAAAGAAGCAGGTACAACGCATGCTAGGGCCTTTCACTGTACAAGAACAAGTGAACCCCCTAGTATACCGACTCTCCATCCCGGACACTTATCCTATGAATCCTGTCCTCAATATCGAACACCTGCAGAGGTATTGTGAGCCTGACGCTTCCACTCTGCCGGAGGGGCGTCCGATCCTGCCGGACCCCTGTAATTCGGAACTGTTAGCCACCGAAGAATACGAAGTAGACCGCCTCGTTTCCTGGAGGCGGAACAAGACCAGAGGCAACCGCCTCGAGTATCTGGTTCGTTGGAAAGGATACAGCCCCGTCCACGACACTTGGGAACCGGCCTCTCACCTCCGGAACGCTCACGAGATCCTCCGCCAATTCAAGCAGGCTCACCACTTGACGCGTTAGTAGCCCTTCTCACGGCGTCCGAGCGTAACATACGTAGCATAGAAGTGTAACCATACCTCCTCTACGTACCATATTTGTATTTTTGGCTGACCTTCGCGAGGAGGCGCGTTGCCCTCGATCGCGCCACGAACCCTCCACGTGACCGCGTCGCGGAAGCCTGGGGGGCGCTAATGTTTAAATCACCGCTCTTCCCTCCTCCGTACCCTCGTCCCTCCTCTCTCTCTCCCTCTCTCCTCCTTCGTGGACGTTCGATTGCCGAACTTCACATCTCCTCACTGAGCCGGTGTTCGAGTAGCCGAACCTTGCTCATCCTCTCGCTTGACGTCGACTCTCGAGCTTTCGATTGCGATCCTCGAGTTCGTCATGGCTGAGTCGTCGACCCCCGCCCCAGCTGCTCTCAGGTTCCGTTCGTCTCTCTGGGTACCCTCGGAGTACGACTTCCTCCCGGCTGCGCGCTCAATTTGCGACGCCAGCTGGAAACACTTCGTTGCTCACAAGGCTATCAGGTCCGCGGTCAGTCTGGGTAACGGGACGTACGTGGTGTCGCCCAACGCGACTTACGTCCCCGCTCTGCCCCCGAGCCATACGGACCAGGAGGAAATACTATCGGATGGGCGACGTGGTCTGTTCGAGCCGGGATATCACCCGCAGTACTGGAACAACGCCAGCGGGCACTTGCCCTTCATCTACAAGATCCCCGAAGGACCGGAGGGACGCGATCCCGCCTTCGTCACGATTGACTGTCGGAGACGCGGAGTCCCTGTGACTTTCCGAGCCTCCAACAATGGCAGCGGGAAGGGTCTCCCAATCCGCGAGTTCGTCGAAGCTCTCCAAGCTCTCTACCGAGCTGAGCTTGAACGGGCAGAAGGGTACTTCCTGAAAGATCACGAGCCTCCCCTCGCTCTCAAGCTGCGACCCGGGCAAGTGCAGGAGGTCTTCATCAGCCTCCCTTACAATACGACGGTGTTGTACGAAGCCCGGAAGAACGTCGCGGTGATCCAACGACACCTGCTGGAGCTGCGTGGGTACTCAGCTCGCTCGTACCTGCAGGAAGCTTTCGATGCGGGGAGGTTCTCTATCCCTCGCTCGGAAGCCAGTGGCAAAGGGTGCTGGGTTAGAGAAGGGGACGACAAAATCCTCAAACGTCTAACTTGGTTCGGGGTGCCGGTTTGGTACGTCTCCCGCGCCGCCACTCCCGCCCCTGGGCGAATACTCTCCTTCGCTCCCCTCGACCGTCGCCTCTCGCTCGACCCTTGGGACGAGGCGGAACACGGTCCCCGAGTCCACATCGGGAAGAAGACGAAGAAACGTCTTGCGCAGGAGAAAGCCGAACAGGATGACGCGGACGAGGACTCGGATTTCTTCTATCCACCTCGCAGCCGACCGTGTCTTCCCCTTCCCACTCCGTCCAGCAGTAGTCGAGCGCCGCGGACCCCTGCGCCAGTTCCCTCCCTCCTCCCTCCATCATTGTCGGACGAGGAGGGGTGGATTAACCACCCACCAGTCTCTCCCCTCCCTGTCTCTCCGGAAGAAAGGATCCTTCTTGGCAGGACTCCCTCGCCGCGAGCAGGGTCCCCTATGGTGATCTCCCCCCCGCGCCCAACACGCGTGAGCCCAGCCAGGAGGGAGGAGAGCAGGACTCCGATACCTTCCGCCCCGGTCGTGAACGATCGCGAGTCTCGGGGACGCGTTCGACCCGCCGAACCGTTCCCTAGGACCCCGATCCCTCCTCGTCGCCGACCATCCCCATCGCCGCGCAGGATGGAACTTCCTCCTGGAAGACCGTCCCCGCCTCGCCCGAGGTCCCCCAGGCGTACTAGACCAGCGTCCCCCCCACGCGGGAGATCCCCTGCCCGACTCGGCGAAAGACGAGACTATGGCAGGCTGCGTCTCTCTCCTGTTCGTTGGCGCCCTTGGGAACGGAGGCCCCGTAGTCCTCCACGTCGCTGCAGCCCCAGAAGGCGATCCCCTTCTCCTCGGACCAGGGTGCCGCACGCTGGGCCAAGTCGTCAGCGCTCCCGGTCTCCTAGGTCTGAACCGCCTGCAATCCGTCCCGGTCCGAGCACCGCACCCTCCGCTTCGATCAACCCCCGGCCCTCTGAGTCCCAACGTCCCCCTCTCATTGAACGCCTCGCATCTCGACCCCCCGAGCAGAGCCTCTCCTTGATTGACCGGATACAACACGCTTCCCTCCTGTCACGACTGCAGGAAGCAGAACTCCCGGGACGTACCGAGCTCGAGCCATCCCCATCAGGAGCGCTGATCGATCGAATAACTCGCCCGTTGAGCGAAAGGATCAGCGACGAACGCATCGCGGGAGAAGGAGAGGCGCCCCCCGAGGAACAAACGTATTCCCAACCACCCGGAACGGTTGAGGAAGACGTCGAGGTCGTCACCCTAGCCGCTCCCGCCCCGCCGGCGAGCGAAGGGCTCCACGTCGTGCAACTGCCGTCTGGTATTCCGCTGAGGACGCGCCTCCCCATAACCACGGGCGAGGAAGCCATCGCGTACCTACGCGAACCATTCGAACGAGGTTCTCAATCGCCAGCATTCAGGCTCAGGGACGAGGACGATTACGGTCCGGAACCCTTTTACCCACCCTCCGGCCAACATCCGGTTCCCCCCCCGCACCTCCTACTCGCCGCTGGGGACGAAGGCTACCTAGCGACTATCCTGTGGCTGAAAGCGCGCGGACCATGCCTCGCCGGACTCTCGGCCCCGCCTCAGCAGTGGGCCACTTCTAACTCGAAGCAGTGGCAATCTCGCCTTCGCGGTGCCAAGCCCTTGCAGGTCGCCGCGCGCAGCATCCCCACGAGACCTCTCCCGGACGACGTCATCTCCCCCTTTCGCAACCCACTCCCGCACGAGCGCGAGAACGAAACCTGGGAGCTTCGAACGTTCCATTTCCGACTGGACTTCGAACGCTTGGCGCAGCAGATGCACCCGGGCATCCAGGCGGCCTCCAGCAGTACCGCAAGAGGTACGATCTGGGCCGGCATCCGCGACCGTATCCGTCGCGTCTGGGGGGCTGGGACGACTCTATACCCGTCAACACTCGAACCTCGCTACTTCGACAACGAGGATGACCTGGTGAGGCTGCGTCACTGGTTCGCCCTGGGACGGTTGATGCTGGAGTGGAACCTTCGACCCGACCTCGAGCACGACCTTCAAGTCGCGATGGGGGGCTCTGTGACGGATGCGGCGGACCGCATACGAAACGTATTCATCACACTGTATAAACGACAGTTTAATAATCGTGACCCGCAGGTCTTCACGCCTCGTACATATTAAAATACTAATTATGTAGCACTTACCATACTTAAATTGTATCTACTGTACACGCGTGACGTAGAATACCCGGGAGCGCGCGCCCGGGAAATCGACGCCTTCTTCTTGCTCTCAAACCACCTCGTACGCTTGCGACTTACCGCACCATCCGAGACTGAGAGCCCTAAGGCGATACCCGCTGCCCGCGCTCCTCGCCGGGTTAGCCCTCAGAGTGAGCTCCTCGCCACTCTGAGTAAGTCGGCTCCTCGCCGCTCTTCTAGACGAGCTCCTCGCCGTCTAGCCACGTGGACTCCTCGTCCACGTACGAACCTCTACGCGGACTCCTCGTCCAACGAACGACCTGCTAGACCAACGTCTAGTTACGACCTAACGACTACCGACTGGGCCACTTAGTGCCCACCAAAGCCTCGACGGTTAGACGGCCCGTCCCCTCTGCGAGCAGACGAACCACCGTCTCTCACAGACAATGCGCATTGACAACAACCCCTCAACGTTCAAATGCCCTACCCCCAAGTGCAACTTTACGTGCGTCACTCACTCACTCTTCTTGTGCACGGGCTTACTGTGGTATATCATGCAGAGCTGACTCCCCCCTGACTATTCGCCACCACTGTGTGGGGTCTCACCCCAAAAAGTCGCCGCCTATCCCTCCCTGCGACAATGCCGACGCATATAAGCAGATGGCCATTGCTCACAGCCGAGTCATAGCAGGGATGGAAGGCCGAGAGCCGCTACCCAACGACGAGGCTATTCGCTGCGCCATGCGTCTCAAATCCAAAGTGCACTCGAAGAAGTCCCAGGCCTCTAGCACTCTGCCCGAAGATGACGCTCTTCCGCCATCACCAACACCGCCGGCTCAGTTCACCTACGCTGATCAAGTTCTCCTCATGTGGCAGTTCCTCAGTGAGAGCAACGTTGACGACTTTATTGACGCGTTTCGCAGGGTGAGTTCTGCTCTCCATTGTGTATTCACGCACGTAACAACATCCTCTTAGGCCGGATTGCACAACCCCGACTCCCTGCGCACTGTCATCGAACGCGTGCAAGCGGATGCTCGTAGGCTCCAGCACTCATCACTCCTCTTGGAGGTCCCTGTTCCCGACGTGCCGTCATCGGACTCGGATGCGGGCCTGCCGGGATCATCTGTGGCTTAGATATGGGGACGGTCGAAATGTACAATTACGATGCTGCAATTTGAATGTTCCATCACCCTCTTCCGGGCAGGGCGTTTTTCTCTAAGCGTTGAATTTTAGATAAATCGTTAACGTTATAAAACACGATCATGTGTCCGACGCGACTCGCGAGGTCGCGTTTGTTTAATGCATGCACGTGTGCTCTGTTTTGGCATATTGGGCTGGGTATAAAGGAGAGGGGGTGCCCTGAAAGAAGGTCGCTGCGCGCCGCCGTCATAGGACAGACATTCTCGACGGTGGCTGCGTTCTTCATCTCACCCGCATTCCAATCGACTGCGCCGCGCTACTCCTGGTTAACTCATGGGCTGTGGCCCAATAGGTAACATATTCTCCGTAACTAACGGCCCGTGCGCAAGGCGGCGCGGCGAAGCGCTGGCATCGCTAGCTGGCTGGGTGTAAGAATTGGCGCATTGGCTGGCCGGCGGCCCCTTTGGCCATACGTTGGTCTCATAGGTAGCTCCGGGGTAGCCCAAGGCTTTAATATCAAACCCGGTCAGCAAGACATCGACGCGTACGCCATGCTGCACGTGACTGTAGGACGAACACCCGCAACGGATCGTGGCGCTGCGCTGGGCGGCTGGCACGGCGAGCTGGTCTCTTGCATCGCTGCACTCGTTCAAGACGAACTCATTGGCCCTTACACCACCCGGTTTCTGCACGCGCGTTGCATGAAAGCTCTCGACGCCTGTCGAGTGTTTGGTGAGTCGAGCATGCACTGATGCGGCCGCAGCGTTTTTGAGTCCTCTCAACCAGCAAAACAGCGGGACTGGCGCGAGCGATTCGACGCCGCACAAGGCGGACTGGAGGACAACGGCGTGTGGCGGACGACACTTACAGCTACAAGTGCCACATGGGACAACGTGCCCGGCCGACCCCGCGCTGCCGCAGTTCCAGGGCAACATCGACGAGGGCATCTGCAACGCGTGGTTCTCGAAGGTGAGCACGGCGGGCGCGTGCGTGTCGAGGACGGTGTGTGAAGGGTGCTGAGTCGGGGTGTGCAGGGCAGGGAGGCGGAGTTGGCGGCGAGAGTGCGGTTGAACGCGCACGCGGCGAGTAGAGAGCCTCTTGAAGACAATCAGCACCATCAGCACCACCATGCCCACGACCACGACCACCCGCACGAGCATGCCCACGTCCATGCCCACGATCTGTCCGACGTCGACATGGATGCGGACGCCCAGCTCGTGCAGACACGCGATGGTGCGCAGGAGGCCCTTGGCCGAGACCCCGACACGGTGCTCAACGAGGTGATGGCCGACGCAGGCGTGGAAGACGAGGACGAATACGCAGATGACGAATCCGAAGATGAGATCAAGGAGTACATCCACAACACCTGCAATGGCGTCTGCGACATCATCATCACCGGTACGTGTCCCGCACCCACCCCTTCACGAGCCTCGCGTGAATTGCAGATTGACAATGCCGGAAGCAGACCCTCCCGCGGCACGGCCAGACGTGGAACTACTACCGCTTCTACGGCCGCGTGCGCAAGTGGGACGGGCTCATCGCGCTTGTGCGCGTCCACGTCAAGGACCGCGGCCTCGGGATGTACATCTTCAGGGGATACCTCATCGGCGGGCTGAACTCACCAGCAGCTGGCGCTCGTATGCGCAGAACCCCAATGTGATCCTACTCGAGGGCCCGTTCATCGCGAGCAAGTCCACAACTTTGAGCTCCTGCCATCCCTGGTTGTCCCGCTGATCATCCAGCCCTCCTTCCCACCGTACATCAAGACGACACTCGACACTGACTCGGAGAGTCTGCACCCGGGTGTCACCGAGGATCTGAGCGCGGCGTGCTCGAGGTGCGCGCGGCCCCGAGGGACCTCAAGGAACCCGCACATATCCCGCTCGAGCACGACGCGTACGACGTGCAGAGCAACTCTCAGCACATGCGCGATATCCCCGGACTTCGACAATGCCGGCGACACATCCATTCCCATCTCTTTCAGATCACTTTCCGCAATCGAGATCCCTGTGCGATCCTCCCGCCGCACTGTATGTCATTTTCCGGTGAGCGTAGTTCGTTGTCGCCACAGGGGCAACCCGTTCGTGTGGTTTACCAGGCGTCCATGCAATAAAATATATTAACATGTATCTGCATGACATTGAGTAAGACGCCGCTTGTGCCCTTCTAGAGGTTCCGCCACAAGCTTGTCCAAAATGTATTCATCTCATGTCATCCGGGCGCGCCATGCTACAACCGATACCACAATTCAAGATCCAGCGGCAGTCACGGAGGTGGAGACATGTAAATCCTGCGGCGAATGCATGTACATGTATGTCGGTGATAGTAACAACGTAGCGCTGAGAAGGAAGACACCCGTTCCGCTCCAAATGGCTGGCGTCGTTTGATCGAGCGGGTGTTGTTGGTGCATAAATAAAAGACAAGTCGTAGGGTACCGAGTGACAAATGAGACGGACCGCTTCCTGATGCACCCATCGCCGCGCAGGATGAGTCTGCGCTTGATACGGAGCCGGAGGGTGCACTTGACGTGCAGAGACAGTGAGTGGGTGGTGTCCGTAGCGTCTCATAGGCCGACTCCCTGTAGTACTCAGCTCTTGTATAGGGGCCCTCTGCGTGCGACGGTAGTAGCAAACAGGCACTTTTATTCGAGGACAACAGCATGATTGGGACTGAACAGACCATTAAGAGCAATTGGACATGACCGTCAAGAACAGTACCTCTACCCCATCTGCGCCATATGAACGTCTGTCATGCCCTGAGGGACTCCATGGCCGTGAGTCGAACCTGGAAGAGCATTGCCAGTGAACGTTCCCCAGGACTGAGGGCCGCCAGATGTGACCTGATCACTGCCCAGAGCAGTAGGTTGTCCTAGACTCATACCGCCGAGTTGATTGCCTGGTAGGGGATTGAATCCTTGTGTGAGATACGGTGGCATGCCGCCGTTAGCCATCATCATCATCATCATGTACATCTGCGGATTCATGACAGGTGGCGGAAGGAGCTGAGGTTGATTGAAGCTGCCGTTCGTGACTGTCGGCCCGTTGACACCAGAAGGACCAGGAGGATACCAGTGGGTCATGCCGCCAAGGAAAGGGTTGCCGCCAGAGATCGCCCAGGGATTGTGCATGCCGTTCTCGGGGTTGGTCGCGCCGGCATGTGCTGTCAATATTGGTACACCGGCTGTGGATAGCTCCGGCACGTCCATGAATGCTAGGATACTGCATCAGTTACACTCGTTGCCAACCTATTGGCCATGAGACTCCACCAGCAGTGGGTATATGCACGCCACCTGTGTGCACTACCGCTCCCGAGTTGCTCGCCGCTGCCTGCACCATGATATTGGTAACATCTGAGGCTGAGGCTGTCACCGTCGTCACAGAACCTTCCGGGATGGCAGCTGGATACGTCTAAGTCGTGCTCTTACAAAGAGAAATGGCGTAGGACTCCACCAGCACTGGGCGTATATACGCCATCTGTGTGAACCACGGCTTCTCCGCTGGCCGTCACGGTCTGCGCTATCATGGCATGGGCTACTGTTGAACTAGGAAGGCGCCTACCGGGCTGCCGGGTTCAATCACAGGCCGGACCGGTTCTATGGGAAGCTCCGGGTCCGTGATGTCATCTATGATGTCATTTGTGTGTCATCACATGGCTACGCCACTTACCTTGTATGTCGTGGGAACGTACTATACAGTAGCTTAGATAAGCGGTCTCCTCATGTATATAAGGACCCCAGTAGCGTAGCTCAATCCCCAGTACCTTCAGTCGAAGTACTTGCGTGTGCATCAAGCATCAGCAACCTTGCAGGTAAGTTGTGAGGGCGCACCACTGCGTGGAGCTGCCTGCTCAACAGCTACATCTGCGTCTACAGCCGGCACCACTGTCACAGACTCCTCCACAGTGTTGTTCAAGGCTAGAACTTACCGTTATGACCGTCCATGGTGACTATATGCATATCTCCAGGCTCTTCTACGACATCTCCGAGGGCAACATCTTGCACTTGCTGCACGTCCTCTGCACTCTCGAAAGGTCCGAGTCCAGCAATGTAGTCCATGTTCTCCTCGAATATGACAGCGGGCATAGCATCTAAAGGCAACATTATTACCGGCTACGTCGCATGATGAATCTCTCGTACGCACCGAGATCATGTTGTCCCGTGCTCTGCTCAGCGTTGCGGACACGGCCGAAATGTATGAAGAAGTCTTTGACCACGCTTGTATTGAGTTGAGCTCTGACCGAGAACTCCGTCAGTAAACCGGGTGCATCAACAGTAGCCATACACCCAATTTTTTCTGTCTTCATCGTTTCGAAACCTTGGTATGCCGTTAGTAGTACCACTGCTTACACTTGGGGCTGTGGGTACTGGGTAATCTGGATAAGAATTGGTGATGCAGCGCGGCCACTCATACCTGGACTCTTGTCCTTCTTGCGGCGTTGCTTCTTTGGAGCCTTTTCCGTACTACTATCCGACTTCGGGGGTCTCCCTCGTTTCTTTGGTCCATCATCCGTCTTACGGGCAGATTTGACTGGCATTTCAAGAGAACTGTCAAGACTCAAGACGGTCCAAGAAAAAGACGGTGGTTGTGGATGGGAAGAGCAGGCTGAGTCGATCTCACTCGAGAGGTGGGACACGCCCACATGATGATGTCACCACGGCCTTGCACACACATGAATCGCGTCCCAAGCATGCGCGGCGCGCGCCATCGAAGTACTAACTCTCAAACCACCAAATGATCATGGGATTCACCACGATGGAGGATCGCAGCATACATGGACCAAGATAAGTCAAGCGCAAAAACATTCCGCTTGACCGGTTTGATCGATCGACCTCGTCATCACGTGGCCATGGGACAACCACCCAAACTGGCGTACAAATACTAGTGACGCGCTCTACCAACTGAGCTAAAGCGGATGATGATTTCAGCATCTCGTAGAGTCGTGAAATAATACCGTGCAAAAGCTATGAGACTCACACAAAGCCCTCTCTTGATGAGACTCAAGACAGGTTGCCCCCTACTGGACGTTGTATGAGTGGGGAGGAGGAGGAGGAACGAGTCCATCGACCGCCGAGACTCACCTGATGAGCGGCCAAAGGGAAAGTGCGATGAACAGCCATAGCAGTGTGCACGGAGCAACGAGAATGCCTAGACGATGCAGAGTGGTCTTGGAGGCTGAGCAGGTAGCATTGAGGTCCTGAGGATGGTCAGAATCACAATCCCGCTCCGTGCGAAGCGAAGCGCCCGCGGGAGGCGGGCGAGCCGCGACACGGAACGGCGGTGTACTGGTAGCGCCGGCGATTATTCAGGGATGCGCTACGAGGAGGAGAGGGTCGGGCAGCGCGCGAGCGGGCGAGGACAGCGGGAGGAGGAGGAGGATCCATAGCCACCGGCCGATAGCGCATGCGTCTCGACTGGGAGGTCCGCCACGAAAGGGATGCGGCGGAGTCATTCAAGCGGGGAGGCTTGCAAATCGCGGGTCATTTGCGCGATGCCATGAATCGTAGACAGTCGACGCCTGCAAAGGGGTATGTCTTTGCGGCCGCAAGTGTTGACCGCGTCCGCCTGCAAAAGGCAAGCCAAGCACAATGAGAGTGCAGGGGCTCACCTGGACTGGCTGTATGCGGGTCCACGGTGAGGACGATCGATTGGCGGTGGTGGTTGGGGCAGCGCACGATCGCACAGCGATTGGGCGACGAGGGCGGGGACGATCTCCTATTAGCCTATCGATGGCGCAGATCGCCGCCCCCGCTGCGCAGAGCGCTGTGCTGGACGGCAGCGACGGCAGACGTGGGACGGCGACGGGCTGGTGGCGCAGTGCGGGGAGCCAGTGGGGAGCAGCGCAGGGAGTGGCCAGAAGAGGCAGGCGAGCTGCCAAATGTGCCGACGCACGTGGCAGACGCAGGGCTTGGCGGCGATCGACGATTGGGGATCGGGACGCGGTCGAGGACTCTCTTTTTGTAGCTCTCCTCGACATGGCCGACACAGCGAGCGCACCCCAGCGCCGCCCCCTGCACTCCAAACGCTCGTTCGGCACGAAGCACGCCATGCAGCACCCCCACCACCGCACCCAGGACTCGCCCGCCGCCTACGACGCCTCCGAGGAGGACAACGACCCCACCACCGACGACGCCGCCTCCGCCATCGGCATCCCCGCCCACCGCGCCCCCGCCTCGTCCCCCGCCGCAGCCCGCACAAAGGTCCCCCCGACCCGCGCCCGCCTCGTCGCCGCCGACGACGACCACAGCGGCACCGACTCGCCCACCTACGACGGCGACATCGAGAGCAGCACCACCGTCCCCGGGCCCCGCGACCGCCCGTCCACGTCGTCCGACTACGGCTTCGGCTACGACTCGTCCGCCAGCACCAGCACCGGCACCGAGCCCGCCCCCGCGTCCCCCGCCCCTGTCTCCCCGCACCCCGCCCCGCCGCTGCCCCTCCCGCTCAGCGCGCCCTCCGAGCCCCCGCCCGCCGCGATCGCCCGGGCCGCCTTCGACCCCGCCAAGCTCACCCCCGCGCACATCCAGGCCTTCGTCGCGCGCGCCGTCGCCGGCGCCGACCCCGCGCGCGCGTACCGCATCAACCCGCCCCCGCCCGACCGCCCCGCCCGCATCTACGCCGACGGCGTGTACGACCTCTTCCACTTTGGCCACGCCCTCCAGCTCCGCCAGGCCAAGCTCAGCTTCCCGCCGATCCCCGCCGCGCGCCTCGCGGGCGGCCAGGCGAGCGCGGGGCCCGCGCCGGGCGTCGTGCGGAGCCCGCTGGACATCGCCCCGCCCCAGGGCACCGTGCCCGGTGTCTACCTGCTCGTCGGCGTCAACTCGGACGAGCAGTGCGCGGAGCACAAGAACCTGGCCGTCATGGACCACGCCGAGCGGTGAGTCGCCCGCGAGTGCGTCGTGTGCTGTGCTGACCTCGGCCCAGATGCGAGGCGGTCAGGCACTGTCGGTGGGTCGACGAGGTCGTCCCCGAGGCGCCGTGGGTCATCACAGAGGAGTTCCTCCAAAAGGTGCGTCTTTCCGCACCTATCCCTCCTCCCTCCCCCCCCCCCCCCCCCCGGAGCGCTGTGTGTCTGTGATCGATCGATCGGCCGAGAACCACGAAGCACCCACGCGTGACTGCCCGTTCCTCCGCCGCGCATGCATACCACTTGTCTCCGCCGCCGCCAGGTGCGCCTGCACCACCGCTCTCTTCGCATGCTGACCGCCGCCGCGCACAGCACCAAATCGACTACGTCGCGCACGACGAAGACCCGTACGTGAGCGCCGGCATCGACGACGTCTACGGCTACTGCAAGTCGCAGGGTACGTCCTTCCCCTCCCCGTCCGCTCCCTCGCTCACCCCCCTCCCCCGCCAGGCAAGTTCCTCCCGACGCGCCGCACGCCCGGCGTGTCCACCTCGGAGCTGCTCGAGCGCATCGTCTCGCGCTACCGCGCGCGCGGGTTCGACAAGAAGCTCCGCAAGATGGGCCACGCGGAGCTCGCCGCGGAGGGCTCCGACTGGGACGACAGCCGCCCCGGCAGCCCGGGGCCCGCGAGGTAGGGCGCCGCTGGTGCTAGCGGCGTGGGAGGCGTGCCGGGGAGATTTACTGAAGAAGCGGGATCATACATACAGTTAGCGGTACGTCTACGAAAGCGTGTAATGTACGTGCGGATACGTGGGCTTGTAGAGGCCCATTCGCATTCGTCGCCGGATCTGTGTCTCGCGTGGACCCTTGGACGGCTGAGCGTCGACTGCCCGGAAGGTCTTCGTGCGGTGCGGAACTCACCCTGTACTGTATCCTCAGGCAGCAGCGTCTCTGCGGCCAAGAGCAGGACGCACAACCATCTCGCACACGCCCCGCCCGCGCGACTGCGTGCTCGGTCCGTGCCCCAGAAAGTCGTGCCCTGTCTCCAGCCGGCGCCCGCCGGGCGTACTGCAGTCCCGCGCGATCCTGGATATGAATATGGATAAGCTAGGACGTTTGCTCTGCGGTTCCGGTGCCGCTGCCCGCCCCATCTTGTCCACTAGCAGCGGCGTCCCGCGCCGGGCCGAAAATGAAGGAACAGGCGAAGCAGCCAGGGGACTGCACCGCTGTTCAAGTTGACCGGCGCTCCCAGCTCGGTGTTGTCGAAGAAGGCCCATCACTCGCAATCAGACTTTGTCGTGACGTGCGATCCTCCCCGGTAGGCCCCGGCGACGGTGTGAGTGCCCGACGCGCATTCACCGGTGGATAGGGAGAGTGGCGGCGGTCGTGCGGTATAGTGCGGCGTGAGCGTATCGGACGCTGCCTTGACGCTTTGGATCCGTCCTGGATCGCCGACTCGTGAACGGTGGGCGCGGGGATGACTCGTTGGTCCCAGTGGAGAGCTTGGGCTGGTGTCTCCGGGCGTGCTTACGCTCGCACCCTTTGCCCTTGGATCAGTTGTCATAAACTGCAAGCAGTCCTGAGATGAGGTCTTGGCTCGGACGTGCCCTTTGATTTCTCAGTATGCCCGAGGACGCCTTGCACCCTGGGCATACATAACGGTAGCCCAGGCGACAGGATTCTTCATGACGCTTCAAGTCCTTTGATTTGCCGAAGCTCGCATCACAGTCGACGAAACAGCACGCGTGCGGCGTCTGTGCGGGGGCCACACGATGGGTGTCAGTCCCTGAATCCGAACACAGCGAAGCCGTGGTACAGGCACTCACACGCAGGCGCACTTCACCACTGGCAGAGTCCTGAGTGTTGCGACGTTGCTTCTTCGTGCGAGGACCTTCCCTCTCTTCGTCCTAGATACCAGTCACGAGTGCATCAGCCACACCTGAGCTGTGACGCGTCGTGCTAAGATAACAACTTACTTCGCCCTCACCGGATACGTCGTTCCCGTTCAGGTACTTCAAGCCCGAAGTCCTTCACCATGCCCACACGTGATTCGCGCGTTCGAAGGTGTTTGGGGAGATAGTAAACTCGGTGCTCGAGCCGACAGAGGCAGCGAAACCGCAGGGAAGCACGTTCCCTGAGATGCCGCACTCGTTGTGAGGGTTCAGATAACCCATCCTAGATGCCCAGTGGTCGAGAGGAAAGACGGCAGGGGGCTATGGCCAGCGCGCGCAAGAAGACGGCCAAGGTTTCCGGGTCGCTTGCCAACCGAAGTACTTGACGTACCGCACGTTCGAGGGCTCGTATCAAGGACAAGTGTCTCCGGGTCGGCCAAAGGATCTATCGCGTGCTGGTCGCACGGAGCATCCGTGAGCCCGTGGCGTGCGCACTTCAAATCATGCTAGACGTACCCATATAAAGCCGCCCGATATACGGTAGCTCTCCCACTCCAACCCCGGGATCGACGACGACCCTGGCACGGATTGAGGGACAGTATCCGTCGCCGGCGGTCCGTTCTCCTCCAGATGGGCCGCGATGCACAAACTCGAGGTGGGCGGTTATCGTCCACTCTCTTCCACTTCCCGCAGAACACGCATCAGAACATGCGGTATCGGTGGTGCCGGTGCACGCTTGCGTAATGACGGCCCACGTCCTTGGTGCAGGATTCCTCGACCGACTGGTGCCGAATCCGCATAGATAACCTGAGCCGCCATCCCGTTGTTGCCAAAGTGGATCACTTGTAGAATCGGGGCTGCGAGGGATCAGTTCACCGCCACGCGTTTCATCGCTGAGATGCACTCACATATATCTCGGCAGGATCGTTGTCACCACCTGGGCCCAGTAGCTCCGGACCAGCGTAATTGCGTCGGACGTCCCGGCGAACGCGCAGCCTTCCCAGTCGCACAGTACGCGTTGTCAGTCGGTCTGGGATATCTCCCCTGGCAGCCGTGGCCGGCTTGCAGGTGCTGCCACAAGGGGTCCGCCGCGCGCTCTGTTGGACATTCCCGCCATGGACAGGCCAGGAGGCTCGGGTCCGCTTTGGATGTTCGTGCTCGCTTCTGAGGGGGTGGGTAACAGCCTCATCCTCGTCGCGCTCCCTCTTCAAACCGGCGTCATTAATTACAATGGCCTAGGTGGCTGTTGGGGGCGGCAGTGGCTTGATCGACGCGCAGTACGCCTTATCGGTGAGACGTGGGTCAATGCCGACATCCAGGCTCTTCCTCAACGCTCGCTCCTGCTTCGACTGCTTTTTCGCGCTATTGACGCAATGGGGTTCGTTGACAGGCCACAATGAACATCGGCAAGATCAGGGAAGGCAAAAAATGAGACTCACCATTCCTCAATGATGCGCAGGAGTATGCCAGTAGGCGTATCGTCCTCTTCTTTCCGTGCTGGGTTATTTGCCCTGGAAGGTAGAGTGTTTAATGAGAACCAAACCGACGGCCACAATGGGCTATGAACAAACCTCGCGGCATCGACGCTTGACTCTTGGGTTGCAATGCATGGAAGAATATTCTCCGCAGTTGATTCGCTATCATAGATCATGGGTCAGTAGACAGCAGTGCTACTCGATATCGACCAACTCACCGAAGGACGTTGGGAGCCGCTATGGCTGTCGACGGGGAAGTCAAAGCGGGCACCTTGATCTCGTCTTCGGGTTCAACGCTCCGACTGCTTTTGCGCTTGGCATCCATATCGCTGATACAGGCAAGCCATTAGTGACGCGGGTCATCACACGAACAACTGTAGCCTCACTATGTGTGGACATGATCGACCGACGAGCCACTGGTGGCCCATGATGTCGATGGCCCAGCAATCGGACCTTCCACCCAGCTGTCCTCAACCGGGGACACGTTGAGAACCTCATACATGCCGTTCCCATTCCAAAGCGCTGAAACATACAGTGAGTCGTGTCGCTCAACGTGAGGATGATGTGGATGGACGTACATATCCGTAATGGACATGAAACCACTGAGCGAAGACAGAGAACAGTCGCAGTAAGATGGCATGCCAGGCATGGCGTAGATGTTCGCTGAGGTAGGGGAGGAACCTCAGCAGCCTCCGCCGCTTCTTGGTGTTCGAAGTCGAAGAATAGGGCTTCAAGTTCGCCCTCGAAGAGTATACCCTCGTCTGCGAAGAGTGGGGCTGGCTCTAAGGGGGGGCCATCTACGAGGCGGCATGCAGCCTCCACAACGTCATCGGGAAACTGACAGCGCAAGCGCTCTTCTGCTTTTTCGCGCCAGAATAGAATCTGCGTCGGTGTGAGGATGGCCGGATCGCGGTCAACCTTCTCGGCTTGATTTCCAAAAAGTTCTACGAAATCAGCGTCGTTGTCGATGTGTTTGTACGACCATTGTCAGTCACAAATTTTACTAGATGAATAGCGACCTCACGTATGAGCACAAAGATCATTGACATGTTGAAGGTTGGGGAGCGATGCAGGAGGCCTGGAAGGGGGGAGGGGGTGGCGCGCGCCCGGAATCTGAGCCTCGCAGGCAGGTGTGTAGACAAACCTGCAGCGTCGGTAGAATGATGGCTAGGAGGAAAGGTAGCAAGTGGCACATTCAGGATACGCCCAGGACTCAGACGCATACTGTCACTGGCTGCCGGAGCGGTAGGGTTCTGTTTGAGCCCTGAGGGCAGCATATTTATACGCGAGGAATCTGTCCCGATTCTGCAGACAATACCAGCGTGTGGACAAAGCAGGAGCCTCACCGATGCCGACACTGATGCAAGCACGACGAGTCGAGCGGCAGCACATCGGAATCCCTGGAGCCTCCCTTCATCCAAACACGAGCTGCTTTCGAGTAGCCTTCCACAGTTGCATTCTCTGAGGTTTCGCAGCACTCTTGCTTCTCGCATCATAGAGCGCACCATATTTTCCTGTTGCGCATCCTCTGGATGACGATTTGGACTTTCCGAGCGAAGGCAAGACAATCGAGAACATGAGGCGACGAGGAGTCCGAGTCGGGAATCCAGTATACATCACTTGAAAGTCTGGAGCCAGGAATCCGGTAGAAATTTCCATTCTGGTGGATAATGGTGCCCTGTAAGAGAGCGAGCGGCGACGACAATGGCAGTGGCAGGTCGTAAGTAGGACTCGGGAGTCGGCGCACTGCGGCCAGTGCAGCCGCGGATTCGCACGCGATCACGTGTCGTCAATATGCACGTCGCGCCGCCGCGACCTGGCCGCGACACGTTCGTGTGTCAAGCGCTTACAGTCGCTTGGGGCCTGTCAAAGCAAGTCGCAAGCTCTAGAGAGAAGAAGCACTACCATCAATGATCAATCTGAGCATTGAGTGTCAGATACGCACTGAGGCAACGGGCGTCACTGGGAGTGCATAAGTGCTTAAATCGACTCGCAGGACCTCCGAGACATGGTTAAGCATCATCTAGTCACAAATTGGTCAGTACTTGGCCCGTATAGCTACGCAGGATTGGGGAGGACTACTGATCATGGCAGTGACAACGATCACAAATTAAACTAGATAGACCAGCGCTTACTCAGCGGTGACCGGGTCCGGTCGCTAATCCGATGGTCGAGCCGCCGCCGCCGACGGTCTCTACCTCACCCTTCTCTGAGTACTACCTCCCCTCAAACAGGTGAAGGTAACATACTCCTTCTGTATCACATACCGTAATGCTCTGACTGACTGATTGTCTATATCGCATAGAAATGCCAGCACCGGATCTACCCCTTGAGTTATGCGAGGGCATTATCGACTTCCACCAAGACGATACAGACAGTCTCCGTGCATACTCTCTAACCTGTCGCGCGTGGGCACACCGAGCCCGCCGCTATCTTTTCCGGAAAATACAGCTCTCAAGAAAACGACATTGCCTGCGCTTCCTCGCTGTCCTAGAATCATCCGCAGAGGCAGGGACCAGGATCGGAGACTACGTGATCGACTTGGAGTTCCCTCGCATGGGGTTGACGGGCAGGCGACGCGAAGCGTCTCTGCGATGCGCCCTCCTGGCCAACCTCGCGCGTCATGTGCCAAACCTCGAGTCTCTCCGAATGTACGATTTTGACTGGACTGGGCTTGTCCTCGCGATGGAGACCGCCGGTATGATGAACCCCGTGCATGCGTCCGAAGCTCCAGGCGGTGCGAGACCAGCGAGGGAGTCAGGATCAGCCGCACACTCGATACCATACTTTCCCCAATTGAAGTCACTCCACATCTCCAGTTGCGCATCTTCAATCATTGCGACTGGTGAAGCCGTCGTGCGGTTTCTCGCGGCGTTCCCGCAGCTATACGCACTCGATATCGCGTTCATGCCGACCATGGAAGCTTCCCGATCCGTGTACCCTCCCGATCGTGCCATGGCGCAAGCATGGGGAGCAGACGCCTCTCCATGTGTCCGTATTCACGAGTTGAGGCTTGACACGAGTACTTGGGCTGCGTCACCGGCGCTGGACTGGCTGGCCCGCCCCATGGTCGAACTGGACCTCCATAAACTCGACATTGACCTGTTCTGTCCCTGGGAACCGACCTCGCGTCTAGCGGAGCTCCTGTACGGGAGGGAATGCGCCATGTTAGAGGATCTCGCATTCTCTGTGTCACATGAAGATGGTGAGTAGGTAGCCTTATGTCCACGTATCCAGTCTGTAGTGCTTACATGTACGCCTCGTCTCATGACTCTTTAGTGCTCAGGCTCCTCGACCTCTCAAAATATAGATACCTACGCTCAATCTGCATGCGATCCTACTCTCGTGGACCGCTCGCCCCACAACCACTTACAGCCCTCCTCACTTCATTCGCAGGGAGTCAGCTGAAGGAACTCAGGCTGATAGTGCAAGTCTATCATGCCATGCGGGAAGGAAATGCGAGAGAGCTTGCCGACTGGGATGCTCTCAACAACGCTATCCTGTTCCTCGGGCGGCGGTGTCCGAAGTTGGTAGTCGTTCTGGACTGCGAATTTGACTTTGTGCCACCGACGGACAACTTCAAACGCTATACTGCACGCTGTATGAGGGATAGGTTCGCTCCGACTTTAGCGGCGAAGCACTTGGACGCGAGGTTGATGGCGGATGGAGTTCGTTATTACGCTTCTTAACCTGTTCAGTCACAACGTAATTGTAAGTCGTATGAGAATAGATTGATATTGCATGAGCACAGAAAATGATACCAGATTGGAGGCACGGCCGTTGAAGCAATACTGTTGTCGTTGAACGTTTGAACGTTGAAGACTGTCGCGGCTCGCCGGATGGACCAAGAGTGAGAACAGGACGCGTATGTCACGCTCACGCGACCGGACGTCACGTCACGCGACGCGGTTCACCGTGGATCTGAGATGCGCCGCCTTGAAGCTTGAACTTGAAGGCTGCTGTGGCACTCAGCTTAGACCAGGACACCCTCTGTTTCTCTGCTACCTCCACGACCTGGGGACGACGTGTGGACCTTTTACTCTCTCAGGTATATCTCGGGCTGGGCTATATTCATGGGTGTCGCGGGCTTGTGGGACGTACGTATCGCATGTAGCCCCTGGATTTCAGGAGTACTGACAGTCGAGTAGATTCTCCGTCCCACGGGAGAGATACGCTCTCTCACCCATCTCTCCGTTGTCGATGGATTCGAAGCAAACCCAGACGGAGTGCGGGGCTTCCGTGTCGGTATCGACGCCAGTATCTGGTTCTATCACGCAGCGTATGGCCGGGAGGGCGAGAATCCCGAGTTGCGAACGTTATTCTTCAAGTGCACTAGGCTTATGAGCGCACCATTTCTGCCTCTTTTCGTCTTTGATGGGCCAAAGAGGCCTGAAGTCAAGCGCGGCAAGAGAATAAGTGGCAAGAATCACTGGATGATTCAGGGCATGCAGGAAATCATCAACGCGTTTGGTTTTGAGTGGCGCATGGTGCGAGGGTCTTCCCCGTGCTTTCTCGCTGTTGCTACGTCGTGCTCACATCTCTCTAGGCTCCCGGGGAAGCTGAAGCGGAGCTGGCGTACCTCAATCAAATGGGCGTCATTGATGCAGTATACACCGACGACGTGGACACATTCTTGTTTGGGGCGAAGATGATTATCCGAAAGTGAGTAATTGTTTCAGGTGTGAGTTGCAAAGGGATGCCCCATATCATTGCTGTGCCAATTTTGAGGCAGTTTGCTACTCCAAAAGGGGCAATGCTCCTGCCATTTTGGTACCAGCGATCATATTTGCTACATTCACGTCTTCTTTGACATGCACGCTAATGTATATTTGTAGCGCAAGCGTGACGCTCTCTGGTAACCGCGCACACTCCCTCAAGAACAGCGCTGGCCGTGAAGACGGCAACCACGTCGCAACGTACACCTCACACGCTATCCTCACTCACTCATCCGTGCAGCTCACACAAGGTGGGCTAATTCTCATCGGCATCCTCCGCGGGGGCGACTATCATCAAGCAGGATTGGCGGGATGTGGCGGCACAATCGCTCACGGGCTTGCACGCTGCGGGTTCGGCGACACCCTCCTTACCGCAGCGCGCTCCCTCCAGCGCTCTGAACTTCCCTCTTTCTTGCGCGGCTGGCGCGAGGAGATACGCGCCGAACTGCGCACTAACTCCCGCGGTATCCTGGGGAAGAAGTACGCAGCCCTCGCGAAGAAGATCCCAGAAGACTTCCCAAACATTGACGTGCTACTCTCGTATACGAATCCAATTACGTCCGAGTCGGAGGCAGCTGCCAAGGGCCGCGTCTCCAAGAGTACGAAGATCGACTGGGAGAAAGAGCCAGACCTGGGCAAGATTGCTGGTCTTTGCGAGATGTACTTCGAGTGGGGCGTGAAGGAGATCATCATCAAGCGCTTCAGGACGGTCCTCTGGCCGGCCGCCGTATTGCGAATCCTCCGCCGCGTCGCGCTGCTGGAAGACAAACGCGTGGCGCGAGTCGCCGCGCGCACAGCGGTCCGCAATCCTACAACTCCTACGAAGAAGGGGAAGGCGAACGACCGTCGCGTCCCCGGGACGCCGTCGTCCGTCATCACAAAGCATTTCTCCTCGCTGCAGCTGGGCTCACCCAAGCGTGTCGGGCGCACCGACTCTGACAGCGACGACGACGACGAGAACAAGCTCATCGTCAAGATTCACTCTTCACGGCAACACGCGTCCACCGACGGCATTCTCGAGTACCGTCTCGAGGTCGCCCCCGCACATCTTGTCCGCCTCTCCGAGTCCGGGGTCAGGGGTCTCCGCACTGCGTTGGCAACGGGGCTGGACGACGATTCAGACGTCCCAGAAGACGACGACTCGGACGACGGTGGGAAGGGCAAGAAACGCGTGCCGAAGCCGCCGCCCGACCCGCAGAGCCACCTCAGGATCTGGCTGCCCGCGTGCATGGTACGCATCGCGCAGCCGGACCTCGTGGAGGAGTTCGAGGGGATCCAGGAGATGCGTGCGGCTAAGAAAGCAGGGAAGGCAGGGAAGGCCTCTGGTACCGCGCGTGGTTCGAAGGCTAAGGCGAGCACGATAGTCGGAGCAAAGCCTAAGGCAGGAAAGAAGGTCCCTGTGGCAGTCCGGGAAGAGGAGGAAGAGAGCTCGGATGGATCTGTTTCACCTACGCCGAAGAAAGCAAGGCCGAAGGTTAGTGCTGCCAAGCAGACACAAGCTACCGTCGCTGTACCCGGCGTTAAGCAGCACTTCGCAGTCGGCAAGCGCATCCAGTCGACCAGCAACTCCGGCAAGGCCAAGTCAAGTACTGCCAAGATATTTGCGCTGTTCGACGAAGACCCGCCCGCACCCAAACGGGCGGCGTCCAAGTCATCGAGCTCGTCCCGCATATTTGACTCAGACTCGGAACAGAGTTTCATCCGCCCGACTGCCTCTTCCTCCAGGCTACCTTCTCTTACGAACTCCTCGCGCGCATCCTCCGCAGGCCCGAGCCTGTCAGAACCTTCATCGTCCGAGAAGCCGGATCTTCCGCGACGCACATTTGTCCCAGCCCCATTCCCTATGTCCTTTGACGCCGCCAACATTGACAACGGCGATCAGTTTTCCGTGGACGTCTTCAGGGCTGGCATTGTCAATTCGCGTGCCAAGCGGCGGTCGAGCCGCGACCACTCACCTGTGCGGACGATATCTGACAGAGACAGCAGAGCGTTGTCCAAGTCTCCTCGCAAGTCCCAAAAACAGACATCGCCACACAGACAGGGCCGGACAAGGCCAAGGTCTCCTATATCTATCCCATCCTCCAGCGACGGTGAAGAGTTCTCCGACAGACCCATTTCCCCTTCCCCAATGCGCCGTCCTTCCACCAGACTGGTCGCGAAGCCTTCGTCCTCACCGCCACGCGGCAACAACGTATTCGACGTGTCCGTGATATCCATATCGAGTGAGTCAGAGCCGGAGATCCCTTCATCGAGGCCCAAAATCCCCCCGCTGCTTCTGGCGAAAAACAAAGCATCGGTGAGACCCGTGGCATCGGCCAATACTACAGCGCAGAGACGAAGGCCCAAACCTTCATTATACGCGCGGACGGATCCGGACGATATAATTGATCTTACATGAGTTAGAATGAGGTTCATTTAGCACGACTGATGTATGCATTGTTTACATTCCATTTGTTGATGTCTGTAAGTCTGGGAATACGATATAATGGATGGGGTTGTGTGCTATGCTATGCTTGCTACAGAGATGCCAGAGGAAAAGATGAGACAGCAATGCCGAAACCAAAAACACAGCCAGAGCCATATTAATACATTCCTAGTATATTGTCGTGAAGTCGCGGTACACCTGCGCCTTGAGACCCTGCTCTTTTGCGATATTGTCGGTGGATGCGTGCTGGGACAACATCTGTGCGCGGAACCTCTTTATGGCCTGCAGGCGAGAGCGCCAGTTCGTGATCATCTCGTTCCGCTCCGTGTCGTTTTTCGTGAGTTGATACACGGATACGAACCAGTCGGTAAGCAGGCTTAATTGCCTGACAAGGAGCGGTAGATTTTCGGCCGAGATCAGCTTGAAGTCGCTAATGGGGGTGAACTCCGGCATTCCCTCTGCGCGTTGCACGGTGACCTTGAAGTACTCGTTTTCATGCAGATTGTTGGAGAATGCAGCGATCGCACCGCGAGAATGGGGCTCGATGACGATGTTGACGAATTGAAATTGGGTGGCCAGGGTATCAAATCTGTAAGGCATGCCCGAATCGTTCCAGACGATCCGAACGTAGTCGTTCCCGATATGCGCCTTTTTGTTCATACAAGTCGGCTCCGAAGCTGGCATCAGCGTCGCGGTGTGGAATAGAATCTGGCCGGTGTCGTCCCACCATGCATACGCGTACTCGCCGTCTTCGTCCGGATCGAGTCCTCCTGCATAGACATCCTTCTGCCCGCGGAGGTTGATGAGCCTTGCCAGGCTCTCTAGAAAGCGGCTGTAGGCGGGTGACCCGTGACTGTTACGGAGTATCTCGCTCTCCTCTCGTTGACCCGGAGCCACGTACATGACACCGACCTTGTGGGTGTCGATCACTGGCATACGGTCAAGACTGCGGAAGAAACTCTGTAGTCGGCTCGAGTCAGATAGTGGACGTAACTTGGCGGAAGAGAGATTGTCGGGGTAGGAGGAGAGTTGTAGGGCGAAATAGGCAGGGTCGATAGCGACGTTCTTGCGTCTTTGAGACGGAGCAGATCCACTCCAAACGTAACCGGTGATAGGGTCTGGTTTTGATGCCTCGTCCTCTGGGGTACCACCTGAATTGCTCTGCAGGTCATGCTAGGCACATCTGAGCATATTACTCGCAGTACAGAACAGCTGACTTACCATGACAGCCTCCTCGCCTTGCGATGTGGACTCGTTCTCCAGGTCCTCCGCGCATCTACTCTGAAAGCCGCGATCTAGCGTCAACGCAGCTGCGACGGAGGCCATGTCAGGATCGACATCTCCGACGGTGACCATTGGAACGTTTTCCGCTCTGCAGAGGAATTTCGTGAGGCCAGATGAGCGACGAGTGATAACTTCCATCCATCCGCGCCTGACGAGTGTGCGGACAGTGATGACGGCCGTGCCTCCAACCCAGGACTTTTCGCTGATCGCAGGCTCCTGATGTTGTTGCTGTACGTTGGGATCCATGACGATCGCGCTGAGCATCGACTCCGCTGGGCGCGGATCGGCGCTGGCGTAGGTGTAGCGCGCTAACCAGTCAAAGCACACTTCTGTGGGCTCATCAATCTCGTCGTTGCCCTCGTTCGCAAGTAGGAGTTGTCGGGAGATGTACTTGATATGCCGAGGACGGTCAGGAAGATCCACAGCAAGGAACCAGAGGTAGACGATATAGTAGGACATGATCCGGACGTGCTGCGCTAGAGCCCACGATATGGGCAGGTCGCTGGAGTGATTGTAGTGCTGCAGGTACTGAAGGGCCACACCGAAGACCATCTTGTAGTCGTCCTCCGTGAAGTTCGAGTGCAGAACAGGAAGAGAACCAACGACAGCTAGGAAGCCGATGATGTGTACAGCCATAGCTGGGTTTGACATGATATCGGAGAGCTTTTTAAGGATCGTAGACAGATACCTTGTCATCGACGGCTGCAACTCGAACGCAGACACCGACAGCGCGTCCAAACAGCACTTGATCGTTGACGGCTGTCCACTGAGTCCCTGGAGGAAAGCTTCCACTATCCGATGCCCAACGTGCGGGTCCGAAAAACAGCGCTTGTAGCTGATCAGCACTGTTAACGTTTGATACGCCAGGCCATGCGCATCTCTCGCGATGAGGTTCTCTGGCCAACGCTCGATGTTCGCGGCGAAGCTATTGTTCAAGATGCCCGCACAGATGGCAGAGACCATATCGCCTAGCACGATCTTCGATCTCGGGCCACAGAACAGATGCTTGTTGGCCAGCTGGGTCGGGAGATAGCAGAGCACATACGACAGGATCTCCCACTCCTTCTCGTCGTTGACGATCTCGACCAGCCTCCGGAGGTACTTCGACCACGGAAGGACGACACCGTCCTTCGGTCCGGATGGGTCGTATGACATGATCACCTCGCTAGGCGTATCGACGAGGTCAATAGTGAACGGTGGGGTCTCTGGTAACGACCACATCGGGTCCCTCGCTTTGATCTGGCGAAGAGAAGTAGGCGCGGACACTAGCCGTGGGTTTGTCCTCGAACGGCTGCGCGACTCCAGTTTCGTCGGCTGCCCGCCTCGGCCACGGGACGACCTCCTTCCATCGCGTTCCTGCGGGACCCGGGGGCGCGCTGTGCGGACCTCCTGGCTAGTCGTCGCTTGCTCCGCCGCCGCAGGATGGCTCGGATTGCGGTTGATAAGCGCGGCGAGGGAGGCAATGTTCCCGTCCCTGTCGCAGGACTCCTGGCTCGCGTAATATAGCTTGTGGTCCCGATCCACGCGGAAGCGCATGAGGAACTGGAGGATCGTCAGCCGCGCGCGAACGCACTCCGCCGTCCCGAGGAGCACGACCATAATCTCGAAGACCCGCTTGGCAAGGAGCATGTTGCCCTCAATGTGCACGAGCGGCGTGAACGCGAGCTGGCTGAAGACAGATGCCAGCGCTGCGACGGCGCCCACCGACTTCGGCATCGACGGTGATTCGGCAGGAAGCGACGGAGGCGATTCCATCGAGGGTATGCTGTCAAGCGATGGTCTGGGCTGCGACTGCGAACGGGAGGAGTGGCCAGCAGTGAAGTTAGTGATGAACGACGACATCGCGGACAGCGATGGCAATCCTCCGTCCCTCTCCCTCGCAGGAAGCTCCGATTGCGCGCGTGTGAGAGTCGGCGAGGACGCATTCGACGCCATATGCGATGCCTGGGGAGACATCGACAAGGGCACATCCGCCGTTCTAATAGACGCCGCATCGTCCTCTTCGTCTTCCCTCTCCCCCGCGAGCCTTGTCAGGAAATCCAATATGTTATTTGCGACCTGGGAGTCCTCCGACTCGCCGCTCGCGTCCGCCTTGTTTTCTGCGCTCCGGAGGACGACCTCGTCGCCGAGGATGCGAAACACGACGCTCACCGCGACGTCCTCCGTGCGCCCCCTCGTCTGCTGCTGCCAAAACTCGAACACGAGCGCCGCGAGCGGCCGGCGGTAATCCGGGATGTCCTTCACGAAGTCCCAGGCGGCGTCGAGGATCACCATTGCGTGCTCGCGCGTCGATACACGTGACGGGCCGAACAGACCCGGAATCGCGAGGACGCTGTTCCAGTGCGTAAGCCATCCGGGGGTCATCGGCGACAGACTCTGGCGCTCTGACATCGTCTTCAGGAGGCCCGCAGTGTCTGCGTCAGGGAGGTGTCTCGCTACGGAAAGCAGGATAGTTGGGAGGACTGGATAGATGGCAGTCGTATTGAGGTCCTGCCCGAGGAGAGTCGATATTGCCGCGAGCAGGGGCGTTGTGTCGTCCACGCGCGACAGCGAGAGTATGATAGGCATACCATCTCGGTCCCTTCGAACAAAGCATGCATGAGATCAGTAGTACGGGCGAGGAGAGAGTAACAGGGACCTACGTCAAGTGCTGCACATGCGCGACGAGCGCGCGGAGGATGTCCCCCACGGCGTCCACCTCCTCGTCGTCAACTTCTTCATCGTCGTCCCGCTCATCGAGCGTCTGCACGACATCCTTCACTATATTCGCCGCCTCAGTAAGCACCTGCTCCCGCGCCGCCATCAGCACGCCCTGCTCGGCCTCCGCCTCATCCGGGACGTCCACCCACGCCTTGATCGCGCGGCAGAGCACGCTGCGGAACTTGAGGAGGTCCCACGAGGCGACCTCGTCCTGGGACCACGCGCGCGCGACGAACCTGTGCTCGAGGTCCATGCGCGTCGGCGCGCCCGCGTGCGTGTACTGCGTCGCGCTCGTCGTCGTGATGTATGCGCGCGTGAGCCGGTCGACGAGCGTTTCACGGATCGAGATGCGCAGCGTGCGGAGTGCGCCGACGGACGTCTGCGCGATGGGGGACGCCTTTGGCGAAGGGAAGAGATAGTGCTTAACGAGGATGGTGCACGAGGAGGAGTACGGGCCGGAGACGAGGTTTTTGAGCGTCTCCGTGACAAGCTTCTCGAGGGCATGTTGGTGAGGCGGATTGGCTGTGAGTGCTATACGCGGCAGAGGAGTGGAGTAGTACGCGAGGCAGCGGAAGAGCAAGGGCAGAATACTTTGGAGGTAATGCGGGGCAAGGGCAGTGAGGCGCGTCGCCAGGTAGGTAACGTATGCTTCGACAATGATATCGGCAGGATGCTTCAGACTGGGGATCTGAGGAATGGAGATAGATGATTGATGGCGTCGGTGAGCCATATTCAGCCTGCTTGGCGACGTTGCCTTCGACGCGTGCGTATCGTGCACCGGAGAAGCTGGTACCGAGGGCAAGGGAAAGGGCTCGGATGAAACTGAGAGCGCACGGTCTATGAGCCTCTCCCACAGATTGAGCACCTCGGCTGTATCCTCTTCCGACAGCCTGGAGACGAACTCCGGTTTGCCTACCAGGGTTGTGAGGAAGTCGGTCAGTAGCTTCACGCTGCGCTCGCGTTCCTCCCATTCCTCCATGGAAGGTGGCTGTTTGGTCAAACACTCAAACGCCCCCTCTATCCACGACCTAAGTACCCTCAGAAGGTCGCTCTCCATCTCGACCGTCTCGGCACCCGACTGAATGATCGCGACCAGAGCGTTGAAGCGTGCCTCCCAGATTTCAGGTGACCAGGGGACAGCCGAGTCGAAGAACAGAGACAAGCACGAGAGCCTGTCGGCAGTAGTGAGGACGGCAGCGCCAGAGTGCTTCCAGTACGCGGCGAGTATCTCGTATCCGGCAGCCTGCAGAGACGGCGGCGACTCTGCGGAGGAGAGCGAGGCGACGATCGGGCTCAGGACTGCATAGTGCAGACTTGGTGTTTGGGCGGTGAGCATGTTGCACAAGTTGCGTGCATAATTGAGCGAGGGTACGGCGGGCGGTGTAAGAGCTTCAATGAGCGCCTCTAGCGTAAGAGGCGTCGTCGTCTGGACAGGGGGCGCCGGCGTGGAGACAGAGCCCGACCTTCCTCGACGCCAGAAGGCCTGTTGAAAGGAGCTCGTGCCCGCGCGAGGACGGATACCGCGGGGAGAGTCGACATCTTGGGGAGACATCCAGCGCTGAGAATACCAGTCAATGGGTCGCACTCGGGCGCAGTATCGGTGCGCTCACCTCGTCCGACGACGCGCTGCGGTTCGTGAACAGTCGTGATGGGATAGAATATGATGGAGTAAGAATGGGAGGCTGGAGGCGACTGGCAGCAAATTGAGTGGTCGTGCGCAGGAGCAGGCTTGCATGCGAGGACACTGGCTGGGCACCCGAGGCCTCTCAGCCTTTCAGGCGCCGATGCCTCTTGGACGCTGTCCTCGCAACTTGCCGAGATCCGCATCTCACGCACCTCCAGGTCCAAGCGCCCATGAACTACTGAACGCGAACTTCGACGACCTGACATGCCGTAAAGCCATATAATTGGCGATAGAGTAAGCCGGATTAGACCGTGACATGAAATATGAGATCTGCGAGCTCCGGGATGGAAACCTCAGGACCTCAATTTCTCGGCCATGTAATGCTCAGCTCCGCCTCGCTCACTGCTGGTTCGTCACGGTAAGGCCGAGCAGGCGTGGAGAGACAGTGACTTCCATCATGACAGGCAGCGATCTGTCACTGCACACATAGACCATGGTGACACCTCTCAAGATCGACTTCAACGCGGAAACAGAAGACGAAACTGCTGCGAGAAGGGGAGGTCAGAGAACAGGTTAGGAGGTCCGCTACCGAATGATTCAATGAGGAAGGTCTATCGTATCCAAGAACCTCTCGCGGTCATCGGTGACAACGTCCGCTGTAACACCGCTCGTAGAGAACGTGAGCATCAGCGAAGGATCTGAGGTGACTATACTCATTATGAACGACTGCATCTGAGTTCTCAGTACATGCCACAAATGGGTGTATCCCCGAGCTATTGTGTCTCCCTGGCGGACGATCCATCGCCTTGGTAAGCATCGCTGATAATCCTCAGTCACTCTCAGGACAGGTGTATGCATTGCGGTCAACAATGACAGAAGATTCTGTCGCAAGAACGAAACATGAACGTGGCCTGATGCAACGTCTTGACGACATTTCACGCTTGTGCCCTGCCAGGGGCTCGTCAGTGATTTCTCATCGCGTTGACGTAAGTGGTACTACCTGGTAGACAGTCATTACACTTCATTCTAATTGACGCAGCATGTTTGAGAAGCGGTGGAAGTCTGGTGAGGATCATAAGCAGCCGCGCATCCAAAGATCTATTGCTACGAACTTACCCTCCATCGCCTTCTTGGCCGTAGCCATCCCCTGAACCTGCCCGCGCTCCCGAGCTTTCTCGCTGTCCACCATTTGCGTGTGCTTGCTTTCTGCCAGATCCTATGTCGTTACCATGCATCAGACCTTATGCACGATCCGGGGAACATACTCCGCTTACCCGCATCTTCTGCTGTTCCCGCCCGAGCTGGAGAAGCAACTTGCGGATCTCGTCTTCGACGACAGCATAATCCTGGACGAACTGCTCGTAGGCGGCGTTCCTACAGAACATATGTGAGTGCACATCGTCTGGCTTTGACCTCTCTCATTTCACATATCAGCCATAGCTTCGAGGTACTCCTCCCGGCCCGATGTGACCTAGAGGAAGAATCGGGTCATCAATGCCAGTGAGGAACGAGCTTGCGAATGCCTTACACATTGCTCAAGCACAGCCTCAGCATTGGTGAAGTACTTCGCCTCCTTCTCCTTCCGCTTCTTCTCCCACGACGCTGAGTATATGCGCCCGTGTGAGCGATGCATTGCTAGGCTGGCTATATGCGCCCGACGTACATTGCATTTGTTTCGCAACAACGGCCATGATCCTTCTTTCATGTCAGTCCAAGCCTCTTTCCATACACGTATACTACTCGGGTGAATAGCGTTGACTCACCCAGCATCATCACTGCTCTGAGAGTCGAGTAGAGCCTCCACACCGCGTTCAGCATCCCCATAGCCTCGGTCGAATCGCGAACGTGCTATGACTTACCTTAGTGTTTTTCGCTGCGCGAGGCATACCGAGAGAAAAACACTGTTTGCGAAGATGATAGGTATGAAGGGCTTTATCGGACAAAAATCGAGGGGCCTAGTAACGTACCTATGCGTCCAGCCCAGATCCGGAAGGACCGTACAGGACAGTACGGGCTAGTACGGGATCACTCAAGATTGGTCGGGATCTGGCAAGATCCCGACCGATCTTGAGCGATCTTATCGTTACTTGCCGCTTTCCATACTATCCTGTACGATCCTGTCAGTTCCTGAATGAGCCTGACCCATCACATCCTGTCTCATACTGTCCGATAATGTATGTGCCTGTGAGTTCTCCTCCCATCCTGTCATAACACGTAGGATCCTGTTATATCCTGCCTGCCACGTCCTCTCTTGTATGCTCCCCTTCCGTCCCGTCCCGCTCGGTCCCGTTCATGTACCGTTATGCTCAATGGGTCGAACGTTCACTATGACCTAGTGATATTGTCCAATAAATGTTTTTGTCCAAGTGAGCCACAGTACTACGTAGTGTCGTAGGTTCGAGCCTGAATATCCGGAGGCCCGTGGGAATCCCACTGTCGCGTGAGCGCCCAAGCGCGTCGAGGCTGTCTCAGTCTCGCCCACCACTCCCTCTCGCTCTACTCACCCACCCGCGACGTCGACAGCATCCCGAGGCCGCCGTCACACGCTCACCCGCAGCAAGATACAGATTGCGCGTCGCCACATGCGCCACCTGTAAGGCCCCTCTCTCTCCTTCCTGACACCGCCTCCCTCGCACCTGCGGGCACTCCCACCGCTCCTTAATACACCCTGCGAGTGCGTCGACAAGCGACGCGCTCGTGACGTGGCACACACGACGCGCAAATGCGTCCGCGCGGTCGGCCGGCCGCGCGTTCAAACATCGCGCCTCCGACGGCGATAGACAGCCTGCTCCAGCGATGCGCCAAGTGCATCGCTGGAGCCGTGGGAGGTTAGCGAGGCGTAGCACGGCCAGTGGTGATCCGAAAAAGGTGCGTGGTCGCTCCCCGTCCGTCTTGGCTCACTCATTAACCCCAGTCACCCTCCGTGCCTCGTCCGCCACCCTCCGCCTCGTCCAAAACCTCAGACATGCGCAACACGAGCCCGTCAGCATGCGATGGGTCCGCTAATGTACCGCCACCACCAACCGCATGCCGCTCACAGCCTGCTGTTCCCACCACCATCGTCGCCCCTCCCTTCGCGCGCCAGTTGCGCACCCTCTTCAAACATCGCCCGCATTCTACGCTCCGAGTCGTCTCGCGCCGACCTTAACGTTCAATGACCCTCCTCCCACGTTTCACAACACGACAAACCTCTCCGCAATGTACATCTCAACGTCTGCGAGGAGATGCGACCCCTCCGTGCACTTTGCAGCTGCCCGGCCCCAGCCGACACGACGAACGAAGATCGCCGCACCCAGGCCTGCGCTCGATGCGAAGACGGGCGAGCCTCCGGCGATGTGCCACGCAAACAACGTTCCCTGAGCACCTGCAGACTCACACCGTCATGCTGCAACGTGCGTGAGCACTCACTCATGCCGTCATGATGCGTGAATACTAGCAAGCCTGGGTACGTACGCACCAGCTCGAAACGGCCGCCCAGACTGCAGGGCCCCGAACCCGTCACGATGATGAACGTTGTGAGGCCTCAGGAAAACGACTCGCCAACATGAGTTTGACGAGGGCAAGGCTGGACTGCCACGGTATGCTCCGTAAGTGCCCTTCACCTGCTGCAGCCTGATGACGCTCCAGCTACTTATATATACCATACAAATCCACAAAACCTGTATGTATATAGTATAGTATATGATATTGTATATATACTGTATATGTATGGTTTATATAGTACGATCTCCTGCTGCCATAGTCATTTCCCATCATGAATCAAAGTACATGCTAAGGTTCAAGACAATGGATAATGCTTGTACAGCCTGAATATGGCTATCTATCCCAGATGGTAGTTGATTGAATATGTAACAAAGTGTTACCAACACCTAGACTTTTATTAGTCCTAAACAAGGACAAACCTTCCCTGTCCTTATGTAGGTAAGTCAGCCTGGCTATATGTATAGCTACTGACAGGTGGTGGTTGGACATGTGAGAGGGGTTACCAATTACCTAGAGATTAGTTGGTCCTGATCAAGGACAGACTCTTTCCTATTGTCCTTGTAGTAAATGACAGGGCTTATATGAGTAATATATTACTGGCCTTCAGTGATGTGTATGACTAGGAGAGTATTGACTAGTTGTCTTAACTAGTCTCCGCTGTGACTTGTATGCTAGTTCTCTTGACTAGTCTTGTATTGACACTGGAATTCTTACATGGCAACTGATTGCAACCCAGTTGGATAGTATGACTTGACTTTTTGTATACTAATTCTCTTGGTTAGTATCTTGGATTGACTAAAAGATTTGACAGTCAGAGCCTCAGTGTAGGCTTTAGAGTTATATTGATCAGTCAGACCATTCCTTGACAAAGCTGAACATTCAAAGAACAATGACCTTTCTTTGTCTTATTGAACCTGGTCTCTTGTTTGTCCTGCATCCTTTTGATCTTACTTGTTTGTTGTTCTCTCAATTGAAATCATTCAAAACAGTAGCCATAGTCCATTGCATAGACTTCAAGAATCATGCAAATAAATGAGCCCTCAATTCACCACCTCAATGCCCTCCATGCTACCCATCTCAACCTTTGAGTCAAAGACAGTGTCATCTTCATTGCTGCAAGTGCTAGTACATCTCTGTCAGTGTGATTCTTTGCACATCAGTAAGTACTATATTGCTGACCTTTAGCAATATAGTTGTCTCAACCAGTCTTTGTATTGATTTTGTCACTAGTCCTTGTGCCTAGTCTTGTATCATATGGACACTAGTCTGATTGACCAGTGAACTATTGCTTTCCCAGATGGTTAGTAAATATTGACTTGTTGTGTACTAGCCCTCTTGGTTATTATTGTGTGTTCACTTTGCTTGCTTGTAACTGGATCTCCATTTGGTTACTACATTATTATACCATGATCATTATACAACTTACTTACATTCCTGTAACATCTCACACTTGCAACCAAAGATACTGTGCACCCAATCTCTATTAGAGAAGTGCAGTGTATCCGAGGACAACAAGTGAGAAGACTTGTCTTCCCACTCGCGTGGCATCAACCTTTATGGGGTTGGTGCCAAACACACACAAACTAGATAATTACATGATACGTGCAATATAGTCCGTGAATGGTAATACAAATATGTATGTTCATAACGCACGTTACAATTCCGCCGCACACAATTGCTACTTCACATTGTCACACATTCACTGCTCTTGTGATACATGACATAAGTGTTACCTACATCTTGATTCATTTCTGCCTTTGTTGCTCTTTGGTCCTACTGGAAGAAGTCTGGTTCCTGTTCTGTTCTTTGAGTGATTTCCCAGTGTGCAGACACCAGGCTTACATTACTTCAGACAGTCAGAATCTCAGTACAGGCTATAGAGAGATAAATGGAGTGATTATGTTTCATAGCTAGGGAGCTGGGATGGTGGCACTGTGTATTGGAGCATCTGGTCAAGCACACTGTACCCAATCACATGTTGCACTGCAGCACAATGCTACTGTACCCACGCAATGTTACTGTAGTGACTGTATCTAATACTGTCCTTTATGTACCTTGCCCATCAATGATACTACCTTTATCTACTGTGTGCACATGTATGTAACCTTCAAGTTGTGTGTTTGCCTCCCCACCCCAATAAGAAGACAAATCTGGGCTGACTATATCATTGATTCTGTTTTACTGTTTGATCAACTCACAGTAGCTCACTGCTCTAAACATATATTATAGGTAGTATAATAGTACATTGTTCTTTGATACAAAATATGATACCTTCAGCTCTATTACTCCAGATCTTACCATGCTGGGGGTTGGCAGCAGCCAGATATGGAGCAGAGCATCTTGTACTCATTCTGTTGAAGTGAGCATTGGCAAGGCACAGGAATATTAATCAGTACAAAGGAGTTTGTCAAACTATTTTCCCCCAAACTTATACATGTAACAAACAGTGACATATTTGTCTTATTGAACAAGCTTTGTGATATCACTCCTTTGTTGTTCCTTGAAGTTGAATCAAAATAGAAATGACCATAGTCCAGTGTGTGGGTCTACTGATCATGTATACATTTAAATGAGACCTCAAATTGCCTCACTACTGTTCTCCTTACTGTCCATCTTGAACTCCATGTTGAAAACAATGTTGTCTTCATTGCTGTCAATGTTAACATGTTCTGTTAGTGTTATTCTTCTCATGTCAATCAGTAGTATAATCCTGATACTAATGAATGATGGTTTATTTGCTGGTTCTAGTTGAATGAGATGCCACAAATGTCAACATGTAGCATCACTTAGTAACATGATGTTCCAGCAGTTGTCTAAATTCAATCACACTGATAATACTCAGACCTAACCCTTGCCTATGAGTAGGCTTGAACATGCCAATCTCATCTACTTTATCACATGTGCTGTTCTGCTCACTTACACCCATGCCAGTTTGATGATTGATTGCCAAGATACTCAATCCACCAGCTGATGCAATGCCTTCAGAATCACTGATGTACCATGGGTATGTGCTATGCTCAATTTCAGAAAGACATATTGCATCAATTATATGTCTGTATGCAACCTGAGCAACTTCATGAGCATGGACAATAGCCTAATGAATTATCAGAGGCCTATGCTAGTCCTCAGCCCATCAATCTGGAGGCCGATGAAGTTCACACAACTGGATGCTACTCCCTAGGTATGCTGTAAGCACCATCATCAGGAAAAACCGTGTTTACATAAGGTCTCATCAGAGGTCATCTACAAGACATCTTAGGAACGTATAGGACACAAAAGACATAAAATGTTACATAAGACCAAAACGTGGCACTTAAGACAAGTCCCCGTCTTATTGTGTCTTTGATATTATGCATAAGAGCACTAATGTACGCAATGAAGACATCTTGTGTCTTATTCAGTC